GTTGTCTGCGTTTCTTCCGTTCGTTCCATCCGCTGCGGAAGGCTTGGAACCCATCTTTGCGATAAGGCCTCCTCGCCGTGTTTTCCCCCTTCTCTTCCCTTCCACTCACGCTGCCACCCGTCGGACCCGACGCTATGACAGGCAGATTCTGGTACCGATCGTACGCCAGCCAAACTTTCCACTGGTAGATGAAAGCCAGAATCGATACTCAGTTCAATTGACGCCCCGGAGCACCTGCGCTGCGCCGGAAGAAAAGGGGAAAGTCAAAGCCAAAAAAAAAAATGGGATGAGGGTTCCAACATGGGATTCAACCCCACCACCACAGGAGCTCCCCGCCGCTACCCCTCCGTGGGTCCCCACCGAAATCCATCGCGCGCGAAATCCGGCGATGATGAGCCAGTCAAACGCTGGGAAACAATTAGCGCTTTTCCTCATTCGTCCTTCCGTTGCCCAGGGTGAGGTGGGCTACCCGTGGCCATTGTACCCACTCCGGTGAACATTCGTCTGTTTCCTCCCCGACGTCATTCCGCCTCTTGACAGACCACTGGCGTCATTGGTGGCACCGCTTATGCATGGATCCTTGGCATGGTGGACTCGACCAAAACGGCAATTGGGACTTCCGTTTTGGCATTTCATCCAATCACAGTCTGTCATCCAAGGAAGAACGACTTAACGTCCTAAACCATCACTTCCAAGTGGAAGTCACGATGACCTCTACGCCTTCCAAGTTGTAGACAGTGCCTTCCAAGTTAGCAAGCCAGGGAAATTGGATTTAACAAAAAGGCAATTCAGCATTTGCTGCTACGTGGAATCTCATTTTTCACTTTGCAACATGTCAATTCTCTTCCTCCTAAATTCGCTAAAAGACGGACGACTTGATTCGCATCATTTCCAACCACCAACAACGAACCTACTGCGTATTACCTGACTCGAGCGCCGACCCGACACCATCCACCATGACAAACATCAACGGAGCTTTGATTGTTCTTTTGCGGTCTAGACCTCGCCGACCGGGTTTCGGCACAGCACGATGACGGTTTATTTACACCATCCTTGGAAAGTCTGGCGAGGATCATCTTTCTCTGACGAGCTCATGCCCCTATTCGGACTCCCAAACAAGCCAACGATTACACGCCCTGACGCCCGAACCGACACCTTGTGTCCATCGTCCATCCTGCAAACCGCCCGTTGTGGGACCTTACTACGGCGCCCGTCGCTCCCATGGTTCCCATGGATCCGATGAAGGATCATCATCATGGCCGGCCTCATCAGTTACGGAGCACAGTACCTACGATGCGGACTCGGCTTTGCAGTGTGTCACCCACAGCGTCTTGTTACGAGTCACAGACATTCTTCTCATTCTCGGTTCCAAACATGACTGGCCGAGAAGAAGAATGACCCTTTGACATGGGCCTCATACGCTGAGCCAAGAAAAGCCTTTCACCCAGCACAGTATCCGATCCAGCAGTTACAGCTCTTGGCCAACCGCCCCTTCGGTTAATGAGACCCGCAAGAGAAAGCCTATATGTTCCAAAGTCTTCGCGTAGGGCTGCTAGAGTGTGCTTCAGGAAATGCTTAGCATGTTCTACTAGTGCCGCGCCAAGCAGAGATACTATGCAGACATGTATGAGACGGAGGCGGAATGGCATTACAAATGGCACTATGCTGCAACTACTTGAGATATGGGTCGCATCTTTTTGTGGTTTTAGGGCGAGAAGGGTTTGTCTTGACTGGCATGAGGCAAGTGTTACTCTATTTATTGTTTGGTGCCCCTCTCCTTTCCCATTCTGATATATACTTAACTCCTTTTTTGTCCTCATCTACGGCTAACTGGGGTGTGCAGCACAAGCAGAGAGAGAGCTTCTCAGCCATTCTGTGCGAGCCGGAGCTGTCGCCGAGAAAAGAAAACGGTTCGGGGTCCCGTCGGGATGCTTGTATCGGATCGTATTTTCTTAAGCACTGGCTTTATTGCCGTAATAAATCAGAAGGCACTAACTATCGGAGGCGGCCATCAGCTCCGACCCGCCCCGTTTGGCGGAGAATGCAGTAGCTGACATCCCCCCCTCTTTAGGCGCCGTTTAAAGCCTCGTCGGCTGTGGGCAAGGAATTTGAGACTGGCTGCAGCCTAGCCTGCCCAGCTAAAGCCACATTCGGGATTCGGTCTGTTGCGTTATAAGATGAGCATTACTCCATGATAGCCAAGTCCGCGACAAGGGCCCAGTGGAGAGGGATACGAAAACCAAAGGCCATGGAGAGACATGTCGACAGCCAGCCTGTCCAGCGGCTAGTCGCCGATAAAAATCTCGAGAACACGAACTGCCTACATTGCAGACACACAAACTCAAAAAACCTTTGCGTTCGAGAAGAGGGGAAGGGTGAAGCGGTCCAAAATCCCGCGACCAACCTGCATGCACAGCAACACACACACATGCATAGTAACACCTTGTTCCGAGAAAAAAACCTGTTTTTGCCCTCCTCATTCGGATCCAGCTGGGCAGCAATCACACTCACGCTCTCTCCACATTTGCCGGGGGGAGGGGAGCACAAAAACGGGAGAGGAGGAGCACATGGACCGGACGGAGGAGGAGCCAAGGAGAGCAAGCTCGACAGGGTAGGTAAATGGCAGCACGGCACACCGTTCCTAGTTGAGAAAATTGAGACAAGGCACGCGGAGACGGGAAGGCATAACGGTAGGTTCAGCAGACTGCGATCGAGATAACGGAGGTAGGTCGGTAGAGCGATGCTAAATAAAGCTACCCAGGAGCATATAAAGTGAGAGCGAGGCCTTACGGGGCTGAGAAGCCTCATGGAATGGGGACAGGGGATCTGAAACGGCAAACAGATGAACTGTTGTTTGAGACCACAAAACCCAAAATACTGAGGACAACGTTCAAGGGGAAAGACCGCGGGGGACTTATCACGAAGATAAAAGTGAGAAAATGGCTGCTTGTCAAACAAGCAAAACACAATGCTTGAGCTCTTCCAAGAAAAGAATTGACACCAAACCATGAGTTCACGAAGAATCAACTGTTGCCCAGCGAGGAAATGACAGCAAAAGAGCAGAACATACATACGATTGAACAAGTGAGCAATTGGGAGCATAGGGAGCAATTTCTAGGAAGAGAAAACATGCTATGCTATGGCCCTTGGCCTGAGGAAGTGTGTTCATGGCCGCTTCTCTTCGCCCACCACGGCCGGCCCCGTCCAGAGCAAGGCGCTCATCCCCGTGTCAGCCTCTCATATAAATCCAGTGGGACCGACTTCAGGAGCTAGGTATTGAACAGAAGCAAGGTAAATAACTCCCCGGCCTGGCTCATTTATCCACAAACCCAGCCCACACATCAAGGGAGGCAGGACCACTCGGAAAGTTGCCTAAGCCCTTACCCAGGGAAATTTAGACAGACTATGTAGCATAAATGATCAGCCAGTCCACGCAGAAATGAGAAAAGTGAAAATCCTGTCCGCGGTTCGAGAACGGTGTGCAAAATGTAAATGTCAAAGCCATGAAGCCGCACCGGCGATCATGACATAACACCCAGACCCCTACACCAAACTGCGCAGTAGATCAGTATCGGCGTTCCTGGTGTAGATCGGAGAATGATCATGGGTGGGTCAAGCCCAGTCAGTACGTAGGCACGGCGGTAGGTGAACATCGATGATGATAGGGGCAGATCTCAAAGATTGGGGACGTTCCTGAAGGATACTAGACGGACGACAGGAAAGAATATATCATGGCTTTGTTATGAACAGCATGAGAGACATGCTACGTTATTACCTATGAGACGCTACCCAGAACCAAAACCGAAACCAAAACCAGAACCAAGCCGCAGCCAGAACGGCATCCATAGTGTCAATGTTCTGTCAATCATGACATAGATAGATATACACCTAGATATACCAAATAATGTAGTACACTTATACACTGGCTGGCGGTTCTACACTACTACTAGTACACAAATTGCCATGTTCGCCGTTCGTACTTTTTAGCATTCTCTCTCTACCTACCTCCTCTGCCTTGCTCAACTGGAACTCACTACTAGACTGTATCAACAGATATTAACATGAACCTGGACATGAAATGAAATAAACATCGATAGACACACGCAACCGTGTAATAACCAACCTAACCTACCGCAAATAGTACTGAGCTAGGTTTGTGTATGAAAGGTACTTAGGTGGATGGAGGACTGAACTGAATGGTTTGGGATATTGAAGACATATAGATGACGGAAAGATTCAAAATGGATGACGGGCCTTGAGCTCGGAAGAGGAAGAGGACAGGGAAGTTACTTAGCAGACCACTTCCTCTTCTTGCGCTTTAGATGCTCCTGGGCGGACAGCGAACGCCCGGGCTGCAGGCCCCGAATGGAAGGAACACAGGAAGACACTGCAGTCCGAGTCTGAAATACCAGGGAAGGAGGGAGGGAGGGAGGGAGGGAGGAAGGAAGGAAGGAAGGAAGGAAGGAAGAGATGGGAAGGTACCTCTTCCCTAGGTAAGATACCCTGACTCACTGGCTGGCTTGAATGTGTTTGGTTTTCAAGAGGTTGATTACGGGTGGGTAGCTGATGAGTCTATATAATAGAGGCAGAGGGAACTTGAACATGAGATGCTTGGTAGCCCGGACACTAGGGACCAGACCGAGACAGACCCTTGACAAGGGAAGGGTAGAAACTTGGTGACAGCTGCGTGGTATCTAGACACCTCTAGGACCTTGGGTTCATATCGTCCGTGTATATGAGCGTCAACAAGGAAGAGTATATATGATCCGCTTGGGTCATCATGGGCTATGATAAAGGCGGGAGACATGGAAAGGATGCTGGTAACTTGAGGGGCAAATACCAAAAGGGCCACTTGACCTTCAAGTTAAGAGTTTATATAAACGATGCTTGATGGAATCCCGGTTGATAGGTAGACCCCCCTTCAAGAAGTATGTGGTCAATATGGTTATCAACGATAACCAACACCGGTCAAGAACATGTGGTGTATAGAAGCTTCGTATTTCGAAAGGACAACCGTACCCAATCAAGTCATGAGATGACAAGTAAACAAAACCCCCTATATGTATGAAGGACAGAATAAACCCAAAACCCGCCAACCCGAACTCCATTCCCGCTTTATATTACCATCGTCTGTATCTTTTCTTCTTCATTATCCTCTTCTTCTTTTGATATGCAGCCGCATGTCGTATCCGCTCAGAAAATAACCTTGGAAGCAACAGTCAACAACCAAGCAGCATCATGCCACGTCCCACCCTCCTCCTTAGGCGGGGGCACCCGCTCATCCACCAGCTTCGACAGCTGTGCGTCCTCAAACCGTCTCTGCTCCCTCCTCTGATTATCATGCGGCCGCCTCCTCCTGTCCTCGCTTGACGAGTCCGTCTCGGTCGTCGACCCATCGTCATCCTCCGTCAACTGTCCCTCCGAGTGCTGTCTGCTACCATACGCCAGTTGATCGTCGTCATCGTCATCGCGGTCAGAGTCCGAGGAATCCTCCTCGTCGTCCTCCTCGACGGCAAACAGCTGGACGCCTAGCACGCGCCCGAACCAGGAGCCGATGTTGCGGTCCTTGACTAGGCGGCGGACGGCGATCTCGTCTTGGACGATGGAGGCCGCGGCGTCGTTGTCGAGCAGCAGTTGTTGCTGGTTATAGTGGGCCAGCTCGAGCTTCTCGTCGAGGTTGACAAAGTCCGGACCGGGCCCGTTGTTGTCCTCGTCGTCCTCTTCCGTGATGCCCACCTCGTGGTGTTGGTGGTTGTACATGCCGTGGTGGTGGAAGTAGCCGGCGCTGTGCTCGAGGGCGGCGTGGCGCTCGTTGGGGGTGCGGGCGAGCTGGGTTCGGCTGCCGGTGCGGCTGTGGGAGCGGCTGCCCAGACGGCTGTGGATGGGCGAGGTGGTGTAGTACTCGTCGTCGATGATGTTGGTGCTGTGGCCGGTGGTCATCACCAGGCTGCCTCGTCGCGAGGCGTTGCGGCTGGCGGCCCGGCTGGCGTTGCGGGAGACGTTGCGACTACCGATGCCGGCGATTTGGTTGGCGGCGGTGTTTTGGAGGAGCAGTTCGCGCTCGCGGGCGAGCTCTCGCTCAAAGGCCTCCTCTTCGGCGTTGTGCAGGCCGGTCAGGGAGGTCGAGCTGGCGCGGGATACGAGCCATGATTGGCCCTTGGACTCGCGGGTCTCGGTGGAGATGAGGGCGCCGGCGCGGAGGAGCCAGTCGGATAAGTTGCGTTCGTTGTCGGCGGCGACGGCGGCGGCACTACGGCGCTTGTGTGTGGGGGAAGCGGCCCCGCTCTTGCTGCCGAGGTGGGTGGTCGACTTGGACTTGGGTAGCCCGGCGGCCGGAGCAGACTTGCCGCGTGAGTGATTCATACCGGTGCCGGTCATGGTAGCGACGCGGGCAGGGTGGGGACCTGGCGAATGGGAGATCAGACGAGGGGTAGATGGAGCGGATTTGCCCTGGAGGTAGGAAGTGCTGTGGGATACGTGCTCGAACTGCTGTTGGTACTGCTCGAGGAAGTCATCGTTGTCGATGGGAAGCTTGGAGGTCAATGGAGCAAGGGAGAGGTGGTTGAGGTTTGTTGAGGAGCGGTTCTTGCGCCGGGCGGCGTGCGAGTGCTGGTTGTAGGCCGCGTCCATGATGACGGTAAATTGATGGATGGATTGTGCAAGTTAAAAGTTAAAAGTGACAGTCCGGGGTAAGAATCCGGGGAAGCTGTGATTCAGATAGCAAGCGGTGTAACCTGACGTTATGGAGCGGCGCGGGGACCAGGAACAGGAACGACACTCTCAGTTGTATCAAGCAGGGCCAATCCCAGATATCCTAGATGTATGAAGTACGTAAGATGAAGCAAAGAAGAGGCCCGTCCGTGATGTGTCGGCCGATGGTTGGGTATAAATATCAGATTGGAAATGTTTGAGAGTTTGGACGATGCCAGTGTGAGGCCAGTGCAGATCTGGATACTAGCAACTAGCATGCAATACCGAGATGTAAAGCCGAGTTCGTCCGGTCGGTTTCGCCTCGTTTCTCGCGTCTCGCTTGTTGGCTACTGCTACTAGTCAAAGTAGTGTAGAGTCTAAAAGGCTTGGGTGATGGATGGAAAGGTCAAAAGATGAATGGAATTGCCCTGTTTATTTATTTGTTTTTATTTGTTACCAACGATACAGTATTCCCGTCTTGGTTTGGTTCGATGGTCGTTCGTTCGTATGCCGAGCGCAGACCGCGATGCTCTGCGATTGGTCAGATTCAAGCTGTAGTGGCGCCACCGTCAAAGCTTCTGGACCTTGACTTGATTGAAGTACCGAGTACATAACAGCCACACATTGCACTGCAGTCTGTCGCGGTACCTCGATACCTACGGCAGACGTTTTCCTGCTTCCTCTTGAGATTGAAGCTGCATATCTCCCTTGCTGTTCCTGCTGTTGTGATACCCAAAAACACTGCTGTCAGTGACTGCCAGTGACTGTTCCTGGCTACCGGTGTATATCAACTTACATATCAAGGCATTCAACGGCGGCTACCTGTAGCACTGCAGAGGCTCGCTTCCGATATCAGACGTTTTTCGGCCAGTTCCTGTTGCTCCAAACTGGATTTACTGTCGTCTCTGCGTCTCCAATACCACCGCAGTCAAAACACCATCTTTCGATCGAGTGACCGTTTCCATTTTACGAACCCTTGGTTGCGTCGGAAGTTAATTCGACCAGTCCAGCCCAACTACCGCTTTTTTCCATTCCCGTCGGATTTATCCTCACGTTGTACAGCCAATCACATCTGGTGAAGGACTTGCATGCTGACGACTCAACGGGGCATGCAGCCCAGCAAACCACATAATTGGCCAAAATAGTGTGGGGATAAATCCGAGTTGAATGAAAAAAAGCGGTAGACCAACCCCGGATCTGCCTACTCAAGCCCACTGCCCAGAGAAGACCAGATCCGCAACAGGCGCGTTCTCGACTGCGATTCGTCCAATCATTGGAAGGGGCGAAAAAAGTGTGAAATTCCGAAAACGATTCGAGTCGAACAGGAAACTGCAACTCGAACCGAAAGAAACTGTCGCTCCCTGCAACTGCAACTGAAAAGCGGAAAGAACAGAAAAAAAGAGGGGTAATTGGGCACTTCCACATCGAAGCTGCTGCTGCAAAGAAACATCGACAACCTGAACCCCTCTTTCCACTCACTGCTTGAAAGTGACAGGGCTGCATTTGACTGGTCTATCAAATTGGTCACTGGACTTGTGAGACTTTGAAAGCTCACCACTCAGAGTCAACCTCTTGAGACATCTATAGGGCTTTTCTAACTGGTAGGTAACTGAGTTTCTTTGATTCCCCTCTACCTCTTTGCTTATCGATTCGCTACACCACAAACACAGTTCTATCAAGGTTGGTGATACCAAACATCAAGCTTCACCTTGCAGAAGACACTACTACACTTCACCACACCCTATGCACATTCACTGCACATACACACTTGCTCATCCTGCCCTTACATACCTCTACTTCATGCCCACATAATGCAAAAGCTTCGGATAGCTTTCGTTCACATGTAACTGCCACCCAACCATTCTCTTATCTTTTTTTCCAATTTTCACTTTGAGATGGTGTCGTCGTTGGCAGTCTTTGAACCGCCGAAAATTTCCGAACAATACGACCATATGACCCTCTTACACGATCTCTAGGGGTTCAGATCTCCAAAATCTCTGACTTCACCCTTTCCCTTTTAGTCGAACCACATCCGTTCATGCATCAACACCAAGGCTGGCCGTGAATCTGACACTAGTTCCGATACAACCTCTAGGTACCCCATCAGGCCCATACTTCCTACCCTCGGCCCAGCTGTATTGAAGCAGCATTGTTTAGGTAGAGAATAGGCATTGACACATATCGGCTGCTGCAATGCGGAATCTGCGCAACATCGGGCACGGCGCATACAAGCCGGGTCAAGAACAACCCCTGCCCTCCAGATCCATCTCGGCTTCCTGCTGGGACGTATCCCGCGATGAGATTATCCTTGCTCATGGCCCTACCCAAGACTTCCCCCGAGTCGAGCTGGTGAGGCTCGTGAAGGACTCCGGCTCTGAACCTTCGAACCTGTAAGACCTTCACACAACACTTAAACAGCATCATATTATGTATCTGTAGTTCAGTCATCATTCATGGATAGAAACAAAAGCTAAGACACCCGTATAATTCTCCTATAGTGAATCCAAACTCGTAGCATCATGGGATGCCGCGCCCGTCCTCAGACAGAATGGCGAAGAGCCAGACATCATCAAGAGTCTGCACTACTTCCCCGACACCCTCACCACTTGCGTCATCATGGCCGGCGGTGACATTATCACCGTCACCGAGTCCGAGGGGGACGACTACGGCAGTGAAGGTGAGGCTCACGTCGAGATAGTCGGCACCCTCGAGCCGTCCGTCGCCGGCGCTCGCTGGTCTCCCGACGAGGAACTCCTCATCGTAGCCACCGGCGACGCCAAAGTCCTCTTCATGAGCCGCACCTTCGACGTCATCACCTCCGCCACCATGACCGAGGACGACCTCAGGCTCTCCAAGCACGTCTCCGTCGGATGGGGTAAGAAGGAGACGCAGTTCCAGGGCAGGGGCGCCAAGGCCAAGGCGCTCCGCGACCCTACCATCCCGGAGAAGGTGGACGAGGGCCGACTCAGCGCCAACGACAACCTCCAAAAATGCAGCATCAGCTGGCGGGGCGACGGCGCCTATGTCGCTGTCAACTTCTTCTCTCAAGAGAGCGGCGGGCGGAGAGTAATCCGCGTGTACAACCGCGATGGCGAGCTGGACAGCGTCAGCGAGCCGGTCGATGGTCTGGAGGGCAGTCTCAGCTGGCGGCCTGAGGGTAACCTGATGGCTGGCATCCAGCGTTTTTCTGGGTCTGATCAACGTGTCGATGTCGTCTTCTTCGAGAGAAACGGGCTCAGACACGGGCAGTTCACGCTCCAGATCCCCCAGGACCAACCAGAGGCTGCGGAGGACTTGGCGCTCGAGTGGAACGCGGACTCGACTGTCCTCGCCGTCATTATGAGAGATAGGGTGCAACTGTATACCATGGGTAACTATCACTGGTATTTGAAGCAGGAGCTTCCTTTGTGCGCCGCCGATTATGCCCAGCTCGCCGCCGCGGAGCAGCAGTCTTCTCAGGCTCGGGCTGCTGAAAGCCGCTGGACACCACTCCCTTGGTTTTCGTGGCACGCTGAGAAGCCGCTTCTTTTCGCCGTAGCTGCTCCGGGTATGTACCAACACCTTTTTTCTCCAGCACCTTTGTTCCCAAGCTTACATGTTTACAGAAAGAGCGGTTTGGTTCGAATATATCCTGGCCATTGCCCGTGGTCCCATGTGCGGCGGTATGGGCGATGTTGCAGTCATCGACGGACGCACCATCAAGTTTACTCCTTTCCAAACCGCCAACGTCCCCCCTCCTATGGCCCTTTACGACATCGAGGTGGACTACCCCGTAACGGACATTGCCTTCTCCAAGGACGCTTCCCAGATGGCTGTCTTGCACCAAAAGGGCATGCACCTCTTTGCCCTTGAAAAGCAGGGTCCTGCTGGTCGTCGTGCCGCTCCCAAGTTGCTCAAGACTATCCCGCTTGACAGCTTTGAGAACAAGTGTCAGCTACAGATCGCCTTCTCGGCTCCTTTCCAGGTCCAGGTACTCTCGCTGGATGATTTCCACCTGCAGATTACCGGTTGGGACTTTAACGAGGAACTGATGCTGGGTGAAGTTGGCGTTGGTCTGCAGGCTGTCACTCTCACTTCTGCTGATGAAACATCGGTCGAGGATGGCACAATCGTTCAAGATCGCCAGGGCAACATTACCCGGGTCTCCGTGGAGACGGGCGAGACTGTGCTGGGCAAGTTTCCTACTCTCCTTCCGTGGGCCACCTACACAACCTTTGAAGACCAGTTCATCGCTTTTGGTCTGTCCAGGAATGGCCATCTTTACGCCAACTCTCGCCAGTTGGTGAAGAGTTGCACGTCTTTCGTCGTCACTGACAAGCATCTCATCTACACGACCAGCAATCACTTTGTCAAGTTCATCCACTTGACGGCCAATGTTGACGAACTCGACGTGCCTCTAGATGATCCTGAGACCGATGAGCGTTGCAGAAGCATTGAACGGGGAGGTCGCCTCGTCACGGCTATGCCTTCCAGGATGAGCATCGTGCTCCAGATGCCTCGCGGTAATCTTGAGACCATCTACCCCCGTGCCATGGTCCTAGCTGGTATCAGACAACTGGTCGAGCAGAAGGAGTATGGTGCTGCCTTTGCCACATGCCGCACCCAGCGTGTGGACATGAACCTTCTCTACGATCACCGGCCGGAGCAGTTCCTTGAAAACGTCGGTCTCTTCCTTGATCAGGTCAAGAACGCAGCCGACATTGACCTGTTCCTGTCTACACTCAAGGAAGAGGATGTTACGCAAACCATGTACCGCAACACCAAGGCCGGCGTCGTCACAGCCACCACTCAGCCGGCCCTGACCACTGCCCCCAAGGCCAGCAAGATCAACACCATCTGCGACGCCGTCCTGCACAGCTTGAAGGCCAAGAAGAACGCCAACCTGCAAAACATCATCACCGCTCACGTCTGCAAGAACCCTCCCGCCCTCTCGGACGGTCTGCAGGTCGTCGCCTCCCTTATGGAAGAAGACGAAGCCCTAGCCGAGCGCGCAGTCGAGCACATCTGCTTCCTGGTCGACATCAACAAGCTCTACGACCACGCCCTCTCGCTCTACAACCTCGAGCTGACTCTCCTGGTTGCCCAGCAATCCCAGCGTGATCCGCGTGAATACCTCCCCTTCATCCAGTCCCTGCACAAGATGGACCCTCTGCGCCGACAATTCACCATCGACGACCACCTCTCGCACCACGAGAAGGCGCTAACCCACCTCCGGCTGATCGCCAACACTTACTCCGAGGAAGTCGAGTCCTACATCATCAAACACCAACTCTACCCCTCCGCCCTCGCTCTCTACCGGAACGAACCCACCCCTCTCCGCACCATCACCGCCCTCTACGCCGCCCACCTCCGCTCCCTCTCCAAGTTCCGCGACGCCGGCTTGGCCTACGAGTCCCTAGGCGACTACCCAGCTGCAACTGAATGCTACCTCAAAGCCGGCACCTCCTCGTGGCGCGAATGCCTCTTCACCTCCTCCCTCGACCCTTCTCTCTCTCCCGACCAGCGACAAGAAATCGCCTCCACCCTCGCCGACGCCCTCCGCGAAGCCAAGGACTGGGCCGCCGTCGCCACCATCCAAGCCGAGCACTTATCTTCTCTCCCCTCCGCCATTTCAGCCCTCTGCAAAGGCTACCTCTTCGCCGACGCCTTCCGTCTTATCTCCCTGCACTCCCGCCCCGAACTCCTCGAATCTCATCTAGACCCAGGCCTCCTCGACGCTTTTAGCTCCTCAACCGAGTTCCTCGCCGACTGTAAATCCCAATCAAAAGCCCAAGTCCCCCGCATCGCCGAACTCCGCCTCAAGGCCGCCGAGGATCCCTTGGCTTTTTACGAGGGGGAAAACCCCTTTGGCCAGCGCACCGGCGCCGGAGCCGCAGGCGACATCCCCGACGATATTTCGGTAGCCGCTTCGTCGAGAGTCTCAACCTCCGCCTCTTTGTTTACTCGCTACACCGGCAAGGGCTCGCAAGTCACGGGGACCGTGGCCTCCAACGTCTCCCGCGCCACGAGCAAGAACCGCAAGAGAGAGGAGAAGAAACGTGCCAGGGGAAGGAAGGGGACGGTTTACGAGGAGGAGTATCTGGTTAATAGTGTGAGGAGATTGGTTGAAAGAGTGGAAGGGTCAGCGAGACAGGAGGTGGAGAGATTGGTGTGCGCGCTGGTGAGGAGGGGGATGAGCGAGAGGGCGAGGGCGGTGGAGGGGTTGATGATGGAGGTTGTGGAGGGGTGTGAAAGGGCTGTGGGGGAGGTTTGGCCTGCGCAGCAGGGGCAGCAGCAGGGTGGACAGCACGAAGGGGGAGAAAATGGTGGGGGTGATTGGGAGGGTGCCGATTGGAGACCGACGGGTGGTGATGCGGTTTTGGCGGATAGTATTGAGGCTATGAGGAGGGGAGTGGGGAAGCCGGTGGTGAAGAAGTTTGAGAGGTTGAGTTTGTTGGGTGGTCGTTAAGGGAAGAAGGGGGTGTGGTTGGAATGGGTGGATGGATGGAATAGATGGATGGGGAAAAGCATGAAAAGTAAAAGGGGGTTGAGTTGTTGTTGATGGAGGAAACGGTTGAAAAGTTGGAGTCGGAAAAAAAAAGAAGGAGAAAGATGTTGAAATTTGTGCTGGACTAGATATGGTAGGTAGGTTGTTTGAAAAGTACGATAGAGAACAAAACAAAAGAAGTGAAAAGTGTTAGAATGCCCCTTTTCTTCACAGCCGTATGTGCCTTTTTGCCGTGAGAGAGGGTTGAGGGAGCATAAACTTGGAGTGAACATGGGCCTTTTTCCCCGGCCGCATCGAGTTCACGATGAGGGATGAAGAGTGTTAATCTTCTTGCCTGTGTTAGGGATATAGGAAACGCTTATGAAATGCCCACCCAGTCGAACCCATTGTCGCAGCGGAATATTGCGTAAGTCCGGCTGATACCATTCCCCGAGTTGTATTGTGTTCAACATTCTCCAGGCTTGCGGTTGGAGGCACAGAAATCTGATCAAGAACTATATCGATTTGGTGTGAGATTCTGGGCCTTTGGTCCTCTATACACCTGCCACATAACACCTAACTTGAAGTTTCTCATATCTCCGTCCATCCGATGCCCCTTTTTGATCTGACCCAAATGCATTTTGTATACCTTTTTGACCATATACACTAAAAATACACACACACAAAGTTGGAACTGCCCATTTTTGACCTGTCACAGTTTCCTCCCCATTTATTCCTCTTCTGCACTCAATACAAGCATTTCTCAGCTTCTTTTGCACTGAATGCTTCTTGGGAAGGAATCCTTATGGTCCAGGGGACACTCCACATCCACACTTCCTATTCAAACCCCCACCCTTTAAACCTTTGGTTGCTCAGGGCTCGTTGTAGTAGTCGCATCCTCCCCACCAAGCGATAACTGCTCAACCGCCTTCTCGATCTGTGCCACCGTCTCCTCCTTCACCTTGGGCTGGGGCCCGGCCTGCTGTCCGAGCTTATTCCTCGCAACAACCTGGCCAATCTTCGCCAGCATCTCCTCAGTCAATACCGGCTGGCCACGAGCACGACGAAGCTCGCGCTGCTTCCGGTTATACTCCTGGACGGGGGTGAGCATAGCCTTGGCCGCCGACTTCTTGGCCTCCTTCTCCTGCTCCTCCTGCTCCTTCTGGGCGATGTACTCGGGCGTATGACGGGTGCGGAAGATGGAGTACTTGTTGCGGAGCTCGTCGAGGACCTGCTGGGGCGCGGGCGGGCGGAACAGAGTGGGCACGTACGTCTTCTCGTCCAGGTCGATGCGCAGCGTGTCGGCCGGTTGGTCCTCGCGCTTGATGGGTTCCTGCTTGGGCCACGGGATGATGATGTTCTCGCCGGGGACGAAACGGCGCATGCTACGGGTGCGCGTGGGCCGGTCGTGCACGATGTCGCGCGGGCGCAGCTCGCGGATGATCACGTCCCGGTACTCGCCCGTCTGGGGGTCCTTGAGCGGGTGGACGAGACGCACGGAGGAGATGGGCAGGCGGGCGTAGATTTGGGTGACGGGCTTGTCGGAGCCTTCCATCATGAAGTTGGGTACGGTCGTGTTTGTCTGGAGGGGGGGACAACATGTGGTGAGCATTTATATCTACGATGATGCACATAAACAAGACAAGCAAGGCAACAGCGAGGTTGGCATGGTTGGACGGGCTCACTTTGAGTTTCTCTGCTTGGATCTCTACTGTCATGTTCCGGGTGTTGAGCTTCTCGATGGTGCCGATAAGGTCCTTGTGGTGGCCTTCGATGACCACGACGCGGTCGCCGGGGGCAATGCAGACGAATTTGGGAGAACCGCACCAGGCAACGCGGGCCTTCCTCTCCTCTTCCGAGACCTCGTTCTCGAGCAGGGCACGGGTGGGGGAGACGGAGCCGTAGTAGTTTCCGCTACTCAGCGTTATCTCGCCGAGTTCGCGGCGGGGAGCGAGGGGACCCAACATCCAGTCCTCATTGCGAGCCTCGATGGCGGCCTTCCGTTGTTGAATGGCTTCGGTGAAGACTTCACCGTTCTTCTTGTTCTGGGTTCTCTCGGTAATGCGCTTCAGGAGGGCGTTCTTGCGCTGGGCGCGGCGAGCAACCATGCCCTCGGCCATGCGCACACGCCGCAGCAGCTTGTCCATGGTTGTGTATGTGTGTGTGTGTGTCCGGCGCTGGGGTATCTGGAGGAGGAGGAGGCCGGAGGAGATGAGCGGATGGGCGGAGCGCGGGGAGTCGGGCGGTCGCGGGGTCCGGGGCAGGTCGGGTCCGTCTTGAATCTGGAAGTCGATTTCTCAGTAGTCCCGCGGCGCCGTTGAGGTCCGAGTCGCTTCCACTTTGCGGCTTTGCGGTCCCGCCGAACGATCAAAAAGTGTAGCGGGTCCGGCCGGCGGTACGAGGGTACGTACCAGGGTCCAGGGTTTCCACGCGTGCATGTTCCTGGCCCCGTTCGCTTTTGCTCGACCCGTGTTTTTCTTTGTCCTGCCAGCTGATATGTCTGGCTTGACGGCTGGCAGATGTACTGCTGTAGCGGAGAAGCTTATCGCATCGAATTATCGTTATCGTATAAGACAGTACCTAGGTTGCAAGTACCCGACCTGTTCGTGCGATGTGGCTGAGGTAGGTAAGTTGAATTTGACAGTCTTGTTCCTCAACCCGATCTAATCATGCTGAGCGACTGAAAGTGAAGATATCAATGTTTATGCCCGACCGGGAGCACTCCAACATCCAACTCGCCGGCATGGAATGTTGAAGGTACCTCAGCCGACAGGCGGTGCAGCCCGGGCATGAGTGGGTCCCGCATCCAGATGGAAATTCCTCTCAAAGTCTCAATGGGATGGCACTGGATGGCATCTCCCAGCCCCGGACAATTTGGACAATCGAATGATGCAGAGTGACGGGTAGGACTTTTTGGAACCATGATGGACGGGATAAGGTAGGACTTATCGTTTGACATCTGGCACCATGGCGGTTTGACTGTTGACGGCTGACGGATGACGGGTGGCAGCTGACGGGGGATTCGTTCTCCAGCCTCTCCTATCCCGTTTCGTCTCGTCATCCATCAAGTCAACAAGCTCACTGACTGTGTATGACATGGCAACCGAGATGTTCGCAATTCAACAGAGGCACCGACACTTTGCTGACCGCTCTCATCTCCAACTGGTCCAGCTGGGTCACCGCGTGTGTTATCCGGGCCGTCTCTTGGTATATATCTGTGATGACAGCCAGGTGAAATGGGGTATAGTGTAGTGTATCCGCCATGTTCGCTTCTTTCAAGAGAGTCTTGGACCCTGACAATGCCCGAGACAGAAATTACCTAGAAACCCAAAAAAGGCGACCGGAAGGAAGAGGCCCACGACGCACTGTGCCTGTTTCTTTTGGCGTTCAGGGGTTCTGGGCAGTCTGGAGATTAGCAGTTATCGCCGCCGCCCACTGGACCACGCTGGAGCCTCGCCTGCTCTACTAAGGTAAAATCCTGGGGCCACGGCAGCAGCGCGTGCTTCCCCCTTTGATCGACAGCCAGCCGAGCCAGCGCAGCGTGTCGGGTGTCCAACTACTGCGGTATGGATGTCTGATGGCCATCAAAGTGGTAATTTGGCCAGTCCCCACCGTGCACTTTTGCGCTTGTCGTTGACCTAAAAGAAAAAAGGTCGAGAGTCGTGTCGGGAGATGGCCTTATTAGCCTTTTGGGACAAGTCCGGGGTAGTGAAAAGGGGGAACTGGAACGAACATGACGGCGACGATTTCAACGTCGGTCCACTGCAATATCACCAAATCACCTCTCTTTTCGCGTGCAAACAGCGAGAATTACATTTAGTAAAGTGACAAGATTAACTGTAGCTGGGGTTCGGTACGTACCGCTTGTTGAGGATCGGGCCACTCACATCGCGCTCCAGAACGCTCCCGCCTCCAACCGGCCACTCACATCAACCCGGCACTCCCCTTGTCTGGCCTTTGCTCTTGGCTCGTCTCGGCCTCGCAACCCCCTACCGGGCTCCTGTACAAGTGATGGGGTATTCTGCTGCCTGCCTCCACTGCCTCTGTGTGTGTAATGAACTGTAAAGACGAAGCGCCCTGGCCTGTGCCTGGCCTGCCTTACCTAGGAGTCCTGGGGCTGCCCACTGCCTCGCTCACCACCCACTGCCCTCCACCTCCCGTCTGACTGCCCTGGTTCGCTGGCTGAGGTTTCCACCCTCTTCCAATCTTGCCCGTGGGAGTCCTGCACCTGGCACCCGCACCTGGCTATCTGGTGGTCCCCCCGTCTCCGTTCCCCGTCTCCGTCTCCGTCACAACAACCAACTCGCAACTTTAACTTTAGCACAAGCACACCACCACCACGTCCAGCGGCACTACTTGTCAGGACTCCTTCAACAACCACCCAACACCCCATCTCGATTTTCCTTCCCTTTTCCATTTTGCATCTTTTATCGACCAATTCCAGGCCGCGTGATACCCTCTCCGCCCTTTCCATACCCGTCGACAATAAAGCACCGTCGACAATCAACTATCCATCTTAATCTCTCCCCTATTCACACAACCACCAAACCGACACCATGTCTGCTGAACTCCGCCGAAAGCTCGTCATCGTTGGCGATGGTGCCTGCGGCAAGACCTGTTTGTTGATGTATGTCGATTCGCTTCCCCTATCCTCAGCGCGCGTCGTCGTCACCGCCGCTCCCCCCCATCGCTACCTTTTGCTAACCGAATCTCCAGCGTCTTCTCCAAGGGAACCTTCCCCGAGGTAAGTCAGGCACTTGTCGGGACTCAGACATCCATCTACATATCACCGCCCCTATTACCTGACGAAACACGCATTTTCCTGCCAATTCCCGCGTAACGAGAAACACGATACATGTCCCCAGCCCGATAAAATCATCAAGCCATCAAATTCGAAACACCCGCTTTATCGCCATCATATCCACATCCGAATAAGCGCTGCTCAGCCAGCTAACTGTCTGCGCTCAGGTCTACGTCCCTACCGTTTTCGAGAACTACGTCGCCGATGTCGAGGTTGATGGCAGACACGTCGAGCTCGCGCTATGGGATACGGCTGGTCAGGAGGATTATGACCGTCTCCGTCCCCTGTCCTACCCCGACTCTCACGTCGTCTTGATCTGCTTCGCCATCGACTCCCCCGATTCGCTCGACAACGTTTCCGAGAAGGTCAGTATCCCGCCCGCCCGCTCGGCGCACCCTGCTCTTTGACGCTTCAATTTGCTAACAATCAAAACAGTGGCACTCTGAGGTTCTCCACTTCTGCCGTGACGTCCCAATTATCCTCGTCGGTTGCAAGAAGGATTTGCGCCACGACCCCAAGACCATCGAGGAGCTCCGCAAGACCAGCCAGAAGCCCGTTTCCCCCGAAGAGGTACGTCAGGCTGAAACAAAGGCGGCTGATGATGCCCGTTTCGTGTCTAGTCCCTTTCCCCCGCTTGTTTGGATACATATGCTAACGCGCTTATCAACAGGGTGAGGCTCTGAGGAAGAGGATCAACGCCCACAAGTACCTCGAGTGCTCGGCCAAGACCAACGAGGGTGTCCGTGAGGTGTTCGAGAACGCGACAAGAGCCGCCCTTCTCAAGAAGACAAAGACGAAGAGGGGCCTCTGCAAGAGCTCGGTCTAAACGAACCACAGCTCTGAAAGAGACGCTTTTACTTCTACCGCACGACGAACAACATCATCTGCACCAAGCCCTCCCCGGATAGCCTCGCAATATGTAATCAAGCAACGGTTTTCAAAGCGAAAGAAATAATCACCTTAGTTGATCATTCTCTGCCAATGTCGCCGTCAATGCTGCTACCGAGCGGATAATATTTCACAGAGAGAAGAAGAAAGGGGTGGGGAGCGCAAATGGGGAGGGGCTTGGCATCTCGGGGATACTTATGGGCCTTACTACTCGATATTTAGGGAGGATAACTGGGTCTGGACTCCTTTCCACTATTTCTGTGTGTGTGGCTGGCGTGGACGGGTGCGTGGGTTGTGTTCATGTATACACAAATGGCGGACACCTGAGGGCGGCAAAGGGAAAGAGAGAAAGACGGAGAAAGGAGTTTTTGCGGTTCAATATTCTTGTTTCTTCTGGAATCACATGCCGCGTCTCTTTCTCTCTTACCCATCTCTTCTATCTCTCTTTCTCTGTCACTGCCCGCGTGCGTCTGTCTCTTATCTCTCTCTCTCTCACGTGTATCTCTCTGGGTCTACCTGTCTGTTATTAATTTCTAGTTTTATCGCGTTCTTGTTTATCTGTCTCTGTCTGCTGCTGCTGCATGGTTCAAATTGGGAATTTGAGATCGAATGTTACGTATTGTTTGGACGACTTCCGAACGTCCTTGCTACTTCCATAGACCGTTGACGACAGTTGCTGTTACCTATCTTATACCCAAACTACCATCGCCTGTCCCATCCCCTGCCTCAACCCGTTTGTCTGATCTTCAGTCCAAAGTTCAGTAGTCATCCCTTCGCTGTCATCACAATCCGCGGGGAGAGGAGAGAGGCCGCCAACCCCAAGACTCAGACGTGAAACAGTTGCGTGAATGAAGGACGTCATGCCTGTCAAGGGTCTACCTAGTTATGAACCCAGATCGTCACTCGGTCAGCAAGCGACCTAGTTGTAGAGAGAGGCGGTTCAAGTCCAGTGCAGAAATTAAGAAGCAGTAGAGAAAGACATTCGTCGTGACGCCAGCGAGAACACAGGAGAGGAAGCGGCTAAGTAACTGCTGTGTACTTTTTTTGTTGGTGTTCGAGTAAAATGAGGTGTGGATAGAGCAGTTGGGATTTCTGAAACGGATATCGGTCTATCGGCATCGAAGGGCTGGCTGTTACTGTACTAACTCTACCACTCGGCAGCGAGGTATGTATGACCCATCTATCTTGAACAATTCTCTCTATCTGTCTCTTGTGTTGTCGCATGAAAATCAATCCAGGGCAAGAATGAACGAAGTGTGGCTTTGCTTCAAGTTGTTCAGGAACTGGTCACTGGTGCCGGTGACTTTCTGAAGTATGTCCGCTCCCGCGTTCTTGCTACAGGTCGAGGTACTGATAGATTTCCAACTTATCTATCTACCTCTGATACTGATATCCAGATAGCCAATACATTGCCTTCCAGGAAGCCAGATAAGTTCATTCTTCACTCCTCCCAGCATCGTCTCTTCTTTCCAGACGACAAGACATGTCCATACCCAAGTCTATGCCAGACCCTTCTCTCACAATAAGACGCCCAGCGGCCAGTCCTCATGGGATCTAGGTCGTGATGCTGCAGCTTGGTTGCTTAGTTGGGGCAGGACTGTAACCGGGAGGGTTAGTGAGGTTAATATGCCTTTCCTTATGGTCCATGTCTCGAGAAGAGTAGCGGCCAGCAAAGCTGGGAGGCTGGGCTTGGGTCAAGGTGAAGGTAAAGATGAACAGAGATAAGAGAGCCATGGAATTGATGTAAACTTACAGCACCGCAAGAACCGCAGGACTTGGAGGAACCGTCAGAGGCGGCACCGCACTTGGGGCAGCTGGATCCGTGCATTGTGATTTCTGGGTTGATTTGGTAGAGGAGTTGGTGTTTGGTGTTGGGTTACAGAGTTGGAGTTGTGATTGCTGAAAGAAGACTTTGAATTTGGATGAGAGGCGCAAATTTGAGGGACGACGGAAAGACCGAAAGCAGACTGGAGGAAGTTCTACAAAGGGTGGGGACGGAGCTAGAGACATCAGAGGTATTTATACTTTTTGAAAGACAACTTCTCACAATGTAGGTAGTCATGTTACCTCTATTTTTTAGCCAGATAAGGTAGCTAGCTCCCCTTTCCCGCTAAGTCATATGCTATGGTTGTCTACTAGATGACCATCTGTCTTGGGGGGTGTGCTAACCAGGCAGGCAGGCACACCTTTCTACTCCCACTTCGACTCAAGTGTGCGGCACAGTTATTGCACTCTCGAGACTCTATGGTCCGTGTGCATCTCGAGATCAATCTGACTGACTTGGCCCGCTAGGACCGACTTGGTCACCACTAGGAAGCCGCATCCACTCGCTGAGTTCCCGTTTTGATGAGGCCAGCCAGCACTCGACTATCCGTGTCCCATCCTAGGTAGTTTGAAGATTTCGGTTCGCATCCAGTATTCTGTTTTTCCCCATATGTCCCATCCATCGTCTCACCAGACAGCCCCCATTCATTCCCATACTTTATAGTGTAGTGTAGTGTAGTCAGCCCCATATCACAGCCCGCAGTGCCTATCATTCAGGGTCTCAAGGGGGGTCTACGCTAGCACTAGGGGCGGTGATCCCCCAGGTAGTTTTGGAAGCTTGGCAGCCAGTCGTGCCAGCAAGTGTACCCACCCCCACCCACTGGATTAGCAATCCCAGGGGCCCTGAATGGTTGGTTAATACTAGGTACTTGATACACAGTCAGGTGTTGCTGCCTTGTTGCACCACCGCTACGATGTGCTGTGCATGTTGACCTGCTGGTGGATGGGTGATCATGGGAATCTTAAAACGATTGGTAGGTATCTCTGATATGGGGGTAGACTTCAAGTTGGAAAGTAGGGCTGTCTCTGCTGTAATTCTACAGCTCTCAAAGGAGGATGATATCGATGTACAACTGAAGATCGGCTATGGGGGATACAAATCCAAACGTTGGACAACGGGGCCAGGTTTACTATGTAAGGCAGACTGAAACGCGGGGGAAGAAAGGTTGAATCGATAACGAACCACAGTTCATCTCATGTTCAGGTTTATTTCTTCTCCTCGGATGAACCAAGTTATGAAGGTACAGAACGTACATTCGTAGCACCTTACTATCTGCATCTGTTCGGTAAAACACGCAGCTATGATATGATAGTGTGAAGTGTGGGTGGGAAGATAGATGGATGGATGCATCGACAGGCCTCGTGGTACCCTACCTCCCTACCTACTACTGTGTAGGTGCCGACTGAATAGCCCGCTCGTATGTAAGTTATATACCGTCATGTGCAACCCGACAATAACATACCCGCAAATACCCAACTAAACCATAGCCATATCCCCAAGTCTTCGGTCGCCCGCCCCTGTGTAGGTACATATGTGTACCTGTGTATATGCCGTTCTATATCCCACCCCTATGACCTTTCATATCAAACAAGCAAGCCTCCTCCCCTCCCCTTTCCCCAGCAAGCAAGCACAAGCAAAAGGTAAACAAAAACCCCTTCTTCAAAACTCAACGCCAGCGTGTCCATATTTTTCTTCTTCCTTCCATACAATACAGTACAGTACATCCCATCCCAGCCCTACACCCCATTATTAAGACCACGTCAAGACCAAGAGACTAAGACATACACTGCCCCACGCCCCCTTCCCCCCTCACCATCTTCCCAACCGCCTGCAGCATACTAATTCCCATAACCAGCGTGCCAAACGCCGCCGTAGCCCAGGCCCCCGCCCTCTTCCACCCTCCCGTCTCCTTGGTCAGTTTCAAATAACACAACGGCGGCAGAATATATGCCATAGCCGCCGCACTAGTAGCGCCAACCAGCTCAAACACCGTTCCCAAATCACAAGTAATCATGCTCAACACCATGGCGCTGACTACTAAACTAGAGGTGAACAGCAGGTGCAGGTTCATGTTGAACGGATCCCCGGGGAACCAGTAGTTGAGCATGACCTCCCGACAGACAAAGGCTTCCAAAGGCAAAGTGGTGAGCATGTTCAACCCGAAGCAGAGGCGGGCGACGTTGACCATGGTGTTGTCGGCGGGGAAGTTGTTGAGGACGTTTCCGAGGGTGCGGTCGCCGAAAGTCAGGAAGCCGACGAGGGCCATGAGGAGACAGGCGATCATGGAGACGCCGGTGGAGATGTGGGTGACGAGGGAGAAGCGGTCGATGGTGGGGGTTTTGAGGGAGCCGTAGATTAGGAGGGAGTTGTGGTGGCAGACGAAGGCTGTGATTTTGTTAGTTTCGTTGTTGTATGCATGTAGAGACCAGGGGGTAACGTACCAAAGGATATCACTCCTATAGCTTGGAATATGCCATCGTTGATGACGAGCAAATTCCAGCTTGCCAACGTCCCTCTGTCTGCTGCTGGAGCTAATCCGCCTTGTACCAGGACCGTGACCAAGATCACGGCCATGCTGACCAGAGCGAGGGTACTCGCTTTTGCTAGCTGTATCGTAGAGAACCATATTAGCCGTCCGTCCGTCTCGTTTCGTCTCTCATCAACCTCTCAACCACATCCCCCCTCCCATCCAAAGAAAGACCAAAACTCACCATAGCAATATCCCTATACAACGCCAACGGATAACTAACCCCCAACGTACAAACCAAAATAACCCCCTGCCTCCCCACCAACCACCCCACCAGTGTCCCCTTGACCCCCTCCTCTTTTAGTTCCGGCCAAATCGCCCTCAACACATTCGGTATCGAATCGCCCACAATCACCCCAAACGCAACCATTCCACCAAACGCAAACGCCCACTGCGCCACGGATATCGCTATCAACCCACTCCGTCCAAAACACTTCTCCACGGTTCCCTGGAAAGAATTCGCCCCGGATAACTTCGAGTTAATCACTATGAGTCTAATCGTCCAGTCCACCACGACCGTCAGCCCCACTAGCAACACCAACCCGGACAACAACCCCGCCTGCTTAAACGCGTACGGCTGCCCGATTATGCCCGCACCGATGATGGAGTTGGCCATGTTCATAAAGGCCATGCGCAAGCCGGATTTGGGTCTGGACCGCTCTGTTTCGGCCCATGAGGCTACGTCTTCGTCTGAGCCCCAGGGACCGTTGTTGGCGACGGTGACGGAGGGTGCTTCGATCCCCGTTAGGAGCGGGACGCGCCCTTGGCGGTGGTAGTCGGAGGAGGTGAGTGGCTGCTGATCCGAGTCGTCTATGTCGAAGTAGGAATCGAAGGAGTCGCGGGCGTGGTGGTGGTGGTCTTCTGGGGCGCCTGCTGCTGCTGCTGCTGCTGCTTTAGGGCTGTTGTCGCCAAAGGTGGTAGGACGTAGGTCGAAGCGCACGCGGTTCGGAGTGCGAGGGGTCCGTGGGGTTCGAGGGTCCGAGAGGGCGGATTGTCGTCGGGGGAGTTTGATGTGTCCTGGTCCTGGTCCTTGTCCTGGTCCTGGGTCTGAAGGAGGACTGTTGCTGCCTTCTCGTTGTTCTCCTGCTGCTGTCCCTGTCCCCGTCCCCGCCCCCGCCCCCGTCCCGTTTCCTGTTATTGTAGAGTCTTCGCCGTCGTACCCATCGTCATCGAGCAGATCGGGGCCACCGCCGGATAGTAACCCGACATCTTCCTCGTTGTGATTCCTGTGGGTGGAAGCAGCCCGGGGCCCTCCAGCGCCAGCGCCAGCGCCATGCGATTTGGCGGCTTTGCCCATTGCTTTCCTAGATAGCTTTTCCGTCTTTTCTCCGTATGTTCCTTCTCTCTTCTTTTTATATAGCTCGGCAGTCCCTTTCTATCCAGGGCATCGTCTTTCTCTCTATGTGATCGTTCAGATTTATTCGGTTTGTCGGTATGTTTGTTGGTTATGATCGAATAGTAGGTAGGTATTACGGATGTCGGTCTCGGTCTCGGGGAAGCGGCGGACTAACGAGCGAGCGGTTGCCGCGGTCTAGGTGGGTGGTCGTGTAAGTCAAAGAAGGTATTAAAGCCAGCTAGCAGTACCAACGGTTCGGCAGGCAAAGAAAAGTTGAGACCGGATTAAAGCAAACACAGCTAGCTGCCAACAAGGTTTCTAGTGTTCAACCAAAAAAGGACAAGAAGAAAGGGCAATTAGTCGGTGTTGGTGCTGGAAGCTTGTGTGGAGTTGTTGTCTGGGGACAAAGTGGAAGTTTGGGGATACGTGTAATGCCTAAGCGGGATGCGGCATAGCGGATGCTGTTACCTCAACGGATGCGGATTGCGGATTGCGGACCCTTCGATCTTGAATGGACGGTGTCGATTAAATTGATCAAGTAAATCGTGACTTTTAGCTGCATGAGTTAGGGGACTCCAGGCCACCAAAAGCAATGAGTAGGGCCTCCCGTCCTGTCATGTGATAAACAGGGGATCAAACATCCCCTATTCACCTGGTGGATCCGGGGGCTAGCGGTAACAACCAAGCTTCACGGCATCCATTGAGCCTCTCTGGGCTGAGGTACACCACCACCAAGCACTTCCACTTCCACTCCATCCAAAACTAAGATCTATGCCAAGATCCCGTCATCATGGAAAGAATCGTGGCTAGAAGAAAAAATCTTATTGAAACCCAAACGCGGGAGAGCGGGCTTGCCAATTCGTCTTTGTTCCTTGGCGCCCGTCCCGGCGGGCGAGCTCCTAATCCCCGGCCTTCGACCACCACCAACCACCAACCACTGCACGACACAAACATCCAATGCCGCTCGTCCTTTTTAGTCTGGGGTATGGTAACAGAAACCGCCGACGTATCTATATGGCCGCATCTTCCCCACAGAAACAGCCCGAGAGAGCCTCAACTTTCGTCATTCGTCAACGTCAAGAAACCATCCATCAATTCTCCGTCTATATAAAATGAATGTGTGACTGTGCCCCCCCAAGGTATATGTAAAAGCCGGAAAAGCCCATTACTTCTATCGTTTGGACCCGTGTGTGTATGTGTATCTGGTGTACAGTACCCATCAAGAGCTCAAAGACACCCAAGTGAACCAACCCATATGACACCCGCGCCCGTTGTTATCATCTTCTACCATGATGGATTTGCATGTTGTATGTTTATACAGATCAGCTTTTTCTTTCTCCCAGCTCTCTTCTTCCAAAAATAATGGTGTCAACTCATTTTTTTTTCTTTCCGAAGGGACACTGAGGGTATCATATGTTACAGAAACTTCAATAACTCGCTGGCTTGCTATTGATATGCATGTGTGTGAAACGAAAAACAACCAAACAAGGATGCGGAATTTTGTACAAACACCGTGTGGTGTACTACTAAGCCATCATAGCGGCGGCCATGACGGCGATACCCAGCACCAGAGCATACGCGTTGCTCTTGAGCTGGTAACCGGCGGAATCCTTCCCGCTCGGAGTTGCAGATTGGCCCGTGGCATCGGCCGAAGTGGGAGTACCATCGGAAGAGATTGTACCAGCAACGGTTTGGCTGGTCTGAGTACCCGATGTTGTCGTTGCCGCAACGGGCTCAACCTTGGTAGCGAAGCCGATGCGCTTCTGGTCCACATCAAAGACGCTATACACGTTCTTAAGGAAAACGTCTCCGAGCAGCCAGCCGTTTGCCACCACCTCGCGTCCATAAATGTTGCTTCTGCACGACGTGCCGCTGCCCGCCTGCCAGTCCTTGGCCGAAATCTTGTAGGTGACACCGCTAAAGGTGACCTCAATCGGAGAGTCGCTGCACGGAACATACCATGTAACCTGGTCTACCGTGGTGGAACCAGGAATAAGCTTATGGAGAGCCGTGACATCCGACTGCGGTCCGAAGGCAAACGAAGTGCCGGTATCGATGTAGGTCGTACGGTCCTTCAATGTGACCTGTTTACCTCCAAACCCAAAGCCGTCGATGGGAATAACCCAAGCGCCCTTGTTATTATTGGCCAGATTGGTGTATGTAATGTCACCCGTGTACTTGGAAGAGTCGACAGCTCCAAAGGTGATCTGACCTTCGTTGATGGGGTCCGAAGCTCGGCCCAGGGTGACGGCAAAAATGTTGCTTTGGAGAACCTTTTGGTTCACAAGCTCGGTTATGAAACCGTCAGTGCCCCCCACGGCCATGTCGAGGCCTAGAATGCCATCGAAGGCGAAATGAGTGAAGTCACTAGATGTCTCATTTGCCAGCCCGAAGGACATGTTGAGGGAGATTCCGGCAACCGAGACTGAATCACGGGCGAGAGTGCCTTGAACAACACCAGTTCCATAGGCAAGACGAAACTCCTTGCTCTGCAGCTTAAGCGTCTTAGAGTCGTCAACCCCGAAAAGGTCGTGGTAGATGCAGGCGTCGCTCTTGCATGTTGCGCCCATGATCCACGCCGTCGAGGAACCGGTATCTAGGAGCATATACAGTGGCTTCTTTGACGAACCAAACTGAACTTTGGCGAAATAGGCGTAGTCCGAAGGGTCGTGGTAGATGCCCGCGCTATCCTTCCTTTTCGTACTCTCGGGTTCAACAACCGAGTACGTATTAGTCCTGGCTGCCAACTTGGACCTCTTTTTTGGTACTCGCGGGCTATCCAAAGTAGCAAATCTGTATGCGATTCGCTTGGCGTCTCGGGCAGCTCGGGCAGCGCCAGCTTCGAGACTCTCGTTAGGCTACGAAGTTGAACATGTTAGCCTGTATCAATTGCTGATGATAACCGTCGGATATCCGAGAGGAGAATGGAACGTACGTCGGCGTTTCTTTGAACCACGCTGAGACTGATAAACCCGTCCATTTGGGGTTCACCTCCAGGCGGCGATGGAGAATGGAATTGACCTCCAGCTGCCACAAGCCCCTTCCCACTAACATCAGTACTACCGCTCACATAACAAGGCTCCCCTGGATCGCATGGTAGAGGAGGCCAGATGAAGAAGGCGCGAGCTGAAGTGGCCAAGAGCGTAAGCTCTAGAAGCTTAGATACCCCAACCATTTTGAGAACACCGGTCACTGACCCTCACTGAGTCAAATCCACCACACTCGAGGTCGTTGTTCGGAAATTGGGCTCCTGTCCTGATATTGGCGAATGTGTCGATGGCCTGAAACACTATGATGATGGGTATCCGTATGTACAGGCTCCTAGTTGTTATGCCTCTTTTCTTTTCTTCCAAAGAGTGAAGATGGTATCTGATCGTCGTAAGGTCGCGAGAGATGGAATTATTGCAATTAGCGATTATAGGTGGCGAGCATTGGGAGAGATGAATGAACGATTGTGATTATGTGCATTGGTGGTCGCCGATAGGTTAATGAAAGTGAGAAGAGAAAAGACAGATTGCCGAAAGATGCGATGCGGTTGTATGTATCCGAACAAGATGGAGAAATCGTTGTGTGGTGGTGAGGGGGTGGAACGAATCGACGTCGAGGTCGATATCGGTTCGGGATCGTTTGTGATATGCTGATGCAGATGCTAATGCAAGGCAAAAGGCAGGACGCGCGCTGCTGTTGGATGGGGTCGGCGATAGTAGACTGTGCTTGTCGACACTGCGGATAGTATGGCGGAATAAAGGAAACGAGAGTGGAAAAAAGGACAAGCCCGCCCGGTAGTATCTATTCAAAGGAAAGTAAGAAGTGACAAAGTCTCCCGAAGCTCCCCTGGCATAGCAAAATGCAGGCGGAGGAAGTTGTCAGGGTAGAGGAGGAGGAGGACGGGAGATGGTTGGTGTTTGGAAGTTGGAGAAGGAGGAAGTCAATGGAATGGAGACTTTTGAGGGAGCGGACGGGCCTTGACGGGAAAGGAGAGCTGGATGCAGATGTGATGAACCGTGAAAAGGTGAAAACATGGGGTACCTTAGCTGGAAGGTATCAATGAGCCATTCAAGCCCAGTCAAGCCCCGTACCGCCCGTCGTAACCTCCAAAATGCACTGAACTGACAGTGGACATGCAGCCTCTTCTAGACTTGGCAAGTGGATATCAAAGAAAAGGGAAGCGAGAGACATGGCTGATCTGGATAACGACCCCCGTACTATAGCCTCAAGTGGATGCCAGCCCAGCCAATTCCTTCCACAACCAGTCAAGCTTTTTGGGGTTTCTGGAGAACAAGATCCTCTTAACTCGGATATAACCCTCCAGTTGGGAAATTCAAGGGCTACCGTCACTGACGATGATGATGTTTTTACCTTGCTCCGTTGCCCCGATCGACTCGGTCCAAGAAACCATCTGTGCCGAGTGTGCGGAGAGAGAGAATAACCCGAACGGACAACTGGACGTCACGCTACACCAACTCTTTTCTCCACGAGTCCACGAACACGTTGTACTGCCCGAAACCGGTGTACAGAACGAAGTGATGTAGTGACAGCGAACCTCAAAGAAAGCCGCAATGAAGCAACGTGACAAAATGCCGAGGAATGATAAGTCGACAACAACAACAACAACATCCAAGATTCTTTCTTGGCCTCGAACATGGTGAGGGTCATTGACGAGCGTGTCCGCGGCTCCATCTTCATAAGAAGATCGCTTCTTTAGAAAAGGACCCTGGTCCCTGAACCGTGCTTGCAGCCTCTCTCTCTGGAGAAGTTCCCCCCAATCGCGAGATGCGGTTGGTCAGATTGATCAGAACAGGTGAACAAGCTCCGGGTGGACATGGGACAACTTGACAAGGCCATTTCGGCTCCATCGTCTGGCCTGCATCCAATTTGCGCCGTGCCTCCACTCGGGATGGCACGCCTCACTCGGTTCCCTGTCTGATCTTTCCCCGAACGCAAGAGATGGGTTTCGATTTCCATGACATTGAGAATTGGACTGTGTCTGGCTGGCCGCTGGACACGAACTAGTGATCGAGTTCGCTCGTCCGGGAACCTCGGCGACGATAACAGTACAACACGACGACGACGACCGAAGACGACGACGATGCTGTTGACGAATGAACGATAACCGGCATGACCACACCTGCCAGATCTCGTATCTTGGACATCTATCTTCTCCAATGTTTCCAAATTTGGAATTGCCTCTTTCTCTCGTCATGGATCATGAATCATGATCAATCAATCTCTCCTTTTCTCCCCTTCTCCTTCTTGCGCACGAATCCTCGCTCTCTGCCTTTGCGGCTGCTGTTGGCGGCTTCGTTCAACTTTGGATCATCCGCTGGCCGCTTCGGGTCTAAGGCTGCGGGGTGTCAATTTGGGGATGACAGGGGCTGAAAGTGGAAGCCAGAGCCTGCAACAGGGGGGCAGGGGGGGCAGGGGGGCCGGTTGGGACCGGGGAGAGAGCAGCAGGGCTTCAAAGGTCCACAACAACGACGACGACGACAACAAACAACAACAGCGACGACAACGACAACGCCGAGCCGGGCTGCACAAGCTCCTCCCTTTAAATCCGGGGGGCAGTAGGTAGTGTAGGAATACCAAGACGGACTTTCGGACGGGCCAAGTCGTCCGTGACCTTGATGGGACGCCCGGGCGGCGATTAACTCTCGAGCCGTAGATTTTGTACCACTAGAGATACAAAACAAAGATATCTGCTGCCCCGTCGACCCGTCGTATGACCCCTACTTAGCATGACGACAACGGCTGACTACAGTACCTAACCCCCGAGATCTGATTAAGCTTGGGTATAGAGTAGTTTCCTCCCTGGACTACTCTGGAGCAATCTACGTTTTTCACAAAGAGAGCTTTCAACCCGAATCTCAACTTCCTCAAGTAAAAAGTCCTGAAACCACACCTGTAACTACCTATGGTTACACACCAGGGACATGACAACGACCCGCTTCAAGGTTAGAATTCGCAACAGAGAAACATAACAATGGATGGGGAACCCGAGTTTGCTGCGTCTCGATGCATGCGGTCAATCTGGCATACCTATTGGTCCAACGGTTGGTTGGTTGGTTGGTTGGTTGGTTGGTGATATGATCATATATATGGACGAGATTAAGTTGTGAATTTGGACGTGGGGGGTGTTAGTGTTCTTTCCCCATGCTACATACCATGGTACCATTCCGGGATCGATAATAGGCGCGAGATATTGCTTCGGTTATCGGTTGTAATACTTTGTTTCTTGTTATACGAACTTTTTAAATAGTAATAGATCAATTTCATAATCTGCAGGGCAGACGACATGGGTTCGGGTTTCTTTTTTTGCCATAACTGATTAACTGTTGATGCTATACACTAGGTAGGTAGATGGATCATGGTTGGTCGTATGTAGGTGATGGCCATACCTACTCGACCGACCTATGTGCTCGGGCCCGTACGGCCATAACCTTTCTGTTTCTGCTGTCACCGAAGACCCCCCCCCGGCTATATATTGACGGGAACCAAGCCGCCTTTTACTCGGAGATGGCCAGTGATGGGCATTGCACTGCCATTTCGAGGTTCCATGTCTTAGTAGTGGTAAGCCATTTCTCTGCTGCCGGATCCTGGATGTGCTGAATGGCGCTGGGCTAGCTATACAGCACACGGCCGCAAAGACGCACCAATGCAGATAGATGTCTTCAAAAGCCTGTGGCGTTTTGAACATGTTTCTCTCTGAAACGACGTGTATTCGAACTTTGAAGCAGGTCCGACTACAAGTCTCTTCTGCGCCGGTAAGTCTCGTACCAGTCCAATGCCGAACGCACCACACTTTGGTTGGTTGATCTCTCAAAAGATGACTGAGAGAACTGCGCCCCTAAAGTAGTGAACTGATCAAGCTCCTTCTCGCCAACGAGTCCCGATGCCGCCAGCGTCCTCAGGAACACCCAGACAGACTCGTTCGTGATACGACAAGATGTAGCATAATCGAGAACATCCGAAAATGTCGACGAGATACTGGTGTCCTGTCGAGAGCAGTCGTAGTTATCCAGTAGGTGGTAGAGAAAGCACCAACCAGAAATGTCATTGTGGTGGTCGAAGCACCATGTCTTAACGGCCGCTAGGAGGTTCTTATGGGTATTATAATCACTCTCCTCCTTCCCTAAAAAACCAGCAAGATATCGAGCGTGACACCATGCGTAGTAGTTGTGAGGATGTCGTTCTCCGGCCAGAAACACGACATTTTTGATATCTCCAAGGACTTCTACCATGAAGCCCAGCGAACTGTATAGGCCTACTAGCCACCGACGGTGGTTCCAGAGAGTGGGCGACTTGGTATGGCGGTGCAATCGACTAGTAAGCAGGCTGTTGAGGAACATCTTTTCTTTCGTCAGCACGGTCCAGGCGTTTTGGGTACCGGCTAATTGCTTTTGGATAAGTCGCTTCCGCGTGTTCGCAGCCGTGAGGAACTCGGGATCCATAAGAAGGATGACCGCCGTCGCGGCGAACAAATTGTCGTCGGTCTGCGGTGACAAAGAACTGCCATCGATGTGATCTTGGAGTATCTTCCGGGCAATAAGAAACGCTTGAACCAGCCCAAGCTTCGACACTCCCACTGAAATTCCATCTCGAAGCATATATGCTCCTTCCGGCAGCGAAAACTCCTTGCCGAGAATCTCAATCTCAAGGCGACCATAAGGTGGCGGTGTATTCAGGATTGAAGATATGGAATCGTAGGCTGCTTGAGGGTTGCCGGCCTTCAAGGCAGCGATGGTGGCTTTGTCCAGTGTTCTCGACATGATAAACGGAATAGAGGCAGGTCACAAGCTGCGGAAAGGGTCAGAGACGCTTCTAGTCCTGACGAGTAAACAGCGTAGTGCTTGTCGGAGGTGGTGCTTTGATGTGTTGTTGTTCAACTGAAGTCTAGGACGATGGTCACCAACCCTAACCCGTCTCCTCATCCCATTAGGGGCACTCGGGAAGTTGACAGCTCCCGTCTTGGCGGCTTCCTTCCCGCTACAGTCGAACCCCCTGTTCCTGCAACCCCCCTATTCTGCAACTCCATACAAATTTACCCGGTTAGTGCAAGGCTTTTCGCCGCCCCAATTCCCGGGTTTGTATGTAAGTGAGGCACCGGTAAATGCAAATTACCTAGTAAGTGCAAACATTCTGGGCGTCCCCCATAGTGCCCGGATTAGTTGCAGGAACAGGGGGTTCGACTGTACCGTCACCCCCACCAAGCATCGGCGATAAGCGACCGATAAGCCCTTTGTGCAGGTGGCCTTCAGCTGCAGGGAACAACTGGCACCTTCTGGCAGCTCCGTCATAGCTTCGATAGGATCCCAACATGTTTGGGGGAAAGGCGGTGGCATGAGCAAGTGAGCTGCCTCCATCTGTCTTTTAACAACTTGGACACGCAGCCTCGACAGTTACGCATCTATCACCACGTTTCCATCAATAGCGGACCGAAGCCAGCTCACATTCGCCGCCAAGATGCCGTCTCTACTGGTCGTCATCTTCGCCGTCGAGCTGTTCGTCCAGCTTGTCAACACCATCGGCGCAGCGACCATCAACAACCTTGTACGTTCCCCGGTCCCCATTCTCATCCTTGGTAAAGAAGAACTGGAGTAACTAACCTGCGTGCCCATCATAGTTATGGCGCATTGCCCTGTCTCTCCCGATTCCCCTCTCGGCCGAGTTCGCCGCCCAGCGCCAGAAGCAGAAGGATTATCTCGCAGTCCGCCGCGAACTCAACGCCACCAGCAGTCAGGATGAGTTCGCCAAGTGGGCGCGCCTTCGCCGCCAACATGACAAGCTGCTAGAGGACTTGGAGAAGAGGAGTAGGATAACCCCGGACAACCACGTGGACTCTTGATGATCATATACACGGAACACTGGGCTGACGTATAATGCGAACAACTACAGAGAAGGATCTCGACGCAGCCAAGACCAAGTTCGATCGCACTCTCACGACTGTGCGCGTGGTAGCTACAAGGGGTTTGCAGTGGTTCTTGCCTTTCTGGTACTCGCGCGAGCCCATGTTCTGGCTGCCCTACGGCTGGTTCCCCTACTACGTCGAATGGTTCGCCTCGTTCCCTCGCGCGCCGCTGGGCAGTGTCAGTATCGTGGTGTGGCAGTGGGCGTGCACGGGTGTGCTCAAGCTGGTCATTGAAACGGTCATGGCTGTTGTCGGCTTGGTTGTCGCTACCAGACAGAAGCAGCAAGAGAAGCAGGAGGCAAAGCAGGCGGTGCCTGCGGCGGGAGCCGGGGACAGCAAGGCCGAGGCTAAGTGATGTGGTGGATGGACTTTGAACTTTCAGCAATAGAAGGTTGTTTATGTCGGCATACTGGGAGATTGTATACACCAAGATTAATGTAATACAGCCGCTGACTGGTGGGAGAACCAGCAGGCACGATGATGCGATGGCTTTTACGAAATGGAATGTCTCTCATCAATTTGACGCAAAGTTCTTCATTGCCGGAGCTGGAACACTGCAACACTACGTGAGATGACTCTTGGCAGAGTACTTGGGCTTGATCTAGGCGTACTTTTTGACTTCGACGACCATTGGAGAGATCGGCGAAGCTTCGAAAGCGCCAACGTTTACGAAATTATGAAAGCGCATGCGCATGCTCGCGCGTAGGCCGGATAACCACCGCAAGACAGATGTTGGTGAGAAGACCTCATCGGTAGAGCCCGAACTAACTGGGCGCGATTCTTCGTTACCGTCCCATTCGTCGTGTGTGGTGATCCGACCCGGTGTTGTTGAAAAAGAGAAAGAAGTTGAAGACGGGACAGCCAGCCCAAAAATTTATAGAGATTTTTTCCCGGCAAGCCTTCGCGGTGGGGGACGGATAGTGTGGGGCCAGTGTTTCGGACCCACACGCACTGGACCTGCCAAGCCAAACTGCAGTGGATACTTTTTGCCTGCCGCTACAACCTAAACGGCGGCTAATACATGCCGCCTGCCTCTTTCAGCCTCGCTCACGACGTCAATGGATGCGCCATCTGGCATCTTTTTTAAACATTTGATTGTTTACCTTGAAGCAAGGGATATGCACTTTTAGAAAGTCAGGTCCCGATTACCTTTGGTTCACGGTTTTGTTTTTCGATTCATATTCTTTCCCAACCCGTGCCATGATTTAGAATCGCATAACATCACCAACAGACATCCTTCAACCATGGCGACGATACCCTGGGGAACGTGAGTGTGCTTCCGTTCGCCAAACTACCTTTCAAGTCGCAAACCAACTTCACAAACATGTACTAACCCCTCCCTCCCCAGAATCCGTTCCCTCCTAATCTTCTTCGGCCCCGTCCTCCTCCCCAAAGCCATCACCCTCTACCGCAACCTCCGCCGCGGCCGCGCTGCTCACGGGCTCAAGATCCGCCCCGTCCCCGCCCCCGTCCGACGCGCTCTACTCCTCCTCCTCTCCCTCTCGCTCGTCTACCTCGCCCTCGCCCTCGTCCCCTTCTACTCCCCCGAGAACATCTTCCGCCTCACGCAATCCCGGCTCCAAATCCCCGTCGACGTGCTCTTCACGCGCCTGGCCTCCCTCCGCCCTCCATCCATCTCCGACAACGCTTTGCGTCACAAATTCGTCAACCTCGAATCGCGTCTGCTCTACCTGCAATTCGGCCCCGACGTGCTCGCCTCGTGCCCATTTTGTTCGTCCGACGACCCCAAGTCTTACCTCTACTATGCGCTGCCCAAAATCGTCGCCCCGCATCTGTTCAACCTGGGCTTGATCGCCCTCGTCACCTCTTCCTCCTCTTTTTTTGGTACCGGGAGTAGAGACGGGTATAAATGGCGATACCCCGCGACCATCGCTTCTTTGTGCATCGGTTTCGCAGACGTTTACACGGTCAGCTCGTATAACCACCAATCCAACGCGCGCGCGCTGAGGTTAAACGAAATCGATTTTTTCTACTGGCGCCAACGCTCGCTTCGCTATCTCCTTCTGGTTGTACTAAACACCCTCCTTGCGAGCTTGCTGTATCTGAGCTCCACCAACCGCCTGTTCGCTAGCCCCCCTAGCCCCGCGGAGCGCGTGGAAACAGTGGTGCGCCAGTTGCAGCAGGTGAAAGGGAAGATCAACGCGGCGGGGGTGATGCAGAATACGATTAGTCGGGATGACGAGTTGAGGGCCAGGAGCAATGCGTATTGGCATCATGAGGTTAGGTTGATGGGGGAAGTGATGGAGGAGAGGGATGTGGTGGAGGGGGTGAGGGATGCGTTGAGGGAGAGGATTGTGGTGGAGAATGTGGAGAGGGATGCGGAAACTTATGTGAGGAGTATGTTGCCGCCTTTTTCGGCGGCGGTGTATGGTGGTGGTGGTGGTGGTGGAAGGGCGAAGGATGATTAGAGATGGGCTTGTTTTTTTCTCGTTTTTTTTCGAGATGTATTGGTTTTTGTTTTTGGTATGGTTGGTGATGTTCATCAGTTGGCATGGCGTTTGGGGATATGGCATGCGTTGTTTAGAGCGATTATAGATATTTCTTTTCAAGATGCTTTGCTTACTATGCTGTATGATGGATACTGCGATTCCTTTTCCCAAGAGATGATGCTGCATCCGGGCAATGCTGGACTAAGTATATACCTCTAGCCCAACAATGGAGAAGTCTATCAGCATCCCTTGGGTTCAACGCTAGTTTGTAACTCCTATCCAGTATCATCATATACTAGCTTCCGCTACCGAAACAGTTTTGTTTAGCCACCAACTCTCCCTTTTCTTGCTCTCCTCCTCTCTACACCAAAACGGTCCAATGGCGCTACCATCATATCTCTGTTATGAATCCCTTCCAAGCTTCCACTTCTTTCCCATTTTATCATATTACATATTTACCGTTACGTATAGATCTTTAGTATCTTTTTTCTTCTTCATGTCAACCACACTTAACCCACGCAACCGATGGATGACCTTGGGTCCATGGACCGTTGTACTATATCCCCAAGGGTCCCTTTCCCTCTCCACCACCTCCTTTCCCAAACCCTAAAAACCCACTATGCGTCCCCCCTGACGTATTCCCCGTGCCCGTACTACTCATACTATCCTTCCTTTTGTTTGGCGGCTGCGCCGACGCCTCCTCCACGCTCCGCTCCAAAAACCCGGCCCACAAATCAGCCAGCGACTCACGGCCACCACCGCCTCCGCCTGTGCTGCCGCTGCCCTCTCTTACCGACCCGGCAGTGGGAGACATGGTGCTGCTGTTGTGGGTAGACATGTCGGAGAAGAAGTCGTGATTCAACGAGGGCGAGCTGGGGGTGCGGTGGAAGGGCGAGGTGGGTAACCGCAAAAGCGAAGAGGCGCTGCCGAGCCCCCCGCCGGAGCCACCCGGGCGGGCGAGGCCGGCTTGTTCGCGCTGCTCGTCGGTCCAGTTGAGGAGGCCGGCGATTACTTGGAGGATTTGAAATTTCTTGGGGTCGGAGCGGTCGAGGGAGAGGAATTGGAGGAGGTGGTTGGTTACGATTTGTCTGTGAAAGGTATGTTAGTTGGGCTGGTTGTGGAAACGTGGATGAGGGAAAGGGGGTTGGTGTAGAGGAAGAAAGGGGCAATCAAAACAAACATACCGGTCGATGGTCTCCTCCGGCTTCATCTTCTTGATGTACTTCAACGCCTTGGTCAAGTGATCATTCAGCACAATCGCCTCATGCCTCAGCTTGCCAATCAAGAGATTCTTCTCCTTGACCTCCTTCTCAAACGGCGCCGTGCGCTCCAGCTCCTTCTGGAGTGACTCCCTGGCATCCTGGGCCTCCTTGGCTTTCGCATCCGCCTCCTCGGCGCGCTTCTTCATCGCCGCCAGCTGCTCCTCGCTCGACTCGACCATCTCCCTCAGCTCGCGCTTGCGCGCCTCCTGAATCTCCTGCAGCGCGCGCTGTAGCCCGTCAATGGCCTGCGACTGGGTATTCCTCTCCTCCGCGACGCGCTCGTACGCCTCCCGCACGTTGGCCAGCTGCTCCTCCAAGTCCGTCGCCTTGGCCTCCAAGCCCTCGCGCATGCTGCGCTCCTCCATGGCGATCACCTCCCACTCGCCCATGGCCGCGCTCGTCTTTTTGAGTTCTGATCGGAGGTGTTCCACCTCGCGCTCGAGGTCCTCCCTCTCCTTGCCCCAGTTCTGCTGGGACAGGTTCGTCCGGCTGCGCAGGCCGTCGATCTCGCGCGCCTGCTCGGCCACCTGCTCGCGCAGCCGGGCGGCTTCCTCCTCCTGGGTTTGCGCCGCCTGCTGCAGCTCCTCGTTGGCCGTCTCGAGCTCCTCCACGCGCGCCCGGTCCCGCTTGAGCCGCTCGCCGAGGGTCTCCTTGATCTTCTCGACGCGGCCGAGCAGGTTCTGGTACTGTGTCTCGGCGTGCTCCTTGGCGGCTTCGGACTCTTCGAGGTCGGACCGCAGCTGGGACACTTCTTCGTCGTGGGTGCTCTGTATGCTCTCGAGTTGCTTGCGCAGCTGCTCGACTTCGGCGCGGAGGGTCTCGCGGTCTTGCGACATGGCTTCGAGCTTGGCGCTGGTATCTGTGCTATTGTTGGTGGTGGTGGTTGTGTTTGCTGGTGTTTCGTCGGCGGTAGTAGAGTTGGTTACTGGAGACCCCTCCGTCGGCGGTGGGGATGTTGTAGTAGACATTGTAGTAGCAGTTGTTGTTGTAGAGGGATTGGGGATGTGACCGTTTGCGCCGTCGGGAGCATGTCCGTTGGTCTCAGTAATGACAACAGCAGTAGGTGTTGTTGCTGTCGTGTCCTCTGCTGGGTTGGCAGCCGATTCCGACTCGGATTCAGGGTCCGGGTCCGGGGCCGGATTGGAATCCCCGTCTGGCGGTGGCGGTGGATTTTCAGACTCGGGGTGGTCGGCCGCAGTTGCGGGTACCTCTGCGTCGGTGTCCTCGTCCTCTGCTGGTGCTTCCACCTGGTCGAGTTTCGGTGATGTGTTCTGTACCCCCTTGTAGAGACCCAATCGGGGTCCTTTGTTAGCGTTTAGGCCGGCGAAATACATTATGATTAAAGTAAGGGGATTAAAATGCCGTTAAAGCAAAGAAACGAAACTATCGCAGGCAGTCATTCAAGAGAAAACAAAAGCGATTGGGAAGAACATGGGTTGAGGAGAGAAAGAGCGATGATAGCAAATGTTGGTGGGTCGGGGATATTCGCATACCAAGGAGGCCGGGGTTTCCTCTACAGGCAGAGTAGTTTCTTCTGTATCCTCTGTTCCTTCGGCCGCTGCCGCTTCTACCTCTGCTTGTTGCGGTGGTGGTGCTGGTGGTTGGTCTGACAAGACTTCGGCATCTGGTGCAGCATCTGGTGCGTTGCTCCCGCCGCCCTCCTGCGGCTTCGCCTTGTTATTACTGGCGGCGGCGCTGCTCTTCTTCTTGTTGTTCTTCTTCTTCTTGTTGGCGGGCAAGGGCGCGGGTGACGACGAGACTGCCGGCAGGTGGTAAGGCGTCAGTCGAAAACGAGATCAGAAGGGTGTTATGATTTCCATCCCAAGCCCAATTCGTTTCAGAAAGCTGTCCTGTTAGGTACCATTCCGGTCCTATGGCCAGCCATGCTAGTGCTGTGCAGGGCAATTGGTACACTACATGGGCGGGACACCATGGGCGCGAGAAGCGAATGGGGATGGCGTGGAGGAGGTCCAGATTCGGCTGGGGCAACGTCACGTACCTTGGCCAGCCGATTGGGTGACCGGCGCCGAGGGCGACATGGTCACTGAAGTCAATTACGACGATAGTGTATGGGTAGGTATTGATGCTGTCGTTTCAAGGGCGTCGGCTGGTGGACTTGTAGATCTCAGAGCCGTTACCAAAGACCTTCGGTTCCCCTGTCCGTGATGTTTACCGGGTGTAGTGAAGTTTACAATATCAACAATGGCCAAGCCGGGGCGGACGGGAAGCGGATTGTCCTCCGTTCGAGTCGTGGTGGGCGTCAGTGTCACTGCCCTGCCCACTGTGCTTGGGAGTTGGGACTCCAAATTCTGTTGGAATTTTGTTGTAGTGGAGTTTACTCCGAATGATTCAGGTACCTCTTGTGTACTTCACTCAGGTACGCGTGTACTCATTTCCAAAACTTCCATAAAAAGAGCTTTAACGTTGAGATATGAAACACCCACACAACTCAGCCACGCGGATGACATCTCTTCCCGTTTTCAATGGAAGTCTATCAGTGGGAACTTTCGTCAGCTAGTTTCCTACCCCGTCTATCTTTGGAGTTTGGAGGTACCTGGCAGCTTGCAGATCGACATTCCATCTTTTCCACTTGACACTGCACCCCGCGCTTGATCAAGCCCACCACCACCTTCTCATGTCCCGGCCTACCTACCCTCTAGCCTCTGAAGGTCGGAACCTCGCACAACATGATTGCTTGGCTTTTGGATACGAATGTCTGGCTGTGTTCTGGGGGTTGCATCCGTCTTGTACACATGAAGTTGTCTTATTGACATCTCGGCTGGTCTGTCCAGGTTGGTTCGGTACGATACCTACTCAGTCGTGTCTTTGAGTACCTTGACGGCAGTGATGCCTGAGGTCTTCCTCACTTGCGACGAAACCCCATTTGCTTCATCTTTCATGAACTGGACACTTCCTACGAATAACAAAGCATTGTTCGATTTGACATACAATCATCCTTTCTTTGGCGACAACTCTGGAATGCCAACTTCGCATTCCTGACATCCCGTCGTTTGTTAACTAAGCGTACCAGTTGAGCGTAACTTACATACACACCAATCGTGCAGATTCGTTCAGTTAGAAAGTTACAAGCGCTCTCACGCACGCCCCACATCAGTTACTTAGGTCAACGCACGAGCCACGGCTTTAGAATAAAACAGAGCATCCATTCCGTCCGCAAATTTTCAGAATCTCTTCTTTTTTTTTCTCCTTTTCTTCTTCACATATTTCCCCTTCGCCTGCAGGCAGGTAACGTGTTCGGCTTCGGCTGAATATGTCACCTGTTGGATCTGTCTCTTTTCCTCACGGAAAAGAACCAATGACTATGTTCGCAAGACAGGAAGAAGTAGAACAGATATCAGCGCGCTTTATAATCCTGATCGGCCTTCCTTTTTCTCTAATGGGCCTGTTCAGGTTCGCTTGGTGCGTACATCGAACCTACAGCTTAGAAATATTTTCGCAAAACTACACACACATTGCACTTCATCCATTGCATACGGAAAGATGTTTCTGTTGTTCCTGGTCAAAGCTGAAGCCGATGGAGGGCCCGGTGCTTATCGGGAACTCGTTGGTTTTGGTGTTGATAGGATACAAAAACATCGAAATTTGTGTCCAACTATGCTGATGGAATCAGACAATGTGACATCCCCAACACACATACATACACACACAAATGTAGCATACATTTTAATGAGAAATCCATGCAATGAAAGAAAATGAGGATTGCTTCTATAGACAATAACAATAAACAAACAGAGTAAAAAATCGTTCCAAGCCTGGCGTCCCTTTCCTTTTCCGCACAGTAACTTGTGAATATGTAGATGACCTAACCGGGGGTATTATTCCGAGTTAACCAGCTGGCCGCCCGAAGGGGGGTGGTAACAAACATCATGTAGCGCTTTTCCTGAACCTGTCCGTATGCGTGGGCACCCTTTTGGTTGACCTCACACATTCAATCACCATCCATAATCTTCTCTTCAAGCCCTTCTGGCCCGAGTGGCTGTCATTGACCGGGTGGCTCTACCCGGCGTGCTCGACCGCGTGGCTCTCGCCGGAGTACTGGCTACCTAAGCCTTGGTCTTCCGGGTAGAGCGAGTAGCCCTAGCAGGCGTGGTGGCTTCTGCCTTGGGTGTGGCAGCCGCCTTCTTGGGGGTGGTGCCAGCGGCCTTCTTGGGAGTGGCAGCAGCCTTCTTAGGAGTGACCGCGGCCCGCTTCCTTGTCGACTTGGGCTCCTCCTCCTCCTTGCTCTCCTCTTCCTTGGCCTCCTCCTTGGTCTCGGCCTCGGGCTCAGCCTTCTCCTCCGTCTTCTCCTCAGCAGCCGCCGGCGCCTCGATGGCCTTGACGGGCTCCTCCTCAGCCGCGGTCAGGAGCGCGGGCTCCTTGGCCTCGGCGGCCTTGAGCTGGGGCGCCTCCCACTCGTAGTCCATCTCGGCGAGCTTGGCAGCTCTGGCCGCCCGCCTCTGCTCCTCCTTGGTGATCTTACCCTGCCACTTCGACTCAGGCAGGGCCTTCTCGAGCTGCTTGCCGGCCATCTGGTTCCACGGGATAACCTTGAAGCGACGGTTGGCGCCCTTGAAGAGGTCCTTGTGCACCTGCGCTTGAGGGACGACCTTGGCGGTCAGGATGTGGCCGAAGAGGAGGTACTTGTCCATGGTGCGGGCGGCAATGTCGGCAACCTCGGCCTCGGCGAACTCGACGAAAGCGCGGTGACGGCTGGCGCCGGTCTTCTTGTTGCGAACAACGCGGAGTCTGGTGATGTCGCCGAACTGGCCGAAGTAGGCGCGAATCTCGTGCTCGTAGAAACCGTGGGGGATGCGACCCAGGTACATGACACCGCGCTTGCCGCTGCCCTTGGTAACGCTGGCGTCATTGTCGTCCTTGGTCTTCTTCTTGGGAATCTTGCCGACATCTTGGCCCTTCTTGAAAGTGCTGATCTGCTTGCTGGCCTCCTCGGTATCCTCCTCGTTGTCGTCATCGCCGTCGAGGTTCTTGACAAGAGCCTGGGTCTCGTTGTCGAGCTCCTCCTCCTCCTCGTTGTCGTCCTCCTTCTCTTGCGCCTCGGGCTCAGCAGGTGTTGGCTCCTTGGTCTTCTTCTCCTTCTGTGCAGGCTTCTCCTTCTTCTCCTTCTTGTTCTCCTTTACGGGCTTCTGTGTCGACTTCTTCTCTTCCTTGGGGGTGGTCTTGGGCGTCGACTTCTCGGTCTTGGGTGTGGGCTTGGGCGAAGGGGCAGCTACGGCATCCTTGGTAGCCTTTTGCTTCTTGGCGGCAACGGGAGTGGCATCCTCGGTGGCCTTTCTCTTCTCGGGCTTCTTGCTGTCGGACTTGGGGGTAGAAGTCTTGGACTTCTTGTTGGCGGGCGACTCAGTGGCTACGATGAATGGAATTAGCTTTCGTCGCAAAAGTGTTGGACGATGAACACGTCCTCAGAAAGTGATGTTGAAGAACTCACTCTTGGTTTCCCTTCTGCTGCGAGTTACTGGGGCCATTTTGAATGATGATTGCAAGTGAGAACTGTACGGTGTCTAACTTGCTTTTTTTGCTGGAATGGGGACCTTGGGGATTGCGAGCCACCTGCACTTTTGGCCAAGAAAATTTCTGGACTTGTTCGATTCTGCCGCTGCACTAGCAGGCGGTGAGTGTGTGATTTTACCCCCACACTTTAGCGTCAATCCACTAGATCCGCACCGTTAACCCCAACCCCAAGGGCTTTGTTACAGACACTTACAAGTGGCAACGACCTCAACGCTCAGTGTCTTTGCTCTCATCAGAGGCATTCACGTTGTTGTGCTGGGTACATCTTGCTCCAATATCACCTGTTCATCCGATGTCTTCCAAAGAGATGAACATCACGACACCACCAAGATGCAAGTTTGCCGCCTCTTCATGATCCATCACTGCTTTCAAGGTTAGCGCTGTGCCATCGAATCAATACCGTATATACAGTACAAGCAGTGGGCTGCTATTGTAAGTACGGTACTTACACAACTAACAGGAACAAACAAACGACTTAGAAGGGAATTGTTAGCGGCAACGTGCAGTCCTGGTTCCGAGAGAGTGGGAGTCCAAACAAACACCCCTTTTCTTCTTCACATTGTGGTACACGATGAGCTGGACATGGGCAGCTGCGTCACCAGTTCCGAGAGGCGACAAGGCGATTGGGTTGTAGCGACCTGGAATGGCCTAGAAATGGCAGCGTTGGGCTATTGTTCCCTGAAATTCTCGTCTGGATCTGGACCCCGAGTGCCCCGTTCGTGTCGGTAAAATAAGGTATCTGACCGGCTGTAGCCGGTGGCTATACCTACCAAGCAATAATCGAGTGGTTGGCATCCGAGTCCAATGGCTGGAAATCGGATCGGCAGGGCATCATGGAATTGGATACTGCACTATCAGGCATAATATCAGCACTAACCATCGCCGCCTGCTTCTTTGCATCGACACCTGCATTGCCTCTCTTGCTTGTTTCATCCAAATGCCCTTTTGTCTCTGGCCTCCTTCCCTTCCATACCTTTAAACTCTCACCTCCGACATTTCTTGGCTCTTCACCTTCCCGGCGCTCCTTCTAACAACAACAAACACTACCATCCATCGCGGCTCTCAGAGAGGACTGTCCAACTTCAGCTGAGAGACTCATCAGGTGATTCATCATAACCACCGACTTCGTCATCCTGTCATCTCAACCATCGCCGAATGTAACCGAAACGCCGCCGTTCGTCCACTCATCCATTCGCCTGCGCCGCCATTTTCACTCGATACGGTGAATATCAACATATACTGTTAACGTCGTAGCCATATGATCCCTATACGCCATTGATACGGGACTAACAATTACGAATCCATGAGGCGTCTGCAGCCTTGATACACGCATGCGCCGCTCAGCCTCACTCTCAGTTTTGGGACTCTTCAGACTTTACCAATAGCCACCCCTGAGGACCAGGCCCGCTTGGAATACGCCTTATTCGAATGTGCCATGTTTGTCGTGAGCCATAAAATTGGGTTTGCTCTTGGAGAATCACGAAACCAGACGTAACAACTTCTGTCGGCGACATAGGCGCAAGTGGCACTTGAAGGGGGAGAGTGAAGAGATGGCCGAGTCAAAGAGGAAGAGTCTTTGGAACTTGATTCGTGCAAAGAGCACGGCAATCAGGAACTTCAAAGATGTCAGTCAACAACACTCACCCGGGATATGATTAGAGAGCTAACAGTGTGTACAGGTAGCAAAGGAAGCAGGCCATAGGAGGACAGCAAGTGATGGCGACGCAGGTACTCTCCGAAGGAGATCGGATTTACCCGCTGAATTCACAAGCGATCGTCGCCGACCTAGGCGGCCTGGCGCGAAGGGCTCAAAGGGGAAGGGTCGTGACTACGAGATCCATCGTCATGATCCAGGACCGCTTACCGACTGGCCGCCATCAGGCATGTCGAGCGAGGAAGAGTTATCTTTGGGACAGGCGATGCAACTGATATCCAGGGGCGCTCCGGCTTTCAGAGGTCATAAGCGACCTATACCACACGCTCCCGATCATTATTACACTCTTTACGCTACCGTTGCAGGGAACCATGGCGATGACACCGACGCCGCCAACTTGCACGACGCCATGACCCAGCTCATGACCCTACGGAAAGAGGGGTCCGGTTACGCAAACTACCCATGGGAGACTTTCGAGCAGCCAAGCTATGCCTTTTGCTTTGGAAAACGCGCAGGAACCATTACTCTCAACCATTGGGTATCTTTAGCCAGTGTTATCCCGCCGTCGATACCACTTCGTGATTCTGGCGTAGCACCACGAGAGATCACGCTAGATCGCATCTTTGAGAGGCTCCAGGAGTTGGAAAGGGGGCTAGAGGACGACGATGAGGATTTCATGTACAAGAATCTCTATCGACGGCTTCTCCGAGACCCCGACAAGTACCTGAGCCCACACAAGACGTTGGACAAGCAAATAACAGACCTTATTATGGTTCTCTCCCGACCAGACTGGATCGACTGTACCTTGCCCAAGAACCAGGTCGCCACCAAGTTCATCTACGACAACTCTCTCGCCAACGCCTCTACTTATCACAAGTTTTTCCACCAGCTTCTTCTCAGTGTCGAGCTCGACCTACGCATCAACTCCGGCTTGCACCTCGCGGAAGCAAAAGAGAAGCTCGTGGCCCAGATCCCACCAACAATACAATGGAACCTTGCCCTTGCTCGCCGCTGGCGCGAAAACATCCGCGTAGACCGCATTGGGGAGCACCCGGACCAGATTCGTCTTCGGTTTAAGCTACAGAAGCGTCAAGTCCGCATGCTCAAGCGATTTATCCAGATGATGAAGTGGCCCAATCTCTCCGAGACCATCGCCTGCCTCAAACAGCACGAAGCCCAGGGAACCCTCACCGGCCACATATCCTCGCACGCCATGGCTTTCTTCAGCGGCCTCATCCTCCCCGGCACCACCTTCCCCTTCCTAATCATGAACTCCCTCGTCGACATCGACCCCGACCGAGCCACCGACGACCTCGCCCTCCTTACCCACATCCACCCGCACTGCGGCTTCCAATACCGCGGCAGCTACACCTACTGGACAGCCGCCTCCATCGTCGGCAAAGTCCTCGCCCCCACGTGCCTCTCCATCGCCGGCTGGGTCGGTCCCGCGCGTCCCACCGTCCACCTCGACCGCGCCCAGATAGCGCGCATCCGGCAGCGCAAACCGCCCGCCCGCTCGCAGACCGTGACCCCCGAGGACGTCAAGACCATGAGCGAGCGCTCCGACCCGCTCGGCCCGCCGGCCGAAGTCTTCCCCGTCAAGGAATACGAGCTCGTAGCCCCCAAGATGGACGAAGACGAAGACTACGACTACGACGGCTACCTGACCGACCTCGTCCGCATCGAGATGCTCCACCTCCGCCCGTCCAACACCAACGACAGCAAGCACTCCATCACCAGCGGCGTGACGAGCAGTGACAACGGCCCGAAGTGGTTCGACGCCAGCATCCACTTTGCCATTGACGGGAACTCGTGGCCTCTAAGGCTGACTTTCGACGTCAACTTTGTGCACGCCTGGCCGTGCAGCGACGGGCCGCATCCGTTGTTCTTTGACTACGTCTACGAGTCTGTGAGAGCGGACAAGCTGGTGCATGTGCGGGACTGGAACGGGGTGTATGGTGGACTTAATTCCAGTTTGGACGGGAGCGGTATGCATGTTGGTGGGCCCAAGTCGTTTCCTGGGTTGGGGAGTAACGGGCTGGGAGGAAGTAAGAAGGGGAGCAACATTATGAGCGCTGGCGGCCGCACGACGACGGCGACGGACACTACTGGCCAGGATCAGGATAATGAACGGGTGCTGGTGGTGGAGGCGTTTGGGGTGCCGGATAATGAGGTGCTGGCGAGGGCGTGGTGCGCGCACTGGGGGTTGAGTGCTGTGGTTGCTGATATTTCGAAGACTTGGTGAGTTTCAAACTCTGGGTGTGAAAGTGGTAGTTGAGAAATTTTCTGTTTACTGACATGACAAACAATAGTATGGCTTGTGCTATCCGCGAGGCGTATGCGGCTGCTTTGACTGTTGTCATCCTGGTTGATGATGGCCAGAAAGTAGATAACAAAGATGAGTGATGAGAGAGGGGGGGGGATATATACTTGTGCGGGAGAAGGAAAGCTGTTGGCACCGGAGGGAGAAAGAGAAGTTTGGAAAGCAACAGTAAGGCTTACTCGACGGATTAAGTTGAGCAACTGTGGATGATGAGTGAAAGATGGATGGGATGCATGGGGACATAAGAGAAGGACAATTATGGTTGTTAAGAAAGGGGACAAGCATGCCGGCTGGCTGCCTGGCTGGGTATAGTTATTGTTTGGCATACTGTTTTGCGTTTTTGAGAGCCTGAGAAGTCTATGATACCAATTCTGTCACATCACCACGTTCAGGTTAATACTACAGCACTTTCACCATTCAAGACCGTTCCTAGTATCCATGATCAATCGGTTCCCTGACTCAATTATTCATATATATCGTTACTAGACCAATCATAACCTCCTTCCAACGTCTCTTGACCCTCTCCCCACCGCCCCAACTCCCGTCACTCACTCACTCATCAACCACCCCAAAAACATACCTAGCCTGCAAAACATACGGATCCCCTCCCGGCGCAAACACCTGCTTCTTCGTCCGTCCCCACTCGGGGTGATTGATCCCATCAATCCAATCCTGCACCTCCAGGACCATACATCCGTACTTGGGGATTGTTCTCCTCTCGTCCGTGCCCTGCGTCCATTTCAGGGGGACGTCGCCCTTTTGCTGGTTGCACGAGTACATTTGAAATGCGTCCTGGTCCGAGTAGACTTCGAGCTTGATGCCTGAGTGGGGAGAGGAGAGGCGGGCGATCATTTGGGAGGGTTGACGCCAGTCGGATGAGGAGGAGGAGGGAGAGGAGCGGAGGGTGTTTAGGTAGCAGTTATCTGTTTTGGGGGTGGGGGGAAGGGAAATGGTTAGTGATGGACGGTTTAAAAAGAACGTGAAGAGAGAGGGAAGGAGGAAAGGAGGCGATGCTCCCTCCAGAAAGCAAAAAAAAAAAAAAAAAAAAAAAAAAAAAAAAAAAAAAAGGAAAAGGAGGGAAACTTACCATAGCCCGTACAATTCGTGCCACAATTCCCCTCCAACCCCTTCTCCCGCTTCTCAAAACTCTCCCCAATTTGCTTCGGCCGACTCCAAAAATCATTAACACCCCCCCTCTCATTGTTTTGTAAATCCCCGGTGGGAATCAAAATCCCATCCACCGCAACCCTCATCCCCGCAAACGGCATCCATAACTCATGCCCCAAAGCATCCTCGAGCTCAAACCCGTCCAGGTTCCAGTAGGTATGACTACTCAGCATGATGGGCGTTTTCTTCGTAGTGGCGATGGCAACCATCTTGATGTCCCATGTTGACCCGGAAACAGTGTAGGTGATGTAGCTAATAACTTCGCCGGGAAACCCTTCTTTGCCATCTGGGTCTACTATCGAAAACGTGATAGAGGAGTTGGTGTAGGCGACAACAGAAAAGTTGCGGTAATCCCACCCGTCTGGACCGCCGTGGAGGGTGTCGACTCCCTGGGGGTGAGAAGGGGTGGGGTTTTCGTTGGGGGTGACGTGGTATGTTATTGTTTCTTCCTCAGAGTCGTCGTCGGCAAAGAGAGTGAAAGAGCTGTTCCTAATACGGTTCGCATAACGGCCCGGCACCGACCCAAAGTGAGGGTGGGCAGTGTCCAAAGTGTAGGCGGTCGCGTTGTCGTAGCCGGCTACGATGTCCAGGGGCTTGCCGTGTTTGTCGGCGAGGATCAGGTTGGTAATGGAGGCGCCGTAGGGGATGAAGGCCAGGGAGAGGCGGGTGGTGTTGAGCCAGTATTTGCCGTTGGCGTCGGGGGAGGGGATTTTTGAGGAAGAGGTTGTTGCCGCTGCCGCAAGGGAGAGGGCTCCCTGTAGGAACAGAGCGTGGAGACGCATTCTCTTAGTGACCTCCTGTTCTGGCGGTGACGATGGGGAGTGATGTCTGTTGGAGGTTGAGACTCGAGAGAACAATAGCACCCCGTGAGAATTACGAGAGAAAGGGGACACAAAGTGAGGGGAAGGGCGAGGGAACAAAAGAAGGAGGGAAGTTAATATCAACAGAAGCTCAAGACTCTACCACCCATTGGCAACCTAGACAGGGCCACATCGGTGAATGCGGTCTCCCGTTGGTGCGGATCTACATTAAACTGAGCGTCGAGGAGGCGAGCAAGGTACGTGTAAGAAGGTTGGTGACCATCTCGAGAGAAAGGTTGGATGTTACCCAAGCACTGATGAATCCGGGGTAAACTGCCCTTTGAGGTAGTGTACACCACAAAGGGGTCTGATCTCAAGTCCCCAACCCAAACTCCTGGATGATGTTCATCCCGACCTCTCTCCTCTCCACCTCCACACCTGCGTTTGTTGGGGTACATATTACACTCGGTGACAAGAGGAATGTGATCTGCATCCGGCAACAAGACTTGCCTCGCAGTACTGTACATTACATGCTCCATGCTCCGCACGTAAAAGGCCCACGAGATGCCAGCCTTTTTGTGTGAACTCACCATGCAGAATTCGCATCTTGGTTCGCAACAACGGATTATATGTAAGCTGCACCTTCATTGGTGGATCTCGGCGCCTCTTTGCAGGCAGGGTCAGGCTGGCGAGCATGTCGAGGGACCTTCCATTCTCGCGCTTCTTATAAGACACTGGGGTGTTAGGTATATCGGGTCGAGAAACCCAACCTCCCGGATTCATGCGGTTGGTTCAAGCGAGGATATCATGAACACTTCCTTTGGGGAGTGGGTCATTGGCTTTGTCTCATTGTGGTCTTCGTAGTGCTCGCTGTTGTTTACTTTCTCCAAATATCCCGGGGTGAAATCACGAATATGACGTCGTGCAGAAGCGAACCATCAGATGATGGAGTCCGTCTCCAATTCTCATTGGCGCGGCTGTGGCGTCCTGGAGAACCATGCGGGGTCGTCTGCCGTCTCTTCCCCACCGAATAAGCTCGAGCTTCAGCCATGCCAAGACTTCCAGATCCAGCCCTCCTTGTTCCATTGTTGGTGTTGTTTACAGTGTTGAGTGTAGGGCTATCAGCATTCGGAAACAATGAGAGAATGATACTGTTCAATTCCAATCTACGATACCGCAGCAAAAGCGCAAACCCCATGCCTTTGAGATACAAGCTTCATAAAACAGGACTCTAAAGTCATAAACCAACACTCACCGGGCACCACGCCGACATTCCTCATACCCAACAACATGTTTATGCGTCAATCAGGTTCTCCTCCTCGGGCGCCGCCGTGTCCCTGGTATCCTTGGTCGTGGGCTTGTCCTTGCCCTTGCCCTTGCGGTCAGCCGCAGACCTCGAGTAGAACTCGTCGATGATCTTCTTGGGGATACGGTTGAGCATGTCCTTGCGGTAGATACGGAGCAAGCTCCACGCCTGATCCAGAGACTCGAAGATGGTACGAGACTCGTAAGGACCCTGGGCAATGAAGGAGCGCTCGAACTTCTCCAAGAACTCCAGAGAGAGCTTGTCCTCGTTCGACAAGGCCTCCTCACCAACAACAGCCTTCATGGCCGCGGCATCACGACCAATGGCATACTTGGCGTACAGCTGGTTCGAGACATCACCGTGATCCTTGCGGGTCATGCCCTCACCAATGGCCGACTTCATCAGACGCGAGAGAGAGGGCAGCACGTTGATGGGAGGGTAGATACCACGGTTGTGCAGACCTCTGTCGACGAAGATCTGACCCTCAGTGATGTAGCCCGTCAAATCGGGAATAGGGTGGGTAATATCGTCGTTGGGCATTGTGAGAATGGGGATCTGCGTGATCGAGCCGTTGCGGCCAGCGACACGACCAGCACGCTCGTAAATGGTCGACAAATCTGTGTACATGTAACCGGGGAAACCACGACGACCGGGCACTTCTTCGCGAGCAGCCGAGACCTCACGGAGGGCATCGCAGTATGACGAAAGATCGGTAAGAATGACGAGGACGTGCTTCTCGAGTTGGTAGGCATAGTACTCGGCGGTCGTGAGCGCGAGGCGGGGGGTAATGATACGCTCGATAGTCGGGTCGTTGGCAAGGTTGAGGAAGAGCGTGGTACGGCCCAAGCTGCCGTTCTCCTCGAAATCGCGGGTGAAGAAACGGGCGGTTTCCAAGTTGACACCCATGGCACCGAAGACAATCGAGAAGTTCTCCTCGTGACCATCGTGAACACCCTTGTTTGTAATACCCTGGCGCTGAACGAGACCGGCCTGTCGGCAAATCTGAGCAGCAATTTCGTTGTGAGGCAGACCGGCGGCGGAGAAAATGGGGATCTTTTGACCACGGGCGATGGAGTTCATGGTGTCGATGGCAGAGATACCGGTGGAGATCATTTCTTGGGGATATTCCTATGTCCTGTCAGCGTAATGTCCCCGGTGTTCGCGTTTCAGCCATCAAGGTACTTACTCTGGAGTAAGGGTTGATGGGACTGCCGTTGATGTCGAGGTACTCTTCGGCCAACACCTTGGGTCCCTTGTCGATCGCCCTGCCGGAACCATCAAAGATACGGCCCAACATGTCCTCTGATACACCAAGCTTCAAGCTCTCGCCAGTGAACTCGACTTTGGTCTGTTCCCAGTCAGCTTCTCGTTCGCTATTCCCGTCTGGGTATCTGCCTCACCTTCTTCACGTCGATGCCGGAAGTACCCTCGAAGACCTATCCATGATATCAGCGCATTGTTCGAGAGTCTGTTAAGCGATGTCGCGGTTGTCTACCTGAACGACGGCGCGGTTTCCTAGATAGCGTCATGAATGTCAGCAGTTGATCAGAGTGTGACACAAGGGATTGCGAAGGGGAAACTCACCTCGCGCCTCCAAAACCTGGCCGGAGCGTTGCGTTCCATCGGGAAGGGTCAATGAGACGATTTCGTTGTATCTAGGGAACTTGACCTGCGGCGGTTGTTAGACATGCGCATTGCGGCAGAGAGAAAGCCGTGGGAGAGAAGTGGCGGTTGACCAACATTGTCGAGGATGACGAGAGGACCGTTGACACCACCAACGGTGTTGTAGCGGATCCTGGGCGTCACGTTATAAGACGACGGTACTCGGGGGTCGCTCATGGTGGAAGAGTGTCAAGACCTCGAGGCCAGCTCAGGATAAAGATCGAATACTATAGGACTGGGAAAGACGTTACGGTCGTCGGCGAGATGCTGGATGCGACGGAGGAGAATGAGGTTGGCGGATGAGGTATTGGTGTCTCGAAGTTGCAAGCAGTCGCAAGCTCCAAGTCCGGGCCCGTCCTCGGCCTGGCCTGGACTGATAGGCTGAGGCCGCTGGCTGACAAGTGACAAGCGCCCATCCACCTTCCAGGCCAAGTTCCTGCCCTGCGCTGCAAGTGCACAGCGGGCAGTCCTGGCAGGCAGCGGGCGCTCCCACACACTGACGGCAGCCCCGCATCCGTCATCCACATTGCCGTGGTGACTGCATGGCAGTGCCCGCATCCAAGTCAGTTGCAAAGGATGTGTCCAAACACTGCAACAGCTCCCGCGGGCGTCTTTGAAACATTCGTTGCACCGCCACACCTTTCACAACCAAACAATTCAACCTCCAACTGCGATCGCCGTTTCGAGCTGAGGCTGAACTGCATCCAGCAAAGAGTTCCACATTCAGTTTGCGCCAACTGAACTTGCCTTGTTGAAGCTGTTGTCGCGTCATCGCCAAATCAACTTTTTTCGCGGACATACTTCGTACTTCACCACTCTCATACCGAAACTTCCACCGTCAACGCCCGCATGCGCTGACCGTAATTAAAACCACACACACGCGGGACCACACCGAGCCAAGCGCGGCAAACCCATCAACAACATGTCGGCCATCTACAACCTCGAGCCGCAGCCGACGGCATCTGCGATTATCCACACAACCCAGGGCGAGATTGCCGTTGAACTATTCGCGAAGCAAACGCCATTGACATGCCGAAACTTCCTGCAGCTTGCACTCGACGGTTATTACGACAACACCATCTTCCACCGCCTGATCCCTGGTTTCATCGTGCAGGGTGGTGATCCCAGCGGCACCGGTCATGGAGGAGAGTCGATTTACGATAACGGCGCGCTCAGCGGCGACCTCGACCCATGGCCGATGGACCAGAGAAGGGGAAAGAATGCGGGACCTCATGGCGCCAACTTCAAAGACGAGTTTCACTCGCGCCTCAAGTTCAACCGTAGAGGTCTTCTGGGTATGGCGAACGAAGGAACGCCAGACACCAACAGCAGTCAGTTCTTCTTTACGCTCGGAAAGGCGGACGAGCTGACGGGGAAGAATACCATGTTCGGTCGAGTGGCCGGCGACACGATTTACAACCTGGCAAAGATCGGAGAGGCCGAGGTGGAAGAGGGCGGTGAGCGGCCCCTATATCCCATCAAGATCACGCGTATCGAGATCATCATCAACCCCTTCGATGACATGAAGAAGAGGGAGAAGAAACCCAGACAACAGCAGATTTCTAGGCCCACACCCGCCGAGAAGAAGCAGAAGAAGAGGAAGGGCGGCAAGCAGCTACTAAGTTTTGGAGACGAGGTTGGTGATGAGGACGGTGACGAGCTTCCTGTCCCCAAGAAACCCAAGTTTGACACAAGGATTGTGGCGGATCTTGATGAAGACGATTCAAGCAAGCAAAGCGCCTCGAAGAAATCATCCACCAAGAAGGAGGCCAAACCAGCGGCAAAGGATGTACCAAAACGGGAAGAAAAGCCGGAGCAAAAACCAGTAAAGGAAAGCAGGAGGAGTCCAAGCCCCCAACCGGTTACTCAGAAGAAAGAGCAGCCGCCCAAGAGGCATTACAGCGAGCATTCGAGCCCAGAACCTGAAGAGCCCAAGAAGAAGTCACTCCTTGAGAAGACGAACGAAGAGATTGCGGCACTCAAAGCGTCAATGAAGAGGTCCATTCATTCAGAGCCAGTAAAGCAGGAGAAGAAGAAGTCGGCTCTGGAGCAACTGATCCCGGATACAGCCATCCGGGGGAGAAAGCGCCGGCCAGGTGCAAGTAACAACCCTACTCGGGAAGAGCAAGAGGCTTTGGACCTGCTCAAGTCTTTCAAGGCAAAGATTGAGACGGCTCCACCAGAGAAGAATGCGGCCCAGCCTGTGGTGAATCCAGATGAGGAGAATGGAGAACAAGACGGCCAACCAGACGAGGAAAAGGTCTGCGATCTTCACTTCATTGCTAACTGTCAAAGCTGCAAGGCCTGGGATAAGGTGGAGGACAATGAGGATAGCGGTGATGAAGGTTGGATGTCTCACAAGTTGAGTTTTGCTGCTGACAAGCTCGGGAAAGACCTCAGTTACCGGAAGAAGGCGGAAGAAGAGTTGGTGGTTATCGATCCTCTGGCGAAAGCCAGGACGCTCAAAGAGGAGAAGAAGGCAACGCGCGATGCTAAGACCGGAGGCTCTTCGAGAGCCTGGGACCGGGGAAGACGGGACCGGCACTGATCTACCTACCGGATGAGTTGCCCCGTTCTTGATGTCTTTGTTGGTTATGTCATATCCCACATTCCTACTTGTAGCTCAAAAACAGTGTGATGAAGGTAGTACGTTCGTCTAGTCTACAGAATAACCAACCCAAATGATACCCTAACGTCCTCAAAGACTCTGACCACTCGCACTTGACGGTATTCACTCCGGAGGTCTCAAACCTTTCCCATGAAAGATAAGCTTATGTACCCCGTACCCAAGAGCCGTTGTGTGACGTTTTTGAGGTTTGAGCTAGTGCGTTTTTGTTAGCTGCCGAGATGCACTAACAGGCACTAACAATTACAAGGCCCGATATATCAACTGTCTTTAAGATACCTTGTCCATCCAGCCCGTTAAAGCGACTGTACAACCGGTCAGCGCGACTGTGTGGAGACAACAGCAGCTTCAAAGTGTAAGTCACCTCTAGCAACCCAGATTAGTGGTTAGGGTTAGCGGTTAGGGTTAGTTAGGATTAGTTCCGGGGGTGCAGGGGGCCGGCGAGAGGCCCCCGCGTGTGAATGTGAATTTGAGCGCTTTGAAAAAGGTGGTTTTGAGGTCTCGTTGTCGTGGTTCAAAAGGATGACTTTTGGTGAGGACTTGGTCGTGATGCAGGCGCGCAAAAGCGATGCCAAGCCTGTCTCTGGCGACAAGTTTGTATGGCCCCACACAGTCGCGCTGACCGGTTGTACAGTCGCTTTAACGGGCTCGTTGTCCATACCCTTTGGTTGGGGTCCCTCAGTCCTCAACTCCATCGCCAAAGACTTCAAGAGAAGATGGAAGAACTGGAAAAGACGGAAACAGTTATGGGGGACCCATATCATGTCTATGCAAAAGCATCCTGTAGATGCTCGTGGAAAAGTTCAATGGGGAAAAGCCCGAGTGCCAAGACCTGACGATAGGGTCAACTTTATGACCACGCCGGCAAGCCCTTGACAACAACAAGTGTTTGGATTGGGTGGCTGGGCTTCCACTTCCGTTGTTACTTAGCTATAACTACCACCTCGATTCACAGGCTCAAAGTTCGATTCACAGGTAGCTTTGCAGTTCAAGGCTTTGTGACATGGCCGAAGAAAGAAACCCAGAGTCATTATGCTGCACCTCCGGTCATTGGCATGCACCACGGCCAGTTGCTTTGACACTTGTCATTGATGAAGCTGAGATGAGATTGGAGTTATCAGATGGATCAAGTAGCTCATCAGTTCGATATTGGTACATATCTCAATGTGAAGACAATACAATACGGTAAACAATGGGTTCGGGCAATTTCGGTCTGTGATACATCACAGCCGGGGAACTTGATAGCGGATTCCCGGAGCAAATCCCGCGCCTGCCTCCCTGGCAGCTAAGTTAGGTATCCTGTGCGTCGGTGTCGGTGTCGGTGTCGGCGTCGGGCTCTCACGGACAAGGGAAACTTTTTTTTTTGGTGAGAACCTCAAACGTCACGCAGAGAAGGGAGACCCGCCAAAAAAGCGACGCCGGAGCAATTGGCACGGATAGACCCCACGTTTGGTGTGGCATTCAACAAATGTGATTGGATGGATAGTGCTAACAGCTGCCATCGATCGAGCGATCAGAGAAATCGGTTCACCAACCCACCCACCCCTGGGAGTTCCACCTGGCGCTGGACTCAGGCTCGGCAGGAGCGTTGAGTGCGGATGCTACCTACCCAGTGTTCAACTTCACACCATTCAGCGCACCTGCCGCCATCACGCTCAGCAGTCTGTGCTGTTGGATGCTCCGTCGAACGATCCACCTAATCTCGATATCACTAACAACGGCAGGCAGGCCGTCCAACCAGACGACGACAACGGGAAGAAGAGCCTCCAACATCTTTCTCGTCATACAAAGTCCCAAAACCCGACGGATCACGGACGGACTCGAAACTCCGAACCTCATCAGCTTCCACTCTGTCGAGTTGCTGCCCGTACCACACTTCGCGGCTGTCGCTGTTTTGCGTCGCACTGACGAGTACCGACGACGACGACCACTGCCGCCTCGAGCAACGTCCGATCCTCTTTCCGGTCCATCCACTACCCCGTCCACGGACACGGCCACTCAGCATCCCGCTTACCGCGATCCGCAGTTTGCATTACTCGAACATTTCGAACCGCCAACCCCGCGATCCGATCCCCCACGACTTCCCCGAAAAAAAGGGACCAAATCGTCTGGAGAAGGGAACAACTTTGCGACTGGAAACCAGAGAGAGACCTTGACAGGATACAAGGCGGGACGACCAAGTCTTTATCTGGTGGTGTTGGGTTACTGAAAGAAAAAACACAGACAAGGTTGGCTGTTGTCGTTGAAACCAGCGCCTGAAATTACCAAAAAAAAAAAAATCAACAAATCATTGCAATCTCCAGGCGAGGACCTCGACAACAAGGAACAAGACCCGCGCGCATTGGGCCGTCCACACCTGCTGCTCTGTCAGAAACAATCGCCAATTGTCCCAGCCAGTTCATGCATCCCGGTGGGCGCTTGAAAGAGAATCGACGTGCGACAAACAACCTCCTTCACGGCGCCCTTGTCGGTCGTCAACCAGGCTCTCCAACCACTCTTGATCGTTACTAGACGCAGATTCGCTTACACTTTCGCCCGTCCCCAGAAAGAGGCAAAAAGTCTTTGGTAGCCTTTGACCGCGAGATATCAAGAGACACTGCAGGATATATAACGCCCGCTCGTTCTGTGTGCTTCTCAAGGACCAACAAATCTAAAACCTCTCTTATCCCTCTTCCGTCTGGCGAAGCAGCTCTCCCACAAGCAGGATCTCTTCGCACTACGCTTCCCCGCGATCGTATCTGTTGGTCTGGTGTTCCCGTCGATACCCGCGATACGTACAGCTTTTGGACAGTATCGCCTATCTAGTACGCCCTATCTTACGAGATACCATACCAATATCCTACATCGACAGGTCTTTAGGTAGCCCGATCGCCTACCGCGCCTCTCAACACCACCATTGCGCCGTAGTGGCTTTCCTAGTGAACCGATCTCGTCGTGCCATCTCGAGCGCATGCTCCCGTCCTACGCCATGTCGTCTCCTAATCCGAGAAAGAGACCGGCTCCGGGCTCTTCGCCCATCGTGCCCCTTCCTCTTCAGCAGATGCAGCAACAGTTCAATCCCGCTCAGGCAGACCAGGTGTTCCGGTGGAATAATGGCCCAGACGCAGCAGCGGCCCCTCTCAACTCGTTTGGAATGATGTCCACGCAAGCACCGTATCCGCAGGCTATTCCAGCACCTTCCAATGCCCTGGCGCGGCGCCCACCAAGTCGGGCCCTTGTCCCTACGAACCAGTTCAACGGGGCGGCCGACACCTGGGCCTCATTTAGTGACGATGCTTCCTATCCTTTGGGGCATAACGTGCCTCCGGTGGATGAGCACGACAACATTGAGCGCCTCGAAGAGATGGCGCAGCGTGCCAAGCGGGAAGCGCAGGCCAAGAGAAAGCAGATCCCGCCTTTCGTCCAGAAACTGAGCAGGTGTGTTTGTTACCCTTACCCATATAATGAATAAGGATATACAGTATACTAACCTTGTATGTGCTCAGCTTCTTGGATGAGTCTAGGAACACTGATCTCATTCGCTGGTCTGATAAGGGTGACTCTTTCATTGTCCTTGATGAAGATGAGTTCGCCAAGACCCTTATCCCAGAGCTCTTCAAACACAACAACTATGCCTCGTTTGTGCGGCAGCTCAACATGTATGGCTTCCACAAGCGAGTCGGCCTTTCGGATAACTCTATGAAGGCATCTGAAAGGAAGAACAAGAGCCCAAGCGAGTATTACAATCCTTACTTTAGGCGCGGCCACCCCAACCTTCTATGGCTGATCAACAAACCGAAAAGTGGAGGAAAGGGAAACAAGTCAAGCAAAGCTACACCCAAGACCGAGGGAGAGGGGGATAGCGAGGAGGATGCCGGTGTCGAGGACGCATACGCTGGTCAGAACTACTCGTCAGCCCAAGTCGGACGTGGTACCTCGAGTGCTAGTGAGGTTGGCCCGCTACACAAGAAGGACCTCGTAGCAGTCAAGTCTCAACTAGATCGGCTACAACAGCAACAGGTTGCCATCTCCACCATGCTACAAAAGATTCGAGCTGAACATACAACCCTATTCCAGCAAGCTGTCACGTTTCAGAACATGCACGAACGTCACGAGAATTCGATTAACGCCATTCTTAACTTTCTTGCCAATGTATTCCGGAAGTCGCTGGAGGAGCAAGGAGGGACGCAAAGTGTGCAGGATCTCTTGGCAAGCATCATTCCCAACGCTCAGGTTCATAACCAGAACCAGATGCCCCAGGCAAATGTTGTCGACCTCGGCGGCTTCGTCAACCAGCAGGTCCACAACAATATGGCTATGGGAACGCCAAAGCGTCAACAGCGTCTCCTGCCCCCTATCCCCCAGCAGGGTGTAGCCAAGGTGCACTCCATTTCCCCATCCTCGACAGCCTCTCCTGCTCCGGTCCATCCCCAATACCAAGCGCAGCAGATGGGCTCCGTCACGGAACTCTTCGACACAACCCCCGGAGACAGCCCATCGTCCACATTCATGAAGAATGAGCTACAAAACAACCCTCAGGAGGGGATGATGAAGCTCATTCAAGACACGAATGCTGTGAGCGTTTCGGGAGGTGTTGACCTACCAGATATGGCGACCAAGACGCATGTGAATGCTCTGAGCAACGACCAACGCAACAAAATGCTCAGCATCATGGCCGGAAACATCCCCTCGACCAACGGTTCCTCATCGGCCTCAAGCTCCGCGGTACCTGCCCCAGCGTCCACGATGCCGCCTATTCCCACCATCCCCACGGTACCCGTTACCACTGCTGCTGCCCCTGCCCCTGTCGTCCCCAGCCCCACTGCACCCAACGCGCTTTCCCCTGCCCTTGGCTCCATGCCGCCGCCGCCACCACTCCCCAGCTACTCCCACGAGGAGTTGGACGCCCTTCAACGGCTCCAGGAGGAACAAGCCAGCCAGATCGATCGACTTACGAGCTTGCTCGGTCCTCTGAGCCCCTCCGGTCGCATCCCCGGTCTTGATGAGCACGGCAACCTTAACGGCGCCACCGGCTACTTTGACGGCACTGACATTGAGCAATACCTCAACGACAACGCCTTCTCCGATGCTGCCTACGAGTTTTCCGGGCTACCCGGTGCTAACGGAACCGGCGATGGCACCGCCGACTTTAACTTCAACCTCGACGACGGATTCGATCTGACCAACCCGACCCACACCGGCGCTGCTCCCGGTACTGCCAACGGTGCTACCGGCACAACAGCCGCCGGTTCCAACGCCGGTGGCCTCACGGTCCCCGGCGGCGGGTTCGACTCGGGAAGGACATTCGAGACCAACTCCCCCGTCAACACCCCCTCCCCCTCAGCGGCGACGGAGGAGATGATCAAGCGTAACGACATGGAAAGTCCCGAGCGCGATCCGAAGAGGCGGAGGAAGGGCTAGAATCCCGGAGATCGTAACTCTTCTTCTTCTGTTGCTTCTGCCGCTTCTTATGCTTCTTCCGTCTTGTCTCCCTCTCCACTACGGAATTCTCATCATTCTCACCAGCTGCTGCTTCCGGGAACAACTCCTCCTTGTCATCAGCATGATCATCATCATCAACCTCATTATCAAAATCAGCATCATCACCGAAATCAGCAGCAGCAGCAGCAGCAGTACCAGCACCAGCAAAGGAGCTCTCTCAGTCCAACCCAGCAGCACACCCTTGGACAGCAGCACAGCCTTGGACAGCAACAGCAGATGCAGGTGCCTCCTCCAAGGATGGGTTCCCCCTCGGACGTTTTTAGGGAACATTTACCCGGATGGCCGTATACGACGAGTGCTGTTATGCAGAGTCAGAGTCAGGGTCAGACGACACCGACGCGTCGAGAGCAGTAGTAGGGGTCTTGATGATGGGATTTGAGTGAGGAGATGGTGTTTTGTTGCTTTGGATTGATGGTGAAGATAAAGAGGGGAAAAAAAAAGATTGGAGGATGAATATTGGGTCGGTGGGTGGGTGAGGCGATGCATGGCGAACGAACTGGTTGCTTTGGTCAGTCATGTCGGCCGGTCGGCTTTAGCGGCAAATCGCTGATGCGAAGAAAAAAGTAGAAAGAAGAAAGAAAAGAGTAAAATAGGATAGTGAGAAGTAAGTAACGTAGAGGGATGGTTATTCACCTGTCTCACGTACGGCTTTTCTTCCTTTCTTTTATCACTTTGTCACCTATCATAAATTTTTAAAATATCCTGTGTCATGGTGTGTTATTCGGGGGATCGAAGATTCCCAACTCAGTTTGGGTTTTTTTTTTTGGTTTTTTTTTTTACTTCGGTTGCTGGCTCGACTCTGTTTCTGTGTGTGTATCTTAGATTTTATGGATTGGGTTGTGGATGACACTTCACTTTCTGCTCATTTTGGTTGTTCAGGGGTAAAGTAAGGATCATGCAAGCTGAGCTACTGGTAGATAGAATGGGCGCTGATGATCATTACGAAGATGACATAGTTGGTTTCATTTGATAGATTCCCCGTTGTCATGACTACCCCTGGCTGTAGAGTCTTTTGTGCGACGTGGTTTGTTGAAACCGTCCCTTCTAGCCCTTCTAGCCCTTCTAGCCCTTCTAGCCCTTCTGATAATCCGTGAAGTCTCTTGCTTTGCTTTGCTTTTCTCCGCTTTGCTCAAGTTGTATAAAACCCCAGTAAGACGTCAATCATCATAAACCTCCCCGTCGCAAAATTTTAGCCATAAACCACCAGCCAGCCGCCCGCCAGCCGCATCGTAGCCGTGTGGAGGCGTAGCCACGACAGAGGCCTCCGAAGCCTTTATGAAATCAAACGAAAGCACGATGGCTGACACGTGGAATGTAACACAATCCTCCCTCGCAGCTCGCTGATTGATAGTCCGATGGAAAGCAAGAGTGACAGTGAGAGGGGTGTGGTTGGTGCGAGGTGAGCGTCGTTTGCGTCGTTATCATCTCCATCGTTATCATACACCCATTGAGACTTCAGGCTGGTAGGTAGGTCAAAGTTCAACAGCCAGGCCTGATAAGCAGACCAAAGGTGCCGCACTTGTCGCTCCACTCCCAGCACTTCGCATGTCGGCGCCGCACGCACGTAGTGTTCCTCCGCTGCTTGCTCTCGTTTGACGCTCCGACACTTCGATACAGGGGCGCGGCGTGGGGGCCCAGAAACCACGAGAGGACAACAAACGTTGGAGGTGTATTCTGTCCGAGCGTGCGAGGTCGATGATGGATGGTGTGATGTTGTGGTGCGTGATTGCGTAAGGGTTTCTCGCCCGTGGATTCCCGGTCGGTCACTCGGTGGTTGTCCGCTTGATTTCCTTCCCGTTCCCCTTCGCTCCTGTAAGCGCCCAGCAGCAGCGGCGGCACGTCGTGTGGTATGTCGGTACTCGATTGCTTCTCGAATCCGGCCCGAACCCGGCCTCCCCTCAGTCTCGAAAAGTTGTTGTAAGCAAGTCGACTGGCCGGCGTGTCTTTATACCCATCTCCATGTCCATTTTCAATTGCATTTCCACCCACCCCTCACTTAGCCAACGGATTAGCATGCACCGTAACCCCCTCAATTTTTACGTTATCCTTAATCCGGTTCTTCTTATCCACTTCCAGTCCCTCCAACTTGGCCAGCGTCTGCAAGCTCTCGTCCCCAATCAGCTTCCCGAAAACCGTGTTCAGCCCATCCAGATGAGGGGCTTTGTCGAACAGGACGAAAAACTGGGATCCGTTCGTGTTGGGCCCCTTGTTGGCCATGCTGACGATCCCCCGCTCGTTGTGTCGCAGCGCCGGCCGGATCTCGTCTTCGAAGGTCGGGCCGTAAATGGATCGTCCGCCCTTGGGGTTCTCGGGCGGGGATGGGTTGGCGGGAGCGCCGGTTTGCACCATGAAGGAGGGGATCATGCGGTGGAAGGGGGAGGCGTTGTAGTAGCCGGAGGCGCAGAGGGCTAGGAAGTTCTGGGTTTGGGGGGAGGGGGGGTTAGTACTTTGCGACTAGGGGAGAGGGGAGGGGAAGAAGGACGTACTTCTGCTGTTTTGGGGACGCTTTCGCAAAAGATCTCGATCTTGAGATCGCCGAGGGTTGTGTGGAGTGTTACGGACATGATGACGTGTGTAGATCTGTCTGTTGTTTGGTTTAATGGTTGATCAGTCGCGGCTTGAGGTGCTGTTTGGTCGTGATGTTTGGTCAATTGGTCTCGAAATGTGACGTGCAGTTGCGAGATGAATTGCCTGCCGGCGCCAACGCTGTCCGCTGGGCGGTTGCCTGGGGGGCCGCTGATGGCGCCGCTGGGGGCTGGATCTGAAGGCCGGGATCTGATTGATCTGATTGGAGGTGCATGCAGCTGGAAGCTTTGACCACACCAGCCCTATCGGCCGCTCCCTCTCCCGCCAGGCCCCTTGGCCCTTGCTTGCCATGCCGCTGTGCTGAAAGTGTCCGAGCTGGGGCCCTGGGGGATGAACAATGGTCCGCCAGCATTTGTCGTTGACAATTCTCCCTGCAGTTGTTTTAAACTTTGATAGATAGAAGCTCTTTGATGGAACAATGTCTCAACTGGGAATACTGTATTTGAAGCGTGAAGGGATCAAGCCATGGTCAGGCACCGAGCTGAAATGGCCCGAGCTGATAGTCTGATAATAACGGTGTGGATTGCGAGGGTCCAGGGCTCGGCGTGGTTGCCGTCCCTGACCCATACTCGTCGGTACTTGTAGCACTGAGGTCAAGTTTGAGACTGGAAGTCAATGGAGGAGTCGGAAGTTCCAAGTTGGAGATACTCGTCGGTTAGGTGCACGCACTGGCCACAGCCATGTGGGGCCACCCTTTGGGGGCCCGCTTATAGCCAGCCAACCGACTCTCATCTGTCAGATTCTAGGGTGGCATTCTAGCCAGATGTGGGCTAGATGCCAGAGTCCCAGCCACCTGATTTAACAGGTCTTGGCAAATATGAGTTACCCCCAGAACCCCCCATACTAGAGCGCTCGAGTTAGTTATACAGAATACATAGAATTAATTAATTACTAGAAAATCTAATAATTAACAATCTAATATACAGCCTATTAATATAACAATTAGTACGTACAAATAGTAAATAATAACCGGATTACAATATTCCTCTCAAAGCCTACCAAAACGAAAGAAAACGTTACTTACCTTAAAACTGGCAACGACTAGTCGCGATAGGAACCTATAATCTAATTGAAATATATCTTTAATATCCTTAAGGACTAACTTTAGGGAAAGATTAAGAAGCTATCCGCCCCGAAATAGCCTTATCCCAATTACTACCTTATAATAAAGGAAGCTAAAACCCGTATTAATAATACTAAAGCGGAGCTCGTACGTTTTGATAGTAATATCAATTCCTAAATTGTTATTTATTAAAATAGGACTAACTATAAAAAACCTATTAAATACTATAACCGAAACGAGATTGTAATTAATACCTTTATTACTGAAAATGATTTTATTAATAAATAACTTTATAAATTAAAAATCAACCTCTATCCTGATAATAAGAAGGATTAAAAGGAATTTGTAGTTAGTAATAAAACTCTATATATTTAAATAAAATTGTTAATTAACTACGGACTATAAAATAGAATTATAAAGGAAGAATATAATACTAACGAATAGTATTAAAACTTTAAGTAAATAACGAACTATAAGGCGGTCGATAATTCAATTAAAGTAAGAAAAATATACTATAAAGCCGTCGCTATCCTTACGAAAGAATTTAAAAATTAAATTAATTAATTATAGACTTAATCCACCGCTATAAATAACGGCCAAAGTAAGGGAATCGGAGAAATTCCCGTCGCTAATTTATAGTATTCTAATTTTATTAACGTAGTTAGGATTGTTTGCTTGGGGTAATATAATAGTGTTTAGAAGTTCGATAAAGAAATAGCCGCTAATACTCTTAAATATATAGAAGTTTATAAAGATTTTAAACGATACGGTATTAATAATATTCGTCGCGGGGTCGCCGTTGGAAGAGGAGGAATCTATTATAATACTTTTAACGTTAGCAAATAGTTTTACTTTTGACCTTAAAGAGGAAAAAGAGGTTTGTAAGTAAGCGGGTATATTAGATTCTAGAGTAGTATTCTGGCTAGATGTGGGCTAGATGCTAGAGTCCTAGCTACTTAATTTAATAAGGGTTAGCAAATATAGGTTACCCCCAGAACCCCCTATATTAGAGCGCTCGAGTTAGTTATATAGAACACATAGAATTAATTATTTACTAGAAAATCTGACATTATTATCCCTTTGAGAGTCGGGATTTTTACATGTAACGTGCAAGGCCTATAACAGTGTAGAATCTGCACTCAATAATAACATTATCAATCTTTATTATATTGTATTATGAATAATTTTATTTTGCTTGTCTCGTCATGCTCTATCTTTTGCATATACTTTTAATATACCTATATTTAACCCTAACGTTGCATCACGTACAGAGAAGACCGCTTAGTATTTTATTACAAATCAGACTCCAATTATAACCCGATCTACTACCTTACGATCCAAAGCTAATATTAAAGCCAGAAACAAAGGGAAGGTTATATATAAGAGTATAGGGGAATTATTCAACGTTAGTAAGGATATTATTAAAAAAATATATAATACTTATTAGGGAGGGTAAGGCTTTACCGATTAGTATAGAAACTTATCGACTACTAAAATTAATTATAGATGAGGATAAGATTCTTAATATTGTAGTCTAGATCGTTAATTGTAGCTACTTCCCCTTAAATAATACTTCCCTCATTAAATTAATTAATTAGCTACGAACTCAACAGCTATACCCCCTTCTATTAACCTCTATAGAGGGTAGCCTATAAAGTAGCGTAAAAGGTATCTAAAGTTCGAATTTAAAGCGGCTAGCTTTAATAACGTAAAAAAGATAAGTGCTAAAACTTAATTAAATTCCTTTAAAAATTAGTTTAAAGAGGTGAAAGCTATTTATAATAGTTTTAATATTAAAGAAGAGAACGTTTAAAATATAGATAAGTCCCCGTTTTAAATAAGGAAAATTAAGGGAATTATAAAGGTATGAAAGCTTCCTTATTAATATTACTCCTTATATTAATTTACGTAGTAATAGGTATTATTTATAAAGAATTAGGTATATATAAGAAGGGTTATATTTAACCCTAATAATAAGGAAAATTTAATTACTATCGATACTATATCGGCCGCGGCTAAGAGTATCTCTTTATTCCTAATATTTAAAATATAGATTATAGTAAGGCTCTAGCCCCATTATTTGTAATTAACATTAATTTTATTTAATTAACTACATTTATACTAATTTATTTATAAATATAAAGGAACGTATAAATTAATTATAAGGTTGATCTAAATATAATTATTATTAATATATCGATTAATTATAATAATACTTACTATATAATATAGTAGATTAAACACTTTAATAAACATTCTTTTAAATTGTCCCCCTCTTTCGATAATTATACTATCAACAAGTGGTTTGGTCTATTACTTAACTGCCTACCCCCCTTCAAAAGATTAGAACTATTTGAAAGTAATAAAATAATTATTAGTTTTATATTAACTACTAAACCGAAGGTATATTAAATCTTTTTTATAAATGGATTTAAGACCTATAAAAACCTATATATTCTATAATATTATAAAGCCTTCGATATTATACTTTATATTCTACCCTTACATATTAACTATATATTTTAACTATTTAATATAGGGGTATATTAAGTAATTAAGAAGGTTTATTAAAAGGCCTTAATAAATGAAATTACTAGCGGGGCTATTAATATTAACCGTATAATCTTTCTAAATAATTGGAAGGAAGTTAAAGAGGCGGGCTTTATTCGAAGTAATATTCATAAAGGATAGGAGAAGACTAATCTTTAACTATTTAAATTAAATAATTAATTATAATTATAATAAAATTACGTAGGTATGAGGTTAATTAATTTACTAGACGTTCCCTTTAATAAATTACGTAAATTTATTAAAGTATGGTAAGAACCCTTATTCCTTAACCGATTTAAGGCTATAATTCTTCGTAAGGTACTATGTACGTTAGAATTATTAGCAATTTAATAATATATTAATAAGTATAGTTCGCCCATTAAAAAAGTTTATAACAAGGCTAAAATTGCCTTCAAAGTATTTATTAATACCCAAAAGCTAGTATTTAATTAGTAAAAATACTATAAGTGCTATATTAAGGTAGAAGCCTAAAAGTAGAACCCTCGTAAGTACGTGGCTATTAATAATAGAATTTATATAAAAGAGGTTCTTAATATTAAAATTGTACTAAGAAGGGTAATTAATATAGAGGAGGGATTAAAGAAAATATAGCAAATAAACCTTACCTTTATTAAAAAGGTTACCCTCGAGGAGAACCCTAATCTTAAATAGTAATTATTACATAAATTTAAAGCTAAGAAGAAAGCTAGGCTTAATTTAATTAATAGGGTTAATATTCCTAATAATAATAGCTTTATTCATATTATTAAAGACGACCTAAAATACAACGTAGTATTAAAACTTAAGGAAGGGTAGGACAAAGCTATTATTAATAATATCTATTATATTTTTCTAATTAAATAATAGGGTCCTAATTATTCATTTTATATACTAGAAATACAATAATAAAAGGCTTTCCAACCCAAATAGGACTTTAACGCTTTTTTAATTAATATTAAAAACGAAGAGGATAAATTCTACAAAGCTACGGGGAAAGCTACCCTCCCTAATTATAATAAAGACTTTATACCTTTTAAAATATATAATAAGAAGCGGGTTAAAAAGGTTCGTAAAGGAAATACTTCGTCAGTTAAATTTATATTAAGTAACGAAAGTATAAATATCTTTAGCGAACTCCCTATTATATACCTTTATTTAATAGGAGAAAAGGTACGAATATAGGTACGAATACTAATTAGGCTATTATTTAGACCGTTTATATTAATACTATACCTTTAAAAAAGGTTTAAAGAGGGAAAGGAAAAAGCTATCAATATGGACTCTAATAAGAAGGAGCAGGTTACTATAGCAACTATAACGGTAGCGGGTAGGAAACTAGAGGTCCCTACCAGCCGTATAAGGGTAATAATTATTATAAACGACGATTCTAGCGACAATAAGGGCGATGGGAGTTTATAAAGGGAGGAAGAGGAAGAGTTGGATATTATATTATAAAGGTCTAGTGTACGGGCTACAAAACCTTCACAACACCATAATAACACATCACGATATTTTAAAAATAATTCACTTATATTGTTGAATGCGCGCAATTGAGACGAACAATCCGAATCCTTTACTATATTTTTTGCTTGTATTTTGGTAGAGAAACGGATTGTTGAAGATTCTGACCGTTACAGGCCTTGCACGTTACATGTAAAAATCCCGACTCTCAAAGGGACGATGAGAGTCGGTTGGCTAGCTGTAAGCGAGACCCCCAGAGGGTGGACTCTATACCTAACCGACGAGTATTAAGATCCGGGTTCACCGATATCCAGACGGGTTGAGAGGAACTGAGATGGAGGTAACCAGACCTACCTTGCATATTTCTCCAAATCCGAACCCGATGGTGAAAAGAGTTTTAAATCCGAGTTTTTATATCGTTCATCCTGTCTTTTGTCTTGCAAGGCTCTGATAACCAAAAGGTTCAAATGGATGCTTAACTTCCACTTCTCCACTTTAACCGTCCATCCCGCCTGCTCCCTGAAGGATGCTAGCGACCTGACGCTGTAACAGTGCAGCCTTGCACCTGCGTGGGGTGTTAGCGACCGCCATCCCCGTTCCCCACCGCCCAAGTGGAAGGGGAGACCTTGGGGATAACCCTTGGTGGCGCTCCGAGGACCAGGCACTTGACCGGGCTCTTCAGCTTCCTTCTTTCTCTCTTCAGATCCACTCTTACTCCTGGTCATATCCGGCTCGACGGCTCTTGACGACTTGACGTCGTACCTAGAAGTAGGTAGTCGGAAGGAGTTGAGCTTGTCGTCAAGGGACCAAGCTCGGTTGCCGCCGCGACTGCTCTTGGCGCCTGCCGGCCTCGCATCTTGTCACACCTCTTGTTTTCCCCTCCTACAACCAACCCTCCAGGCCGGGACTTCAGTCATCAAGCTGACATCCAACACTGGCACAGCACCCATCTGACGTGGTGTCTTGCCGTTCCGATAGCTCTACGACCTCCTGCCGCGATTGGCCTCTCCATATACCGTTGACGGACAAGGCGACCCGTCTCAGAAGCTGACTATCGATCCCGTCTTGGAGCTCTCACCTCTCCCTCCAGTCTCTGACGACGACTTCTCTTTGGCCCCCAACGCAGCCGGACAACAGAGGACTCCCGCGCCCCAACTTGAGGAAACGCTGCGCCAACGACGGCGGTTGTGCCAGCCGTACCACTTGGTCCTCCATTCGAACTGGTTCCTTTAGCCTAGGCTTGCGGTCAACAAACAGTCGGGTGTAGCGTTCACCTTCCGCCATCCGCTCACCAACTTGTCGAGGAACGTTGATCCCACGGTACTCTTTCAACCAGTCCGGTTCTGTTCGTCTCACCAATTTCACGACGCCTCATCTGCCTTGCCCAGCATCAGCGACGACATTGCCAACCCACGGCTGCACCACAGCGACGACGCGCATCAATTACGACCTTGCATTGCCTACGATAACTCCCGGATGGGATGCAGTAACCCTGCAAGTGAACCCCAGCCTTATCGATACAAACATTCGCGATCGCCAGGGGCCAGAGGCGACCTTCGTTCCAAGCGCTACTCCTACCGCCCACCGAGCCCCTCATTCACCTCGGGACCGCCCTCCACCCCATCGACTTCCCAGTTGTGACACGGCGAGGCCGGTCTCTACAATACCTTCATGATCGAAACAGGTCGCTCCCCTCGCCATCTTTGACCATAATCTGACTGTCAACACGACGAACCTCCTCCGGACATCTTCGCGCCCGGCGCTAACGGCACAATGAATGGATTAATTGCATCATACGCTCCGGCCACGGTGAGGATATCGGGGCCACCCAACAGCAGCTTCCTGGTGGGCTACCCCGGTATCTCTGCCACGTTGGTGAGTTCTCTGCTCTTTCCTGCGGACGTCGCTGATGCTGACTGGCTTTTTCATAGCCAAGAATAGTAGGTAAAGTCGAGATCCGACCAAGCGCCGGCTTTTCCGTACCCGTCAGCGTATCCATGGTGCGCATCTGCCTCCAGCGAAGAGAAACCATACACCCTGCTGCCGAGAACATGGCGAAACGACATCTCGGCACACCGCGACGCGAAACCGTGGACCTGGTGGGCAAAGAGGTGCTACTATTCCGATGTGTGTCGGGGAAAGAGGCGGAGAGCGTAATAGCGATGGACCTGCCGTTCCAAATATTTATACCCTATGGCCGAGGAGGAGAGGAAATAAATCGTCGAATTCCGCCTGCGAGCTTGCAACTACCCAGCCGAATTGCCGAAACATACTACGAGCTCGTGGTTACCGTCCAACAAGGCCAGAGCACACAAAACAGATACACCTTCCCCATACCAATACAGCGATACGATACCCTTTCGACATTTGGAATGTACAACCGACCCGAAAGCAAGGTTGTAACGGCGGACAGCATCGTGACCTTGGGCATTTCATTACCAAAATGGAGTTATGGGCCACTAGATCCAATAACCGTGTTTATCAAGCTGGCGCCAAATCCGGACATGATGAGCAAGGCAAAAAAGGTTACGATAAATAAGATAACGTTGGCCATCGAGGAGGAGATCACGTTCAACCCCGAAGGCGACGAACCAACCAAGAAAATCAACAAGATCGCAAAGCACACACAACCAGTAGGGGTCAAGTTGACTGAGACCGGCTATGTCACAAATCTAGGGCTTGTCTTTCCGGCGCGAGATCTTCGAGACCCCGACGGCATCATCAAGCGTGGGAAACCCGGGTTTCCCATGTACGAAGTTACGAGCTTTACGACGTCATCAACATTGTACAAGATTGAGTTCTTTTTGAGTATAAAAGTGAGTTGAGCAACTAAAACATCAGACAGATCGGTCACTTATACTTCAACAGGCACACATGAACTCTGCAAGGGATATCACTCTACGACAACCGATCGTTATTTGCCCAATGGACCAGCAAGCGTGTAGGGATGAAATGGATGCGATTGAACAAGCAGCAAAGGATGCATCCAAGGTCGACCCAAACAATCCGATGCTCCCGGATCGAGTCATTGTCCGATCCAATGAACGGGACGCAATACGGCATCTGGGGCTTTGTGAAGTGGGAGGAGTGAAGAAGATACTGATTGAGTGAAGGAAAACCGGCAACCCGCAATTCACATGTTGTCGGGTTCTGTCTGCTAATATCGGGGTCCGGGTTCACAACAACCATATCTTCGAGGAGAGAGGAGGCCGCCCGACGGACAAGGGAAGCTTGTGGGGTCAAACAGCAAACGTGGCGTTGAAAGAAGTGTTGTGACACACGTCCACCATGCTGTACGGCCGTGACATTGACTAGGGTTGATGGCCCGCCAGCAAAGTGAACGATTAAACGCGGTGGCCGCGGCTCCAGGGTATCTATCATTCGGTCTGCGGCGACTCTGCGGGCAGGACCGAGGAAGACTATGAAGTGCTATGGGGAGGACTATTGATATTTGAGCCGAGAGGGTGTTTGTATTCACAGGACTATTCATTATGTTCGAAGGCGTAACTGGTTTCGGGCGTTGGTTAGTGACATCTTGCGGGGGTGGACTAGGGTTATCTGGGATGATGACTTACTCTGAGGATATACCGGGGCTAGAAAGGCAGGTAATAAAGGGGCAAAGACCATGGTGATTATGGATGTTTTTCTACTTTTATAAAGTGGGAACACGACGGCGGCATCGTTCCAAAGGGATTTATTTATAGGCCTCTGTATGAATCCAGAAGGCTATTGATAAGAAGACATTTCGGGCAGATGTGTACGTGTATGGGTTCCAGAGACAAGTTATGGCAAAACAGCCAGTGAGATTCAAATAGTTTTTCGGTGTACGTTGTCGGAAGGCGTCCAGGTAGCGGAATGAAGAAAGTTAATGAGACAAACGAATATTCTTGGACATGACATCACGGAAGCTTCCTGGTGGATCTAGGACCATACGAACAACAAAAAGGAGGTTCAGTGACCAGTAACAACACAAAAAAAACAAGACAAAACAGCAAAAAAAGATATTGTGCGTTGACAAGGACGAGATTCGAACTCGCGAGGTTTCCCATTGCGGTTTCAAGTTAATCAGAAGATAACCTAAACACAACGCCTTAACCACTCGGCCACCTTGCCTAGTGAGCTTGTTGAAAGATTAGGGTGTACTTAGCTCCTTATGTAGTACGTGGCGGGCAGTTACACAGTGTGGGAGTAGGCAAGTTTCACAAGCACCAGGTTGTACCTAGGTACCTTGGATCCACTTTATTTTTCGACTTCATGCAGAACTTCCTTCACCTCTGACTTTCTCATTCAAAACTTCCTCACTTCAACAATACACTGCTGGCAAAAAATTGACCAACTCGAAAAAACAGGAACTTGAGCGGTTCTACGCAACACCGCACCACCACCCACCAAAAGCCACACAAACCACAGCCAAAATGCCCCTAGACGACGACCTAGAAGATAACCCCTCCCTCGTCCCCTCCACCCCCCCTCATCCACCACCAACCCCGCCGAAGATGCTGCCACCATGGAAGAAGTCGAAGAAGCCGAAGACGCACCCACCGCTGACTTCCGCCTCTTCGCCTCCACCTACTCCAAGACCAAAAACATCAGCGCGCAAACCATCCGCAAGGGCGGGAAGGACTTTGAGTCGCACGGCACGCGCGCGCAAGCATCCGCGCTGGACGCCAGCCGCGAGGCGATGCGCGATGTTTTGAGTTATACGAGGGTGCATAATCCCAAGTCGGGATCTAGGGGTTGGTATTTCCCTGATTGGTGGAGGGATTGGCCGGAGGATTGGGAGGAGCAGCAGAAGTCGAAGGGGGGAAAGGAGGGAGAGGAGAAGGAGAAAATACCGCCACTGCATATCAGGGATCGCGTGGTCATTCTGGAACATGCTAGTGTGGCCAGCCAAAGTCTGGGGAGGGCGGCCACGGGCTTGCCGAAGGATAGGCCGGCTAAGGGGAGGGATTGGTTGTTGCCTGAGGAGGCGCTGTACCTGGTGGAGAGAGGGAGTTTGGATCTGTGGTGGCCTACGAGGGGGGTGGAGGAGATTTTTCCTGCTGATGGGTCGGTGGCGGCTGCTGCTGCTGCTGCTGCCGAGGCAGAGGGAGAACAAAAGGGCGACGGCAACGAGGAGGACGAGGATGATGAGTACAAGTACGGCTTCCCGCTCTCCCTTCAGGCAGCGTACGCTCTGCTCATCGGCGAAGACGGAGAAAGAGGCAAAGTCAGCTTGCAAAAGTTCCAAGTCTTCAGCCACCTGAAGCGAGCAGGTTACAACGTCATCCGGGCCCCGACGACCAACCTTCCTCCTCCTGTCCAGGATGACACTCAACTTACGACGACAACAACACCAGCAAAGCCCAAGACCGTCACAGAATGGCTCATCTCCTGCCTCCCCCAATCGAAGGAATCCTCCCCCGTCGACCCCCCGCCCTACGGCCCTCTCGTCCCGCCAGGCCTCTACCGCTCTTACAACACCATCTACAACCACCTCTCTCTCCGCCCTCAGGCATCTCCCACCGACCAGCCTCGGGTCCCCGCCCAATCTCCAGAGACGGATTCACCCTTCAAAATCCACTACCACATCTACAAAGCCTCCACACACTTCACCCGCACCCGCCCCCCGCCCCCCGACTTTTATATATCCGTCATCTCCGCGACATCAACCACCATCCCCACGCTCTCCGAGATCTCCAGTCTCCTCGCCTCCGCCCCGGCCGACTTGCCCAAGACCGAATGGCTAACCGGTGGCCCTGGAAGACTGTATGCGCGCCTGAAACATGGGTACAGGAATGTCTTGTTGGCGGTGAATGACCATGGGGTGATTAATTATATGAGGTTTGCCGAGGGCGGGTTTGCGAGGGAGGAGTTGTTTAGGGGTTTTGATGGGAGGGTGAGTGGGGAGCCGAGGAGAGGTGGTGGGGGAGGAGGGGGTGGTAAGAAGTCTGGGAATAATGGTAGGGGAAGTCGAGGGGGACGGGGAGGAGGACGTGGTGGCGGGAGGGGTGGAAGGGGTGGAAGGGGTGGAAGGGGTGGAAGGGGTGGAAGGGGGAGGGGAGGTTAGATGATGATGGTGATGGGCCCAACGTACCCAAACCCTTAACATACAATGCCAAGGCAGTGGAGAGGGAGGTTGAAGGCCTTACCTCTCGGCCTAACGTTGGAAAAGCAAAGATTGCAATGCTCTATCCTCAGCATGATACAGTTTAACAAAGATTATTACCCGGATCTTCCGGCCAAGGGAGTAGTCGCTGGCAGGTAGACACCGCCTGGACACGACGCCCTGACCAATGGAAGGTTGAGGTTGAAGGGGCGGATGATGGAGGCTGGATGTACGATTGATTGGAGGTTTGAGTTAAGAGTTACCACCGGGCCTCAAAGCGCTGTACTATACTAGATCAAGACGATACCCGGATGTAGGCAAATGTTAGAGAAAAGATCACATAGAAGACCTTGTCGTCGTCAAAACAAGCCTTGGGAACCCTTTAGCGAGAGAGTTTAAAGTGTCTCTGGTTGTTGTCGAAAACACACTCTCACTATCCGATGTTGAATCACTGCCCACCCATGTCCTCACATCACCTGCTTAATGGAGTACAGGTAAAATCTCACAAAGCCTCAAATCCTGTTGTTGCACAATCTCATCATTCATCTATCAAACCATCTTTTTTCCATCACAAACTCCATGAAATGCTATCCGCTTATTAGCCTACCTCGCCCCCCTTTCACTTTTCCCCTTCCGATTTCCTCACGCCCTTCCACGCCTGACTAAACGAAATGAATGAACCATAACTCATACATTTACTATATACAATTGAAAACCTCTGCTGAAGCTAAAATGCAAACTAAAACGATGATGCCATGTAAAAGCGCCTGACGTAACCTAACCTGACCACAACCAAACCCGCCGAACTTTTTTGATCTGGAAAATTGGAAAAAGCAAACGCTACCTAGTGTCCAGTAGTACCTGATAATGGAATGAAAACAACGAAACGAAACGGGTATAACTGCGCAACTTGCAAGTCAACAACAACGCAAAGGGAAAGGGAAAAAAAGGAAAGCTGAAAAAGTCAGATGAAAAGCAACTCAACGAAACTGATAATCAACGAAAGGAAAACAGAGAGAAAAGCAGGATAAGGAAAATAGGAAAAGGGCTATACTACCTGATCATGCTACCTATCTATGTCGGCGCTGATCAATGTTGTTTTTCCTTCGCTGTGCTGCGTGCATAAATGGCTTTTGCAACCACCATCGCCATCTCCATGGTTTCGATGCTGCGTTGACCACTAGCCATCCGCAAATGAAAAGCCATTAGACTGGTAGTACCAGCGGTGTAGCCTTGCACTCGCAGCCTGGTGAATATGAGTGGGCTTTCTTTTGACCTTGCCAGCTCAGCCTTCGCTTTCTTCTTGTGAACACGGAGGAATCCACGAGTTTGGTCGAACGACTTGTCTGCCCGAGCAACAAAGCCCAGGCAGAGCGTGGCTGACCCAATCCTCTCTCTCCGCGCATGCATGCTCGTTGAACCGCAGCAGCATTTCCATCCCGAAGGCGAAATCTCCCCCTTTTCAACCCCTCTTCATTTCCTCTAGCCTCCGCGGCTCCATCCCCTGATTTTTGTTCCCTGTAATTCCACATTCCAGCTTAAACAAACTGAAGCTCTTGATACTCTCACACTTACTCTATCTCAATCAGTCTCAACCTCACCACCTCCTGCTTTCCAGCCCCCCTCAAAGGAGGAGGAACCCCCTAAAAAAAGCTCGGCTTAGTCAAAACCCGATACTCCACATAATCCTCCCCATCAATATTGATAATCGTTCCCTGGCTGACCAGCTTGCCCTCAAACGGACCGCTCGACTTGCGTTCGTACTTGATTCCCGCATAAATCTTGGCGTCATTAATACCCGGCACGGTCTCGCCCGCCGCCGCGCTGAACTTGATCCTGTTGGCCTCCTGCGCGGCCCAAACACGGTTCAGGCGCTGGATGTTGTCATCAAACAAAGATTTGCGGTCGGATCCGTATGGGCCTGAGCTGCCGTTGGGACCGCCGTTGGGACCTTGGGGATGCTGGAGGCCTTGGTGGCCTGGGGGGAAGGAGGTGGGGGTGCCGTTGCGGGAGGGAACTGCGGATGCTGAGGATGGTCTGCCACCGCCACCGTAGGGGGGGAGGTGTTGCTGTTGTTGTTGATGATGTGAATGGGATGAGGGGGGTGGGTGCATGGGATACGGCTGAATGGCCGGGGTGTGGAAGCCGCGGTTGGCGGCGCGTTGGTCGGCGCGCATCTGGCTGGCTTCGACGCGAGCGATCTCGCGCTGGGCGATGCTGTTAGTGCGTTCCAGGCGGTCGACGACGGTTTGCTGAGGGCCGCGGTTGGCGGCGCGGAGCTGGACGTCCGGGAGGGAGTGGCGGGGGGCGCGGGTGCTCTGGCGGATGGGGCGGAAGTTGTTCTCGTGGTGTTGAGGCGGCGGGACGCTGGCTGGTCTCTCGATGTCCTCCATCTCTTCATAGCCACCATTCATGTTGCCGTTCGTGGCCTGCTCCTGCTGCTGGCGGGTACCCCTCATGGGCAAAGCGGGCGAAGAGTCAAGGTCAATGGTCAAATCCTTCGACAAGCCCTGGGCGTGACGCCTGAGGGCTTCTTCAACTGCCAGCTGATCGTTCTTGTCTCTGTCCTCCGGAAGCTCGCCTAGATCCATCATGCGCTGACGAACACGCACGTACTCCTTGATCTGGGGCCTGCTCATACCCTGCAGGTGATCGAGGAAGTCAACATCCTCCCACTGGCACCAGATCTGACCGGCGCCCAGCGGGAAGTTTCCACCGACCTCCTTACCGTCAGGGTTGTTATTGACGATCTTGCAGCGGAAATTCTCGTTCTGAGCCAAGACGCCCTGGACGGCGTGCCGATCCTTCCGATTAGCTGCGCTGGAGTGTTTCCAGGTGCCGACCACGACTCTCGATGGACGACCACTAATGTCGACGGCGGTGAGAACGTCTTCGACAGGTGCAGCACTAACGACCTTGCGTCTCTTGGGCTCGGGCTTGGTGATGGCATGCTCGGGAATATCAGGGCCGTACGCGACAGCGGGCTGGGCGTTGGTTTCGGGGGGTGGGTTGGCGACCACTCTGGCAATGGCCTGCTGAACAGCTTCGAGCATCGCCTCCTTTGAATTGACGTCCGGGTGGTTGGCCTGCATCTGCTCGTACCGGACCTTGACGTACTCTTTGACTTGGAAGTGGTCGAGGTTGACCAGGTGAGGGTCGAAGACAATCTTGTCGAAAGTAACCCAGCTACCACCAGGGCCAGGCGGGAGCGGATAACGATGAATGAGGCTACGGCCGTCCCTGCTGACGGTTTCGATCTTGGTACGCAATCTGTCCCTGACATCGATGAAGCCTATGACCGAGTGAGCATCCCTCTTGTCCTCCGCGATCGAATCCCTCCAGTAGCCGAGCTTGACACTCTTGACATTGCCGACTCCATGCGTCTTCTTCGGTCCATTACGAGGTTTGCGTGGCTTCCACTCCTCGGCCGCCGGGGATTCGGAGATGTCGTCGCGAATGTTCTCGCCGGTGCCTGCTCGCTTTCGCTTAGAGCTGAGAACGACCAGCCTGCGCGGCTTCTCCTCGCTGTCCGCCATCTCGACATCTTCCTGGTCAGCTGGTGCGGGCGACTCGACGGCGCGCGCGTTGTTGACCACTATCTCATCCTCAGCGCCAACAGGCAGCTCAGAGGAATGGCTGACTGTGTCCTCGAAGTGACTCGGGGGCGGGGTAGGGCTCTCGGGAGGTGGTGTGAGATCATTGTTGTCGTCGTCATCAAGGTAGTCGTGAGTTACCACGGTGTCGGAAGGATTTGGTTCCATCTCGGCGCCTTTGGTGGTACTGTCTTCGGCGCTGTAGAGGGAGTTAGTAGGTTGTTCCTGGTTTGAGATGGGCTTAATATAGTTGTAAAGAGGGCTTGTCTTCAGAAGCCGAGGGAATATCACAGACCAACTGCGAATACGCCTCGACCTGGCCATGATGAAGAACAGGGTGTTGCGATACGATGACAATGCGCGTGAAGGGTATAAGACAAGTGAAAGAAGGTAGTAACTGAATGAGATGTGGATGAAAATAAAATGAACGGGCAAGGGATGATGACTATGAAGCCCTTGAGATGACACATGAGATGGCCTCAAGAAAGGCATTGTGTGACTCTCTTAGGCTGCCATCAACAAGGGAAGGGTCTGACAGCCAACGGCGATTGTGACTACCAACAGGCAGACTTTTGACCGTTTGGGAACCAACCACATGAATGTACATGGTGTCTTTGCTGCCACCAGGCGCGGTAGGACCCCTCCACGCGACCAAAGGGATTCTGATGCAGAAGTGGAGGAAGGAATGAGGGGTAGGCGAGGAAGGAAGTGAACTTGCCTTGATGTTTGCAGAGGTGCAAGAACAGTGTTAGCAGCCCTAATGAGATAATCCATGTTAGCCAAGCTGTTTTTGTTGACAGTTGGTAGACCCAACCGTCGACTGTTGTTGGTTGAAGGCGCAAAGGAGTTCAATGTTGGAGGGGAGGGTCGACTGGGAGACGGAACGGGAAGAAGAGCGTTCGTTGTTTGGGTGGATCTTGGAAAGAACTCGACCGGCAGAGACAATACCCGCCTCAGTTTGAGTTCCGAATAATCACCAACTCACTTTTCGTTCTCCTTGCCACTGACACTGCCGTCTGTCTCTGCCTGGGAGTTGGGAATCTCTGTCTGAGGAGATTCGGCTTGAGGAGATTCGGCAACTGTGCCTTGAGGTTCGACCTCAGCATCACTGTCACTGTCGACTACGACAATATCTGGCTCCGACTTGTCTTGGACAGCCATGGGGCTTCCCGCCTCTTTCTCGGGCTTGCTTGTGTCAACCATGTCCGCCATGATTTGCAGGTGAGGCGTTGTCAGGAAGGATGGTGGAGAGGTTGAAGAGCGGCAGTTGTGTTTGGGTGTGGGGAGAAATACCCCAGTTGCCTTGAGTATTAAAGTGAAGGGAAAAAAAAATAAACGGCCGGCAACGAAGGACCGGGATGCCAAGAGATCTGTAAGGTTGTGGTGTTTGTGTGGGAGGCGAGTGTTGAGTGAATGTGGTCCGGTTGGCCGGGTGGCCAGTAAAAAGATGAGATGGAAGGAACGGCAACAAAAAGCTTAGAAAGCAAGAGAAGGTGAAGAAGGACACTGGTAAATGGAGCAAGTGGATGCAGCCGGCGCAAAAGTTACGCCAAAGTCGGTAACAGATAGTGTAGGTATAAGTGAAACTCGAGGCAAGGGATGAAACTTGATGAAGGGTCGTTTATTACCTTGTTGCAAAAAAGAGACTTCCGGAAGAAGTGGCAATCGTCCTTCTCGACAACCTGAACCACCAACAACCACAACCAACACAACACGAGCACAGAATGGTACTACCTCTGGGGTCAGAGATAACCGGGACGCCAGGGAGGACCCAATCAGCTAGAGTGTTGGTGAGAATGTAGACAGGTTGCTAAAAGACCCAGGTTCCCTGTTGGCTTTGACAAGCTGAATTGAGGTGGTTTGTCAAAGCTGGAAGAGCTAACCAAAGAGCCTGGGATCGTTTGACAGGTTTAACTTGGTGTTGCAGACTTCTTGTAATGAAGCGCAGTTGTGGACTTGAGAGATAGGCGGTTCTAGCGGTGTCGCGTGTCCTCCGTGTTGTTTGTTTGTCTTGCCCAGTACCCGATCGAGAAGTTAAGGGAGGGATGGATGGTATAAAGTAAATCGAGAGTACGCAAAAGCTCCTGTAATGTGTGGAGATGGAGAGAAGACTGTTGAACACCGGACACAGTATCTCGGTAGTTGCTTAGTAACGCGTCGTCAAAGAGTAATTGACTTGGGATCAGCGAGGAAAAAGCGAGTTCTGGAGTTAAAGAGTATGAGTTGTCTTAATTTTACGAGAGAAATGCTGAGGTAAGACGATGATTGGCGAAGAGTTGGCGGTGGGGAAGATAGAAATGCTAAGTATTGGAGGAGTTAAGGCCGAAAAGTCACAGAGTCTGGCGGAAAAGAAAAATGGAAGAGAGAATGCAAAGGTTGGGAAACAGACCGGGAACCGTGTCTGACAGAAACGCAGCAGATCTGATTGCGAATTTGTCAAGGTGTTGCGGACTTGCACCGGGAATCCAAGACTTGAACTAACAGTTGCCCCTCTGAGCCAGAGCACTGTTAGGACTATATTGACCCCCTGTTATAGGTGCCCGCTCTGGCCTGTCAGTTTTCATGTCGTCGAAACCATCAATCGATCAACAAAGAAACAAGCCACAGTTGAACTGCTAGTGGAGACCGGATCGAGGATTCCATCTCCAGAGGCAAGTTATTCGTCTGACTTCAAGTTGAGGAACCTTAAGAACCCAATTCCAACATCAAACCATCAAAAGACCGCCATGATCGCTAACAAGAACACAGGAAAAAAAGACTTCCCAAAAAAGACGGGGATGATGTGGGTAATCTTTTCGAACTCTTGTTTTAATTGACGACAACATCTAACAGCCAATCAGAAAGCGGCGGAGAGGAGCGTGAGGAGTTACTTCCATCACCGCTATTGTTTGTTAGCCGGCATCAAGTACCCGACCGACATTCATCAGCATGACGGCAGCCCCGGCCGACGGTAGGTGCTTCATCGTGCACATCGACTGTTAAGGTAACCCATCACGATAATCCCGAAGGGACATCAGGTAAAGCTGGGTATAGTAGGTAATAAATAGTCGAAATCCGATACGGCACACTAAAGCAGCCCCATTCATTCACTGTCCTCGACTCGTCGACTCGTCCGTCGAACATATGTGGATGTGGTGGCTTTAGGTACACAACAACACCGACAGATAAAGGTCTTGTTTCGCTCGGGCAAAAGACGCAATCTCCGCCCGCGTTCTCAATGGCCTTGGCTGCTTTGCTGATCTCCAAAGGGGGTTACACGTAACGAGTTCCATTTTCTTCCTCTGACATGTCGGTCAGTCAGTCAGATCCAAGTGGTTCGAAGTGGACTTAATACCTCACTCAGCCCAAGGTTTAGACCGTAAGAGCCACTCATCTCTTGGATTAACAGAGTCACAGGAGCAGAGCTAACCAAGTGGGACTGTGCCTTGCAAACACGGTGTCAGTCCCCACTTTAGAATCTGACCGCCACATACACACCCATCGTAAATCCATCGATACGTGATAATAGTAGAATCTTCAAACACCTATATTATTACTAATCTTAAGGGTATTTATAATCCGATTACTACTCTATACTTGTATAGATCCCCCTAATTAATTAAAATCAATACTAAAGGGTCCCAATCAATACTAAAGGGTCCCAATCAATAGGCCAATCTATACTATATACAATTCGTACTAGGCACCACCGCGCCCGCTTTAATCATACCTTCCAAGCGCTCACTTTCTAACGACAGTAATAAACCCTGACGATCGAAGCGGCTTTCGAAGCCCAATGCCCATATAGCTCGTATAAACGCCAATTTAAAAAACGAAAATAGAGATAATAAGAAGACTCCTACTCTAATAGCGCATACTATAAATGGTATAATTATTATAAAATCCTAATTAGAGCCAACCTAATTAACTTAGCTAACTAAACCTAATTTATATATTATTATTCGAAATTCTACATTAAATAGCAGTAATACTTTGAAACCAAAGAAGGTTAATATTATTAGTAAATAACGTAAAATCTCCTCTACACCTGCCGCCTCCTCGAATAGCTTATAAATTATATTTAGAATTCTAGCCGCCTCCTTCCTAATTTATTCGATTGTCTTAACTATTTTAATTACTTTAACTCCTTTATTTATTCCTCTAACTACTTCGTCTCGCGCTCCTCCTCCTCCTTAAATCCGCAATCAAACCCCTATTCCAATTACCGCTACATTATTTCGAACTCTTAAACCCCTACATTAAATTAATATTACTATAATAATAAAACTCCTTCTTCGTCGAAAGATTTCAGCTATAAATAAAGAAAGAGTATTGACCGAAACGACTATAAATATTAACCGCAAATTATACGAAAAATATATATATTTACCACTATAGAAACTATAGAACGAAGTTAAAATTAACGAGCAGGCTAATATTACTACCCCCTAAATTAAAAAATCCCGTAAGCCTAAAGTAGCCCTAAAACTACTACCGATCCCCGACTTTTTAAATATTTTACTTATATATAACGGAATATAACTATTAGATTTTAATTACGAAAACTTCGTTAAGAAGCCCGGAAAGCTATTTAATTCTATTTTAACCGAGCGGATTATAATCAAGAAGGAGATCGATAAGACTATTAACGAAAGTAATTATAAGATATTTAGCAACGAATTTACGCATCGAATATGGAAGATATAAGATATTCTCTTAATATTACCCGTAACGAATATGAGATTCTTAATTTAAATTTTAGAATTATTGTATAATATTTAAACTAGACTACTAATATTTACGAAACTAAGAAAGGCATTACACTCTTTTAAACTCGTATTATACTAATATAGAACGAGTAAAAAGGCTAGACAGCGCCCTTTAAGTATTATAATATTTCGAAGGTAATACGTAATCTAATTGGGCGGCTATTTAAAGGATATTTCGTTATAATTACCTCCTATCTTCAAATTTTTAATAGTTATTTACCGCTCCTATAATAACCTTATACTTTTTTTATAACTAATATACCTATATTATTATTACATATTACCTCCTTTAATAAGCGGTTAATATGTAGTAATTACTTTCAATCCTAATTTAGTTCCCTTCGATAGATTTCTTGAAATCCCTCCCACTAACTATTTATACTTACTGTAATACCCGCCAATATTTCTAAATAATTTAAGTCGGCTAATTAATCGGTTAGCAAGTCTAGTAGTAAATTGAAGTCGATTACGAACTTTATATTATAAGAGTTCTATATTAACCGCGAGATTAAATATAAAATATAAAAGGAGGGTAGGGAATTAATTACCCTATTTTACAATAAATTAGTTAAATTATAAGGATATAAGACCAGTCGCTAATATAAAAACTATTGCGATAAGTATTAATATTATTAATATTTTATTTATTCTAACTAGTACTACTATTACGTATTTATAGTAAAGGATTTAAAGGATTAAATAATAATTATTATTATAAAGAAGGCCACTTTTACCAACCTACTCCCTAAAATTGTATTAAAATAGCTCAATCCTAATAATCCGGCTAATAATAGCAATTATTAAATTTAAACAAGCACAATGGTATATAGGCAATCGGAACATTAACAATTTTACCCCCTATATACAACGCCTCTTTATAGTAAACACAACGGTTTATACGTACCTCCTCCCTAAATATTTAACTTTAATCTCTAAAATGGTTATTAAATTAACAGTAATACGTATAGAATTATTAATATTAACGTTAGAATATTGCCCGCCTTACCTCCTATACTTCCTTTTAATAACTATAGAAGTATAAATATAGGGACGGTAGGCATAGATCTAGTAGCTGAACTTATTTTACCTATTTTACCTAGCGCTAACACCTCTCGCGCTAACACCTCTCGCGCTAGTAACGGCGGCGAACCTTAACCTTCCTTCCCTCTATTATCCTTACTATTAAACCGACCGTTTAATTCCCTCGTTACCGATTTTATAAAGTACCTTATCTTTAAATACACGCCTAAGTCTAGTAAAAATAACGTACTAAGGAACTCGCTCTATAGTATACAAAAATCCCTTATAGCCGGGCAGTTTACCCTCTATTAAATACGCAATCTCCCTATAAATTAGTATTTCTCTTATAGAGTCGACGAGGGTATTCATTTCGTAATTAAAAAGGCGATTAAAGAATACTTCCACTTCGAACGTAATTATATCTAACAGTCGTCGTTATTTCTAATACCTTAGAGAATTTTAGTACCGCCGCCGCCATAGGAATTCTAAACGGTCGACCCCAAAGTACTATTATAACCGTAAAATAAGTATTCTCGTATCGGTAATTATAATTACGTATATTACTAACTATTATATTATATAAATATTCTCCTACCTAATTTATTATAGTAAAACTTCGATAATACCTACGCGCCTCCTCATATTGACGATTAAATATTTAATAACTTTATTAATAACGAAGAGACTAATTTAAAAGATAGCTCGCGTATTAATAAAAAACCCGACGCAATTATTGATAAAATAAACGACGACGACGACGATAACGAAATTTAATAAATATACAAATTAAAAAGGAGGATTATACAAATTAAAAAAGGAGACTATATATATAAGGGATTATTATATAGATAAATATTATACTAGTAAATTATATTGATTTTGAGAGATTTCTAATATTTTTAATACTTTAGGGGTCTTTATTGTTATTATTCGTTTTATTACATATTTGCGCCATTTTTATATTATTTAATTGTACTCAATTCTAACTATATTCAATACTGTACATTTACTATATAATATAATATTTTATACTATTATCCCTATTAATTACAATTTATAAAATTAATCCCCATATAATTTAATATAATCTTTAAATTTACTAACTTTATTAAAATCGTTATAAAGTACGTTCGCCTAATGGTAGTATCCTTATATAGCTTCTACCTCCTACCCTACTGCTCTCGCTACCCCTAAAAGGAAATCTTTAAACTCTATTTAGCCTAATAGATCACCGCCAGCCCACTAATAATAGCGCCTAATATAAGCCTTTATATCGCTAAAATATACCTCAATAAGATTAAAATCTAGGGAGCAAGGGGGCAAAAACCAAAGCAATATACCGCAATTAGCATACACATCCTTAATAAACTATACTTTATACTATAATACATTATCTATTACCAATATACTATAGCGGTTAGGAAAGGGATTCATCTTAAAGAATACACGTATTTCTAACCAATTTAGGAAACTGTTAATATTAATTACTCCCTTATAATATATTACGTCGATAAAACTATTAACGGTTATAACTAACAATAAATAAAACCGTTTCCCTCTAATAAAGGCGCTATTTACCTATAAAGATATACCCTTTAGTGCCTATCCTATACAACGGGTACCATCCTTCTTATCGATGTTAAATTTATTGTAAAAGACGTACATTTCTATAAAGAACTTCGAAACTTTTTTCAACCAATCGAATCTTAATAGATCGCTATATTAAAACGCTCTATATACTATCCTCTTATTAATCTATTTAACCTTCTTAAAATAACGCAATATTATAGAAGGCGATATATATATATTATATTCGCTAGCGAACTAATACTATATTTCATCGAAGTATAAATTCGATTTTTCGTTCAATAGCTCTGTAACTTCCTAGAGATCGTAAATTAAATATATCCATAGCCACTCGTATAAATATAACTATACTAACCTCTATAACCCAGGACGCTAGCAAAATATGGTTTTAAAGTATACGAGCCTTCTAATATGGGTTGCCAATTAAATCGTATATCTTTTTCAATCGCCAAACTTATTGTTCACTAATACCGATTATTTAAACGATTTTTCGAAGATATTCTTTAATAACCAGTATTACGTATATCGTTTGGCGCTGCTGGTCATTTGTATAGTGCCTTATCACTGTAGCCATCTTAGATCTTCTCGCCTTCAAAATCCGGTTAGAATCGTCAAATTTGAGTGCAAATCGAATATAAAACGACAGAGTTATAGATCTTAAAAGTCTAATATATTTACTTTAATGCACATATGTGTATGTGGCGGTCAGATTCTAAAGTGGGGACTGACACCGTACTTGCAAGGCACAGGACTAGTAAGTACAACAACTCGTTCACAGAACAACTTCACAAAGTCTCGCGTAGACGGATCTGACAATACCGACCTGAACGGTGGTGCCTTATCTCGATAACCTCCCATCCATCCATCTCGCTCGGGGCTCTGAAACCACTCGCATCGGCCGTGGTGCAGGATTCGCTAATCACGTTTTTTTTTCTTAATCATCATGGAGTTACACATGTGATTGGTCGTGTGCCCAGTGCTCCAATTGCGAATTTGCGATCACGACTTTCACGACTTTTCATGAGACAGCTGTCACTCTTAACTGAAGTGAATGAAGTGTTCTGTCGTTAAGTTCGGATTGATGCTGCTGCTCAATATGTTAGTGATTGTTAGCGTCTACAGCCCATCAGCGTCTATGAAGCGCTATATAACGTGCTGTTGCCCATCTGCCTGAAATGCTGCCTAACAATTCCACTCTACCCAAGCTTCCAATCCAATGGACCTCGACTTCAAAACCTCGATCCGTACTTTCGCTTCTTGCCTTCAGCATCTCAACGTACAGATCAGACCGTACTAGCCACTCGGAGCTTTAGTCTAGTTGCCATCTTGACCAACGACTAGACACGACAAAAAAATAAAAATAAAAAAATAGCAACTCTTCACGACACTTCGGCCGATATCGATGTCACGTAACTAACTCTCCTTGTCTTCTTAGTGACATCTGCCTAAGCCACGCTTTGTGCTACATACATACATACAACCTGGGAGATACCACGCACCGGGAATTGAAAGTTGTGTGAACAAGAGCTGGGTACCTACCTCTAGGCATGTGTAATCTTTGATTCGACCTTTGGTCTACCTGGTTGGTGTCTATGACTCAACGGCGAACAGATCATGCATGTACTTGGGCTTTGTAACCGAGACACAATGGGATAGAAACCTGACTACTGAACTATACCTGGAAAGCTGAACGTTTCTTGGAGCGGTTGGGTGCAGAGGATAAGTGACTTTAGTCTAACTTGTTGGTAGTAAGAGAATCTTTAATCGAACGCACATTTCTCCAAGGTGTAGTAGAGCCCACGAAAATGGGTGCATACTAGAGGAGAACGAGGGTCGCGTACCCGAAGGTTGGAGGCTACCAATCTCTTCATCCATAAGAGAGTATCTGGAATTATTCTGACGTGCCTCACATCGGTATCGCCAGGCCATTGTCCAAAAGATGGCAAAATCAGAAGAAGGGGGGGGGTCATATCCGACCCAGAGCAGTGCCGAAAGACGTGCCAGATGTACACACGAGGAGGCATTTTCAGAGAAAGGATTGATATGTAGGTAGGTAGTATGTATCCATTTTGAGACGCCTAATATGTAAAGGAAAATAGAAAATAAAAAGAAAATCGATCGTGGTATCTTCTCATGACAAAACATGACTGACGACTGCTATCATGCATGCATCATCTCTTAAACTCCCGGTTCAACCCATGCCCCGATATTTTGAGAACCCATAGAAACCCAAAAAAAAGTAGACAACACCTTCGTCGCTGTGGTATAGATTCATTAAGCTTTCTCCCTTCCCCGCCAAAAAGAAACCAAGCATTTAGTGGCCCTTCTTGATTTAATCATCCGCAGAGTAGTTCTCGGTCTTCATGTCCTTGAGACCGAGCTCCTCCTCTTCCTCATCGGTACGCTCGTACTCCTCCACAGTCATCTGCTCATCGGGCTGGGTCGGGTCGTCAGCCAAGCTCTGGACGTAGGAGCTGGCCATGGGGTCGGTGAGGATGATGGTGAACTCGCGCTCGCCCTTGATGGCGGCGTTGAGGTCGGTGAAGAACTTGTCCCAGCGGGCCTTCTCCTCAGCGGGGAGGGAGTCGCCAGCGTGGACGGCGGCGGGGTCCTCGGCGCCGATCTGGAAGATCTGGTTGTGGAGGTCGTCGCGGACCTGTGTGAGGAGACCCTCGACCGTGGTGAAGCGGCCGCCAAGGGTGCCGGGGTTGACGGAAAGGTTGAGCTCGGGGCACTCGAGGTAGCAGGACTCGCTCTTGAGGATGTCGCGGGCGAGATCGATCGAGTTCCTGACCTTGATGGTGACCTTCTTACCCTTCTCGGGCACCTCACCGCCGGTCTTGACATCGTTGGACTTGTAGCCGCAGTCGTCGCAAGTGGTGTTCATGATGACGACCTGACGGAAGTGGGGGATATCGACCATCTTCATGTTGGTGGTGCAAGGGTGCATGCAGCCGGGGCAGGTGGCGGGGAAAGCGTAAACGGTGTCGGGGACGATGTCGCCGGTCTCTGTAAGGCCTTCGTTGGTGGTGTCGGTGAGACCGAGGGCCTCGTTCTGCTCATTGGTACGGAGGTACTCGCGCTTCTCCCACTTGCCAACACCGTCGCGCATGTCGGGGGTGATGAAGGAGTTGCCGGCCGGGTCGTCAACGGAAACACGGAAGGGGAAAGCCTCGCCAGCGAGCATCTTGCGACCCTTCTTGATGATCTCCTCAATCTTCTCATAGACCTCGGGTTGCTGCTCCTTGCGGTCCGCCTGGCCAGACTCGAGGTCGTCGATAATGGTGCTCAGAAGACCCTCAACGTTGGTAAGCTGACCGCGGCCAGCGGGGACCTCGACGTCCAGCTCGATGAAATTGACAGTGGCGGTATCAGACTTGACGACCTGGCGGGCGAAGTCCTCCATCTGAGTCAGGCGAAGCTCGACGTGGACACCCTTGAGCTGGAAGGTGCCGGCAGGCTGGATCTCGTTGTTCTGGAAGCCGCACTTGTCGCAAGAGAAGGACATGATGATGATTTCGCGGAAATAGGGAATCTGGGTAAGGAGAAGACGTGTTGTTCCCTAGAGAGCCATTGTGAGCCGGTATTCGAAGGGCGCGACTGTTTGCGACAACTCACGTTCTCATGGCAGTTCATGCAGAGAGACTCGATCTCTTCGACACCGCGGGGCTCGTCATCCTCGGCCTGGGCCTCGACGGCGCCGGGAGCGATATCCTCGACCTTCTGGCCAATGGGGGTGAAAGTTTCCTCGGGCATTGTGTATGTTGTTATGGTATATCTGTGTGGATTGTCGCAAACGGCCGTTGTGATGGATCAGCAGCTGCCGACTTTTATAGGGACCTTGGAGAAAATTTTGGAGGGGCAATTGGCGATCGGGTTTGGCGGGGCATTCTTTCAAGGGGGTGGAGCAAGTGACATAAGCTTGACCCCGGACGGGCCCAGATTGACCCAGCGCAATGGAGCCACTGCCCAAAGCTTCGGGAACATTCCAGCCTTTACCGGGCATTACGGTAATAAACAGTGGCCCATGCGTCTCTGTATTTATTTCTGCATAAAATCGGCCAGACTCAATCCAAGACCAGGCCTCGAGGATTTGGACGCATTGGACTGGTCGAGCAAGGCCTGAAGTCCGGCTTTCCTGGACTTGGCACGCTTTTTGCTATTTGCACTGGAAGAAGGGGTTGGCTTTTGTGCGGAGAGCGCAGTAAGAGATCCCAGGGTAGGCGCCGCATTTGGCTTTAGTCCGGTTGTTGTCTTTGGGGCTTGTTGTTGTGGTTGAGTCTTCAAGTTGATGCTGCGCCTCGAGATAGGAGCCGGGGCTGGGAACTTGATCTCAGTTTGCCTTGTGCAGTGGCCGCATGTTATGCGCTTAACTGGCCCTTTGCGAGACTCTTGAATCTGTTGCTTCGTCTGGACAGGCGTCTTGGTGAACTTTTGGCCTGCTCTTAATCTCTTGCGGACGGCTTTTTGGTGTTCAAATTTCAAAGTGCTTCCGTGACCGGGAATCATGATATGGCCGCAGCAACTGCAGACGTGCTGTCTCTGAACGTCGGACTGGGGCAGTTCGTTCTCAAACATCAGGTTGCCTCTTTGGCTCATGAGGAACGCCGAAGTCTCTGGCGCTGTCGTTGCCAGCAGATGGGCTGCGTCCGTTAAAAAGTCCAGCGTCGCTGAGAGCTCGGTTGAAGATGGTCCGTTCATCGTTTCCGCCGTGTCGTTGGACAATAAGGTCGGATGTCGGTGGTTGATGGATGGAAATCGATGTGAAGCAATTGTTCGATTGGATTTTTACAGAGAAACGAAGGTCGATGCACGGGCCACCTGGTTCCTGATGAACGGCTTTGGCAGAGACCAACGTCTACCCATCAAGGGACTCAAAACCAAGGGGATATCAAAACACCAGCGGTCCCTTCGGTCTGCATAACGTTTTATATGTCACTTTGTTCTTCAATCCCACCACCCTCGTTTCCAATCACGAAACAACAAGTCGCATCAACAGATCATCACAAGTGAGGTTGAAGGTTGAGGGTTAGGGTTGGACTGGATGTTGTCAAAAGAGATGAGAGGGAGTTGACGGATTTAAGCCCGGTTGATCTCCCACTTGAGCTCCTTGATGCTAACTTCATCGTTGGCCTTCTCGTCGTAATCGAACCATTCACCCTCGGTCAGGTCAATGTCGGCGAACTTGGTGTTGGAGTCAACGCCCTCGGCAAGCCAAGCGCCCTGCATATCTGATGTTAGTACTCTGAGCTTTTGACACACAGACACCGGACATGGACTAACCTCAGGTTGGAACTCGACAAACTCCAAACCTCTGCAGTCAAACTCGATAATCTTTTGCTTCTTGGCAGGTTCCGTCTGCTCATAAGCGGCCGGCGCAGCCTTGATGGAAGCCGACGACTCTCTCTTGCAGTTCTTGCACTTCCACACAAAGTTGGCCTCGCCACGGCTGCCGCTCATCTCGTTGTTTTCCTGGTGAATGTGTGAGCAAGAGAATGCTTCAGCTTTGCTGGGGATGATGGTCTGAATGGAACTTACAAAACGGCTCACGCCAACGGGCTTGTCATGGACCTCCCTGCAGGAGGTGCACTGAACCTTGAAGGTGTACCAGAACGGGTTACCCTCGCTGTCGTCAGGGCGGAGGTTGGTGACTCTACAAGATTGGTGTAAGTTGACTTCTCGTTTTCCCTCAGACTTTTGGTTCACTCACCCAGTAAGCTCAGCGGTAAGGTAAAGCGCAAACATTTTGGCTGTCGTTAGATGTGTTATTATTAGAGAATACGTATGTTCACTGTTTGTATTGAAGTTTTTGCGGAGGTGATATCTTCAGTGACCTTTTGTTCTAGACTCTGCCTGATTGGGAGCTGCCAGCCGGCTTCTGCGTGGTGACGGTGGAGGGGCACCTTCTCAGCTCTCTCAGCTGTTAGCCCCACATCCAGCTTGTTGCTCCAGCTTCAGAGATGGTCTGAGCTTTGGGAGCTCCCGTCTTTGAAGGAAGACTTCCAGACCTGATATTCAGGCTTTTCAAAACATATTAAAGTGATAAAAATGAACAGAAAAGGACTAATTCTCTGCGAAATTTGAATTCTCAACATGGATAGTAACATGGAACGAAAAGATAGCCTCCAACATGGCACCGCGGTCTCCTTCTGCAACCCTGATGTCAACCCTAAGGGTTTAGCACCCCTTACCCTAAATGGGAGCTTTGTTGACCTCTGATGCGAATGCGCGCAATCAACACGCCCGGCCGAGGGAATTGGACATGCCTTCAAAACGCCCCACCCTAGACGGACCTCTCAATCGAGCTTTCAAATCCACCCGCCGACAAGTTACCGAACAAATCCCGCCCTCCCCTTGCCCTGATGCCGTGACGCATCGACCAGACATGCCCCGACGATGCAGGGGATCTGGTCGACAGTAGCCCAATTCCGGGGCTGTCGCTGCCACTCCTGTCTGCCCGCTCCGAATAGCTTCAACAACTTTCAAGCTGTGCGTCAGGCCCAGTCCAACGCCCGATCCGCCGCCCGCCAGCGAAACAGGAAAGCCCTCGGCAGCAATGTAGCCACCGCCTGCTACACGGCTCTCGCAGCCACCGCCGTCGTCGTCGACACCGAGAACAAGGAACGGCGCCGCCGCGAGCTCAACCGCAAGATCCATGAAGCAAAGAAGAACCTGGCCACCCTCATGGTCGACGATGCCGCCGACGGAGACCTCCTTCGCCTTGTCGGCTCAGCACCTGCCGCCCGCCGACCCGAACCCTTCCGCACCCGCAGCCAGCCAACGATCGATGTGCTCGAGTCTATATGCGATTACCATGTCGATTCAGTCAGGAGCCTGGCGTCCAGCGCTACCGAGAAGAGAGCCGCTGTTTTGAAGCTGCGCGACTCCCTTGGCATGTCATGGAGGGACCCGCGCAAGGACTTTTGTATGGGAAGAGAAGGTCTCGTCAACTGTGACAAAATCATTGCGTCTGAAGAAGTTGCGGCAGAGACCTTGGACCAGGACCGGGAACCTCGAAACGAGAAGCAGATGGAGAAGCAAATCGACATGGTCACCGACCTTGTGGACGACCTCATGGAAGCCGCCTACAAGGCGTCAGAGATGCAGGGCATCAAGTCATACCTTCCCAAGGACCATCCCGAGTCGGCCTGGAGTATAACACGGATGCTGAAGAAGGACGGCTATCCCAGGTTCCACCACGCCCATTATGATCCAACCATGACAATCCAGGCGCGCCGGCGCTTCAACCAAGTTACGTGCAACATCTTGGCCGACTGGAAGGGACCTCGAAGCCGGGACAAGTATGTGGCCAAGATCTGCCATAACCTTCTCATCAACACCGTACCGCCGGGAATTCACAACTACAACATGCTCATAGCAGGCTTTACTCAGATCGGCGAGCATGTTTTGGCTGGCGCCGTGGTGGACAATTTCCTACATAAGAGCCGTCTCCGGCCCACCCAGGGCACGATACTCTGTCTGATACACCACTACCGCTGCAAGAGAGATGCCGAGGGTTTCCACATGCTTCTCCGACGCCTCATCGGTCGCGACCCTCGAGGCCTCAATATGCGCAGCAAGTCCATCTCGGATGTATACCAAGACCGTGGGCTCATGCGCTGGGCGCTTGAGTCGGATGTCGCCCTAGCCAACGGTCGTACAGTCGTCGAGCGTGCTAATTTGGAGCAGCCCGTTTTGGAAGCCATCATCGAGGCCCTCATCGACTTCAGGAGAATCGGACATGCCGCAAAGGTGTTTGTTGCCTGCCTCGACCAGAGGTGGACCGTTAACGCTGAACTCTTCGATCAACTATTGCATGCCATTTGCAACACTGTCGACGACCTGGCCACTCGTGTGCTTGTCGATGGACTGCTGTCGCACGTGGGCGCCATAACGACCATGATCCTCTCGCGAAGCTTCTTGTCACTCAAGACTGTAAGGAAACTACGGACCGTTCTCCAGATCCGGTACGCGAGGTCAACAGAGTCCCTCTACGACAACTCTGCCGTTACAGACTCAACGTCACCAGCCTACCTTTTGCCTAAGGGCAACGACCGTCTCGAGCGCATTGCGACCTCTATCTGGTTCAGAGAAGCGGTGCAAACCATCTTCCAGCTCAGGTTAACTCTACCCAAGGTGGAGCATCTTCTGCTAGCGCAACCAGACGAGCATCTCGAACACCGGTTAGACCGCGCCATCACCAGCCTGAACCTCATCAGCCCCACAAACCCGCGCGCAGTCGAGCGCGAGGAGCGCGCCAAGGCACTCCAACGCCTAGCCAAGCTAGACTGGCTCACCGAGCAAGTAGAAGCCACCGAGAAAGCCATCAAGGCCACGACCGAGGAGATCCTGAACATCCTCGCCGTTACCGTTCCGCGCGACGTACGACCCCTGACTTTGTGGCGGCAGCACTGGGACGTCGAGGTGCCCCTGGAGAAGCGCCTCAAGTACGATCGGGAGATGCGCACACCCAACACTGGCCTCAATGCGGTCGCCGCGTGCTTTGCTCGGAAAGAGGAGCTGGATGACCAGCTGGCGGATATCCTCATGGAAGCGTTGCCGGCGCAGACGGCGGCTGAGATTCGTCACGGTGCGAGGGAGACGGCTACGGTGCCGCATTTGATGGCTTTGACCAAGGAACACCTGAGGAGTTATCAGAAGAAGCCGGTCGCTGCTGTTACTGCCAAGCCGAGGTTGGTGCAAGAGCAAGAGCAGGACATAGAGCAGCAGCAGAGAGAGGCGAGCTCTGCCTTTACGGCTAATGATAACCTAGCAGCAGCCGAGATGACTAGGAGGAAACTGGGCTTTGGTTGGAGGTCAGGAGGTCTCTCGTCGTATTTACCCCTGAGAAGGGTTGCATCTGTTCAAAGATAGAATCGCATTGTTGCAAAGGGAGAGGGATCGGGCAAAGAAGGATACTGTGAAAGGACACCGGATGGACTGGATAGACGGATGGTTATAAATGCAGCCAAGCTAAGCAATGAAGGGCTGGCTTCTTGTACATTAAAACAAAAAGGTTGACATGACCTACCTGTATACGTACACGCAAAACAATTGGATACATACCAAAACCAAAACCTACCCGTTCACATTTCACATGCCATTTCTCACCATGATCTTTTCGTACCCAAAAAAAAAAAAAATCATCCTCCTTTTTGTATATCCTTACGCCCAAATCCCAGATATCCATGATACTGATACAAACAAACAACCACCTTGAACGGGTCCTCAACCCTCAAGCCTCAACAGCAGCAACAGGCTTCGTCCTCCCCAACCCCTCCCTCCCATAATAATCCATCGGATACGCGCCCCTCCCCCAATCCTCCTTCTCCTCCAGCGCAATCAGCGCCTCATACGGCGTCAACAGCGGTCTGGGAAACGCATACCCCCAATCAATACTCAGTCTCGGACACGCCACCTGCACCCAGCACTCCACATCGCTCATCATCGCCAGCTTGCCGGGAAAAATCTCCGAAAGACAGAAATTGACAAACGGCGTGCCGTTTTGCTTGAGTTTCTCCTCGATCAAGCCCAGCGTGTTCGGGTTTCCCTGCCGCCCGAGACTGCCCAGAATCAAACCCCATTTCTTGGCGGTTTTGGCCTGCCGGATGGCCGACCGCCGAACGTCCTGCATCTCCTCGTGTCCGTAGGTTTCGTGCGTCAGTTTGCGGCTGTAGGGGTCGTACCGGTAGGCAGGAATCAAAGGGTTGTGGATCATGATGGACTCGAGATGGAAGCGGCCGTCGCCGAGATACAGGATCATGTCGACCTCCTTGCCGCTGGCAGTTAAGAATTGCGAGAGGTTGGGGGATGTGCACCCCAAAATCTCGCCCTTGGAAAGCGGCGCGATCTGCGGGATGATGACTTCGTACCCGGCTTTTTGGAGGGTGCTGCGCACGCCGTGGATGGTCGCGTTGAATTGGATGGTGCCGACCATGGCGATGGATTTCCCGGGGGAGAAGTTGCGTTCCAAGGTGGCCAGGAGGTGGGAGGTGTCGATGCTGATGTCTACGAAGACGTACAAGGTCTTGATTTTCGTGACGTCGACTGGGATGAGGCAGGAATGCGCGTAGTGCACCAGCAAGTCGCAGCCCATGGCGCGCGCGGTGTAGTCGTCGATGCAGCAGGCGCCGTAGGTGACGTCGCCCATGATCAGGGTTTCGATCCCGGGGCAGAATTGGGTCAGGATGTCGGAGATGGTGGTGGCGAAGAGGAGCAGGCCTTCGGGCATTTGCAGGGCCACGCGCTTGGCGTTGAGCGTGCGGATGCGGTGGATGGTCTTGTGGATCTCGAAGGAGTAGTTGGAGGGGAGCAAGGCGATGGCGGCGTTGAGGGCGGCGTCGTGCAGGATCGAGTCGGGCACTTGGTTGAGCATGCGAGGGGCGCGGCGCGGTTGGGCTACTTGGATGGCGCCGCTGTCTTCGATGGAGGTGTTGGCCCCGGCGGATTGGGAGGTGCTGGATGAGGAGGAGGACTTCCCGGCGGCGGCGCTTTGGCGACCGAGGAAACGTTTCTTGGGTTGTTTCTGCTGGACGGAGGGGGGTGGGGGAGGGTTCATCTCGTCGATGTCGGCGGCGATGCCGAGGTCGACTTGGGCGCGGTCGTCCTCCATCCTGAGTGAGGTGGGTTGATGAGGTAGAGATGGTTGTTTTCCTTCAGTTTCAGATAGCCAGGAAACGGGAGTGTTGTGAAAAGGCTGAGTGTCTCGCCACGCTCTTGAAGTTGAGATATCTCGGAGTGAGGTTGGATTTGTCAAAGTGAAAATTGCCAAGTACCTACTGGGGTTTATCAATGTCTTGAGCAGCAAGTTTTCAACAGAAAAAGACAACAAGTTAATGTGTCAGAAAAGCTGGTTTAATGTACATTTGCCCGATACAACGTATAATATGTTCAAGTTACCGACAACCTTGCCCGAAGCTCAGCTCTACCATGGCATGTCGTCGTGGACGTTGTCGTTGAGACTTAAGAATGTCAAACTACAAGACCCAATCCGGTAAAGCGTAAACAGCCCCACTTCTCCAAATGCTTGGTGGTGGTTGTTGGGCCTGGGCTCAAGGTTCAACTGGGAAGTTCGCGGCTGGCAGCTGGCCCAAGCGCAGCGGGAAATTTTAAAGCGGGTCGTCCTCAGCCACCAGCCAATCAATACCCCGGAAATTGTGCCCTAAGATTTCGACCGGATTGTCCTTAGCAAAAGCGGTCACCACCCACACAAAATCTTCCCCTTCGGAATTTCTCGAGTCGTCTCAATTCGCAACACCCAACTCCGGTCGTTCAGCCCCAAATACCGCCAAAATGAAGGTACGACGATTCCCCGATATTCACGGCGTCATGGCTACGGCATGACTGCATTTCTGCGCTTTTTTACGAGCCCGAGCGTCCAATTTCGAATTTCGACACTTGGGAGGTCGCGAAAATGGGAACTTGGGGGAGGAAGAGGAGCCAGAACAGCACCGCGACCATGAGGATGGGAATGGAGACATGGACATGAGGCTGACCCCACGTCCACCAACAGCTGAACATTTCGTACCCTGCGAACGGCTCGCAGAAGCTGATCGAGGTCGAGGATGAGCGCAAGCTCCGCCACTTCATCGAGTAAGTTCCAACCACATACAAGTTGCATTTGGTATCTGAAGACATGTCGCTAACAGCCTAACTACAGGAAGCGCGTAAGTCTCCCCGATATATCGACGACACATCGAAACCAACCACGATGACCGAACCCGAAACTGACACACCGACTATAGATGGGCGCTGAGGTCCCCGCCGACCCTCTTGGTGATGAGTGGAAGGGCTACATCCTCCGCATCACCGGCGGTAACGACAAGCAGGGTTTCCCCATGAAGCAGGGTGTCATTGCCCCCAACCGTGTCCGCCTTCTCCTCTCCGACGGCCACTCCTGCTACCGTGCCCGCCGCACCGGTGAGCGCAAGAGAAAGTCCGTCCGCGGTTGCATCGTCGGCTCTGATCTCTCCGTCCTTGCTCTCGCCATCGTCAAGCAGGGCGAGCAGGACATCCCCGGCCTCACCGACACCGTCCACCCCAAGCGTCTCGGCCCCAAGCGCGCCACCAAGATCCGCCGCTTCTTCGGCCTCAGCAAGGAAGACGATGTATGTGTTTCTCTACGCAATCTCGTCTTCGCCTGCCCCCGAGCTGTTGCGATGATCCTCGCACAGTTCGTCGGGTAGAGTCTGAGATGAACACCAAAGGCTAATTATCCAATTTTCTACGACGAATAGGTCCGCAAGTACGTCATTCGCCGCGAGGTCCAGCCCAAGGGTGAGGGCAAGAAGCCCTACACCAAGGCTCCCAAGATCCAGCGCCTCGTCACTCCCCAGCGCCTCCAGCACAAGAGACACCGTCTCGCTCTCAAGCGCCGCCAGGCCGAGAAGGTCAAGGAGGAGGCTGTAAGTTTCACCCGAAAGCCTCGTTGAACAGCACTGCAGAAATGCTAACAAATCACCACAGTCTGAGTACGCTCAGATCCTCGCCAAGCGCATCGCTGAGGCCAAGGTCCAGAAGGCCGATGCCCGCAAGCGCCGCGCCTCCTCCATGCGCAAGTAAGCGTTCGGAGTCAGGTGTGATGGATGATATCCGGTTGCTTTCACGAATTCGGTCATGGCGCGGTTATCTGTTGACTCGACCGGGGGGCGTGTTTGTTGTGTGTACATGAGCACCCATTAAAAAGGGCTTTCCACGACAAACTACCAGGAATTGAGTCTTCAATGAGTTGATACCAAAACAAACGAGCAGCGCTTCGCTTCGGGTTCGCGTTATACGGAATAATATGACGGGACCCTTTGATACCAATACTCCCGCCACGATCATTGACATATTTGGGGCAGGAGGCAACTGAGGTAGATTCAAAATCAACAATGGGTCTGAATTGTTCGCTTCATATGGGTTTCTTTTGACTGGGTGCTATGCGTGAACTACGTGCGGATTTGGGAGCATGTGATGGACGGCGTAGGCTTTTAAAAGTTTCAATGACTTCCGTATCAAACTGCATCTGGTATTTATCACATGCAATTCCTTGTTATAGAAATCCCTTTCTTTCCAAGTCCACCTTGGGATACAGTTTCTTGTATCTACAAGACAAGTGATACTTGGTCAACAAACTCTACGTCCAGTAATCACCTTTCCAAGATGCTGTCTGTCTGTCTTCCTGAAAAACGCCCATGATCTATTTGTTAGCAGCTACATGATATATATAGTCGGCATCAAACTTACCACCTCATCGCTCTTATTACCCCCGCAGGGTCACAGTCAGTCCATACCGAATATTAATCCCCCTTAACGTCACCTCGTAAAATCCACCTCACGACAATTTCAACTTTCAACTTCAACTTTGATTTTCAACTTTCATCCTCATTCCTCAACTGCCTTTCAACTTCCAGAGTTCCAGGATGACTGACTCCAGCCAGGCTCAAATACAACGGGGAATAGGTAGATATATCATCATATGAAAGCCTTCAAGCTTCAAGAGACAGTCACAGTTTCAGGTTTTTCCTACCTATGCCATATCTTTGCGTGGAGGCGAGGCACCCATGCAATGGGTTACATACTATGGAATTTATGTTATGTTATGCAATTGGGTTTGTTTGTTTGTTTGTTTGTTGTCAAGAGCTTTTTGTGAAGGATTGTCGAGAGGTGAGGTGTATCTGGTACTATCTGGTACCGAGAAGCGAATAGCGAAGCTTTGCGTGCTTAAGTTATATCCGTTATTTTTGGAATATATGCTTTCAAATTGTATATTACTTTCACTACCTATGATCATCAATCAGTTCCCACCGATACTTTTCATTATGACATGATTAGAGGTAGGTACCTATGTCCTCGCGTCGTCGTCGTCGTCCTCGTCGTCGGCGTCGTTAATAGCCCACTAACTGCATGCAGTCAAGTAGTTAAGTTGACTTGTGTGAGTCGTGTCCAGATATACTTAACTATGCGATAGTACTTTAGTGAGCAAAGGCAGTAATGAGAGGGATTTACATATCTCTCTGTAGTCGCAGGTCGTTAAGTAACATGTTGCGTGTTAATCATTGAATGAGACAAGAACACAAATTAATGAAGACGATGATGAGTGGGTTATATAAAAGGAGGGAGACGATTAAATCATCTTCTGAAACAGACAAGTAGAACACACTACTGACCTCCTCTTCCAATTAAAGGGATCAAGACTTCTTAGCATTGATCGTGTCACGGCATACCACTGCTTTTTGTTTTTTTTTTCATATCAGAAACTCCATTCGCGCTAATCATTCGATCTCCCCTTTTGCAATAATCTTTTCCTTCCTCCTTCATCCATGCAAAGTAAGCTCCAAGCCAACCACCCAGCAAAAGGCAACTCCGGGTCCAGAAAAAAGGAAGACGAGACCTGCACATCCCGTCGCCCCTCTGTTCCCTTTGTTTAAACCTAGGCAAGGCTGATTGCTCAAGAGCACAAAAAAAAAGGAGCAATAATAAAACAACTTCTCCTCCTTCTCCCCAATCTAAAAACCCCGCTTCACCCCCCAATGCGCTTGAATCCTTTCCTTGTATGACCTTAACGAAAACTGACAGGTCAAAAAACAGACATCCTCTCCTTTCCTCCTTCCAGGCAATTTATGCCCCCTTTTTGCCATTCCTCCTATATGATGCTTATGTTTTGGCTTATGTACCTTTTACCTCTCCTCCTCCGTACGGTTCCCTGCTCAATCTCCACTATCCATCCATCCCTTTACGCAAAGCCGAAGTAATCGCTACCCGCGGTAATAGCCTTGAGCAGCTGGCTTCTTAGAGTCTCGTAGCTTTCGTACTCAGGAAGATCAAGTTCTGCGATTTTCAGTCAGCCAATCATATCATTCATATGGGAGCGGGTAGAAAAACTCACGGTTAAAGCAAGTATGAGAGCTAGGAAGGCGATCCTTGCTGCCATAGTCACGATGAATGTTGAATCGGCTGACACCATTCATGCCCTCCAGTTCCTTGAAGCCGTTCAGAGGCACCTTGGATGTGCCCGTGACGAACTGGAGAAGCTTGGCGAGTTCCTCCTTGTCGAAGGACCGGACAGCGCGCCAGAACCACTGGATCTGAGGGGCGCCGGCAGAGTAGTTGTGGTACTCGGTGTTGGCCTTCCAGTCGTCGATGTCGATATCAGGCAGACCGGAAATGAGAAGTTCGAGCTCTTGTTCATTGAAGATTGCGATGAGCTCTTCGGGGATGATCTCGTGGAAGCCTGTTGTTCATTCGTTAGTCATGAATTATAACCTATCATCCAAAGGAGTTGCACTTACCAGTAAGGAATGCCTTCATTTGATCCTTGACCGAGGTGATGAGCTTGTGCTCGACGATCAGACGGACATACTCATGCTTGTTCTCCTCCGTGACAGGGATGTGGCGGCCATTCTCAATCAGATCGACAACCTTGACTTCGCCAAACACGTCGTCCTCGACCGAGAAGGTCTCGGTAATGATGTCGGTGATGTCGTTCTCGAGCATCCAGACAAGTGACTTGTAGTAGTCCGGATCGAACGACTCCATGTCCTTGACCGAGACGGGCTTGCCGAGGATGCGCTTGTAGACCGCACGGCTGAAGTAGCAGTCAAGCAGACGACCCTCGTAAAGGGCTTTGCCAATGATTCTGCCAATGAACTTGAAGAAGGGAAGATGCTCGTCGTTGATAGGACTCAACTTGTTGGGGTGGAAGGTTGTGCGGTCTGAAGACACCGGAACGAAAAGGACGTAGTTGGGGTCAAACATTTGCCTGGAGAGCACCTGGAACCATTCGCGCGTGACACCACCGGCATCGACACCTTCCTCTCCCTGGAAACGAATGTTAAGCTTTCCAAACTTCAACTCCTCGGCCTTCTTGTAGTACAGAGACCGGAATGAATCATGGAAGACGTGCTCACGGCGCACTTGGAGTTGCAATGGAGGGAAAGACTGCCTCGTCTGCTGGTGCTTGGAATGTACGCTACGGTTAAAGTAGTTGCGCTTGTTGTCGAATTCCAAGACCTTCGGATTCTTGACCAGCAGCGAGAA